CAGGACGAGTTGAATATAATAAAAAAAAAGTACTTTTTTATTCAACTAAAGTCCTCGAGAGTGACGTAAATGTACCAGGGTGAATAAAAGAAAGAAGAAAAAACCACAGGTGCTGGCATAATTTTTTTTTTTTTTTTAAATAGAACCGTATGAAGGAAACTAAAATATTAAAGTATTTTAAATTCAAGTTTTTATTAAAAAAAAAAGAAAAAGAAAAAACCGTTCTCCTCGCCAATGGTAAATGACTCTGAAAAACTTTCTATATTTGCTTTTGATTTATAACTGTACTATTAGTTAAAAATCTGTATTTTCATATAAAATCGGTCTTTTAAATTTTGTACATCGAATAAAAAGTGTTAAAAAATAAGTAGATTAATATATTAATATTTTGTTAACTTTTTTAATACTTATATCTTTTTTTAAATAAAAATTTTACTTCAATTTTTTAAAATTATTTTCTAATTCGAAAAAAGTGTCTTTGATTTAAACAAATTTTCTTTGATACCAAGAAATTTTATTTTTGCAAAAATTCAATTATTATCAACAATTTTTAAAAATTCAATTATTTTCTAAAATCTTAAGAAATTCTTAAAAACAATTCAATTATTTTTTCAATTATTTTTTTAAATAGTAAAATCTTTGCAAAAATCCAGTTATTTTCAGAAATTTTCAAAAATTTCAATTATTTTCTAAAATTTTCAAAAATCCTTAAAAACAATTAAATTTTTTTTTTAAATAGTAAAATTTTTGCAAAAATTCAATTGTTTTCAACAATTTTCAAAAATTTCAATTATTTTCTAAAATCTTAATAAATCCTTAGAAACGATTCAATTAATTTTTTAATTAGTAAAATCTTTGCAAAAATTTAATCATGTTCAATAAAATTTCACGAAAGAATTCAATTTATTTCTTAATTTGTTATAAAATTTTTCGAAAGAATCCAATTATTTTTTCTAAAATTTTAATAAATTCTTCGAAACAATTTCAATTATTTTTATAAGGTATCAAAATAATCGTAAAGATTAAATTACTTTTTAAAAATAATAAAATTCTTCTCAGGCATTCAATTATTTTCAATACAATTTTAATAAATTGAAAAAATTCTTTGTTTAATTCAATTATTTTCAAAATATTCAATTAAAATTATTCAAAAAAAACTACATTATTTTCATAATTTTAATTATTTTTAGTACAATTTTAATAAAATTTCACAAAATGATTTAATTAAATTTTTTTTCAATTTTTAATAAAATTTTTCGAAAGAATTCAATTATTTTCTTAACTTCTAATAAATTCTTGGAAACAATTCAATTATTTTTAAAAAAAATAGCAAAAATTCTTATTAAAGAAGAATTATTAACAAGAATTAAATTATTTCTATAAATAATAAAATTATTCACAGGAATTTAATTATTTTCAATTCAATTTTAATAAACTTGAATAATGAAATATTTAATTACAATTTTTTAACAGACACTATTATTTTTAAAATTTAAAAAAAAATTCATTGTTTAATTCAATTATTTTCAAAATTTCTAATTTAAATTATTCAAAAACTACTAAATTTTGAAAAAAATCTATTCTTCGAAAGAATTTAATTTATTTTCTATATTTTAATAAAATTCCTTAAATGAATTAAATTATTTTAGAAAATTGTAATAAAATTCGGAGAAGAATTTAATTATTTTCTAAAAATTTTAATAAAATTCAATAATTAAGTGCTTAATTTAAATTATTAAGAAACGCAATTATTTTAAAAACTTGAAAGAAATTGTTTATAAAATTCAACTACTTTCAAAATTTTCAATTAAAATTTTAAAAAAACTCCATTATTTCAAAAAAAAAATAATTCAAAGAAATTCTGCAAAAGAATTTAATTAGGATTTTTAAGAATTTTAATAAATTCTTCGCAAGAACTCAATTATTTTGATAAATAATCAATTTTTAATAATATTTCTCTAAAGAATACAATTTATTATTTAAAAAAATATTAATTAAATTTAATTATTTCCAAAAATTCTGATAAAATTCTTCGAAAGAATTCAATTATTTTTATAAATAATAAAATATTAATTTTATTAAAAAAATAAAAATATATATATATTTTCAAAAAAAGATTTATAAAATACATTTTTTACTTTTCTCAAAAATTGTGCGGTAGTATAATAACATTATTCTCTATAGAATATGACGGTTCTTTTTATTTCGGTACTTTTTTTTTTTGATAAATTTATAGAAAAGCTTTTAACGCTATGAAAATATTTGAAGGAAAATGCAAAGGAAAAATTGAAAGATATTTCCTCTGAACTTCTGAAGCTGAAAGGTTTTGCTGAGTAAGGTTGTTGCTGAGTGGCGGGCAATAAAATCAGTGAAATAATGACGACGCGCGCAAGACCCTATCAGAATGTTGAGAATTTTAAGTGTTGAAGAGTTAAAGGAAAAGGAAAAGAAAAAAGAAAAAGAAGAAGAAGAAGAAGAAGAAGAAGAAGCAGAGGGGACATCGTTATAAGAAAACGTTTTACCCAAGTAGTTGTGCTTCGCAGGGAAAATCTAAGCTATTAAGATGTCACTTTTTGTAGGTCCACTATATTATACGCCTTAACAAGACTCGTGAAGCCAAGAAAGTCTCGCGAGACTAGACGATGATAAAATTAACCCCTAACTTAATGAGCTATCCCTGCGAAAAATTTCACATTTTCGAACGATAATCGTTAGAAACGATGTTTTTTTTTTACACTTACTAGGAACAAAAAATTTATACTTAATAAGAAACAAATTTTTATAGTTAATAAGAGACAAATTTTTATACTTAATAAGAAACAAATTTTTATACTTGAAAGAAAAGGAGGCTTCAAAAAAAGTTTTTTTTATTTTAAAAATTGAGGGATAAAATGGTGGTTTGATTTCTCCACTTGAGAACGCCAAGGTCACCACCAGGTGGCCAGAAGAATTCCAAGAAAAGGAACTGAACTGACATCTAGCGGTGACCTTGACGTTCGCAGGTGGAGAGTAGCGTCTCCATATTGAATCTCATGAATTTTATAACTATTTTTAATCAAATTTAGAGAGTTTCCTAAATAATATAAACAAATATAAATTTGTAATATACTTTCCTTTTCGATTTTTTATCCCCTTGGATTTTTTACACTCTTGGAATTAATTCCTTCGCTAGATAAATTGTTATTTAAAATCTAGTCTTAGGAAATTAATTAATGTCTTTTCTAAGGAAATAAATAACCGATTTATAAATGTAAATAATACAAATAAATATAAACAATATAAATAAATATAAATAGGTAATATAAATAAATATAAATAATATAAATAAATATAATTATAATTTTTCTTTAGTAATTATTTTTATACAAAAATTTTCAAAGTCTTGAGCTGTTTTATTCGTTGTTGTTGTTATTTTATTTATTTTTAATTTTTTTTCTTTAATAATTATTATTTAAAAAAAAATGTACAGAAATTATTTTTTCGGATAGAAAAATAATATAAGCAAAAGAAGGAAAAAGTATCTGACGTGAAATTTTCGAAGATGACATTTATTGTGAAGAATATTCAGGGGAAAATTTGCATAATGAGAATACAGGTTCACGATGAGAAAAAAAAATGAAACTGTAACTTTTCGCCATCAAAGTGAAAAGTGTCTCTCAAAACACGTATTTTTTTTTTCCTTTTTGTTCTTCTATTCTTCAAGTTTCTGTCGACCCTTGAAGAACACACGAGAGTGTTTGAATAATATCATATATATGAATATACATTTATCCCCGTCGAATAAATTTTTTTCCGCAGGAATCAAAAATTCAAAAGTTTCATTATTTTGCATTTTTTTTCTTCCTTTATCGAGCAAACAGTTTTTTGTTTACCAAAATATTTTTGGTGCAACTCCAAAATTAATAATAATTATTATAACAAAAATTACTATAATTATAACAAAAAATATTTTTTTATTTAAAATTTTAATAATAATTTTTTTAAAAGAATTTCATTGAAAATTTTGCAAATAATTTAATTTATTTAACAACTCTTGAAAATCGAATTAAATTAATATTTTTAAAAATAATTGTATTCTTTCGAGAAATTTTAATAAAATTGTATTGGAAATAATTGAATTGCTCTAAAGAATTTTATTATTTATGAGAATATAATTTTTTTGTTGTAAGAAACAAATTAATTTGTTCAGTAATGTAAATTAAATATTTATTTAGTTATGACAAGTTTTTTTTTAACACAATAATTTATTTTTATTATATTTTTTCTATTTATTTATTTTTTTATTTTTTCGAGTAATAAAATACAAAGAAAATAGAAATAATATCGTCGGCATTGAAGTTGCTTAAAATAGTAAATTTAGAAGATTTAAATATACGAGTTTTGCTTCTACTATACACACATTGAGAATGTTAACTAACCTATTTTTATCGAGAGGAAAATATTTTTTTTAGCATTTTCCGTCTGCGAAATTAATTAAATGTTCGACTCGGTAAAAGCATTTACAAATACCTTCTAATATGTCGAATGAGGTCCATCCTCAGGGATACGCTCTATAAGCAAGAAATATATAAATGGAACCGAGTTTGCACGTGTTAATTAGAACTCGAGCTTCGTAAATCCTCGTTCTAAAATCGGATCTTTTAATAATCTTCTTAAAAAACATAAACTAGAAAATTTTCTCCGCTTATTTTGATACTTAACTTTAAAGTTCTCATTTTTGTTTGCCAGATATTTTTCCTTATTTTTCTATTTTAGTTTATATATCATAATTTTTGACTCTAATTTTTTTATTTTCTAAATATTTTTCTATTTTAGTTTATATTATAATTTTTGACTCTAATTTTTTATATTTGTTAATATTAGGTATTTTTCTATTTTAATTTATATTATCATTTTTGACAATATTTTTTATTTGCTAATTATTTTTCTATTTTAATTTATATTATCATTTTTGACCCCAAGTTTTTATTTTACAATTTTTTTTCTATTTTAATTTATATTATTGTTTTTGACACTATTTTTTGATTTGCTAATTGTACTACGCTGCCTCGTCCTCGAGATCAATTATTTTGTAGTAATGGAATTACTATTCGTTTCGCACAGATATTTTAAATTCAAACTAAAATAAAAAGGATAATTCCCTTGCCACTCTGTAGATGTCGTCTCTTCGCCGCCATGACACTTACATTATGGAGTTTCTGTGTGTTTCGTGCACATCGCGAAAAATTCTCGTCTCGGAAAAGTTATATTTAAAGTGATTTTTAAGTGTTCTTGAAGAATGAATTCATCATCGGATGAGTATCAGCGTGCTGGGAAACGGAGGAGACAACACAGCGGTGATCGTTTTCCGAAAAAACGGGAGAAATCAATGGAAAAAGTGAAACGACGAAGTCGTTCAAGAAAACGACGCCCATCCACATCCTCACGTAGCAGCTCATCCTCCACAGAAAGAGGATCAAGGGAATTCAGCCGAAGAACCAAAAATAGTGAGCGTTTACGCAGAGAAACGCCACGCAGAACATTACCTGCAAGTCGGAGCGGCGAGCGTCACCCACGCGGTGCGCCACGCAAACGAAGCAGGTACAATGATTCTAACCTCGACAGGAACAGATACGACTCAGTGAGTGAGAGTTCTGTATCATCACACCCCGACGAGCGGAGCTCGAGCAGTCCGCCTCGGGATGAAACAGAAAAACCTGCTCACGAAACGACACAATCCGGAAAAAATCAGCCTGGAACAGAGGAGAAGATTGCCAAACAGGCGTCAGTGGAAGTCGATAATGCAGATCCCCTGTTGAGCCAACTGGACTCTACGGAGTTCGAGAAAAAAGCGACGGGGGAGCCCGTGAATGATTCCGTGTCAAAGTTGTGGTCGAACATTTTCAAAACAGGCTTCAAAAAAGATCGAGAGAAGGAACTCCTCGAAAAATATCCGCCAGCGGAAAACTGTACTTTAATGGCCACACCAAAGTTAAATCCGGAAATAAAGACGGCTTTGAAAAAACACCCAAAGACCTTGAAGAGAGAATCATACCAAACCAGTTACCAGAATCAAGTGAGTGCGGCTTTGGCGGCAATTGGCACGGGATTGACTCGAATATTAAATGCCGAAAACCGCAATGAACACAAAGAACTATTCGAAACATTAAGTGACGCGGGAAAAATAATGGCAGCATTACATCATAACATCTCAATGGCAAGAAGGGCCATTATTCAACCATGTCTAAATGTTGTAGTCAGTGAAGTGGCCGAAACTACAGAAGTCGATTCCCTATTGTTCGGGGAAACCTTCTCCGAGAAGTTGAGGGCCGCAAAGGAGGTGGAGAAAAGAGGAGAGGATGTCACCAAAGCCACGAATACTTTGACTGTCAAAAAAGGCACCAACACCACGAGAGGAAGGAACGACTTCAAGTCCGGCAATTTAAACTGGCGGGGCCCTCCCAGGCGCAGTCACAACAGACAGCAACAAGGAGGGCCAATGATGAATCGGAGTTACCATCAGCGAGCGCCCAGGAAATAGAGGTAAGAAAAATTGCTTGTCGGCTAAAATATCATATAGACTCATGGAAACTGTTGTCATCTGACCCTCATATTTTGAATTGCGTCACCGTTTACACATTGCCTTTTGTAAACAAACCATCTCAGTCAAATAAACCCAGTGAACAAAAAATGTCACGAGAGGAAAAGACTAAGATGTTAAAGGCAATTTGTGTGTTAGAGGAAAAGGGAGCAGTAAAGCAAAAACCTTATGACAAAAAACAGTTTCTGTCCCCGTACTTCTTGCGTCAAAAACAAGATGGCAGTGACAGATTCATCTTGAATTTAAAATCACTGAAAAATTTTTTTTGAATCCCCCCACTTTAAATTAGAATATTTGAAAGTCACCTTAAATTTAATAAGTAAAGGGTACTATATGATTTTAATTGATTTGAAAGACGGATACTTGCACATTCCAATCACAAGTAAACACAAAAAATTCCTCAGATTCGAATTTGACGGGAACATATTTGAGTTTCAGTGCATGCCTTTCGGCCTTTGCACTGCACCATACACGTTCACTAAATTACTGAAACCGGTAGTTCAGAATCTAAGAGAATTAGGTATCACACTCGTCATTTATTTAGATAACATACTAATAATTGCCGAAACTGAAACGGAGTATAACGAAAGTGCTCGAAAAACCCTAGAACTTTTAAAAACTCTTGGGTTAGTTATTAACCGGGAAAAAAAAGTAAACTTGTCGCTTCAACTCAATGCAGATTCCTAGGTTCAATTATAGATAGTATAAAAATGAGTGTAGTATTACCGGACGAAAAAAGACAAGGGTCGTTAAAATTAATAAGAGATTTTCGAGAAAAAAAAAAAAAAAAAAAAAAAAAAAAAAAAGAATGTAAGATCAAAATTCGGACTGACCTAAATTGGTTGCTTTCGAAATTGGAATTTGCAAGTAATCCTATCTGAAATCCAAAGCGAGCAGGCGGAAGGGGTTGTGGTGGTACCCTACTGGCCATCACAACCGTGGTATCCGTTATTCAAATCTCTTTTAGCATCCGAAATTATTCATTTTGAGCCCAATAAAAAATTGTTGTCATGTCCATACAGAAAGCAACACCCACTCGCGGTCAAACTTATCCAGGTGGCCGCACTGTTATCAAGGAAGGCTTCAAGATGAGAGGACACACGGAAGAGACCGCCAACATCATGTTGTCGTCGTTATCCGATAGAACGTTGAACCAGTACAATAGAGGACTTAATCTTTGGTGGAGCTTCTGCCAACTAAACAACAACTCTTTGTACGACAGCCCAGTACCAATGATTCTGAGATTCTTCACCGAAACACTGGACTCAGTGAAATCCTACAGTACATTGAATATATATAGGGCAGCGTTGTCATTGATAATGAATAATGAGCACAGCAAAAACCCACAAATAGTCAGGTTCTTCAAAGGAGTGTCCAACATGAAACCACAGGCACCGAGATACGACACAACATGGAATCCGCAGTTAGTATTAAATCATTTGATAACGTTATATCCCAACGAAAATATCACGTTGGAAAATTTAACAAAAAAGTTAGCAACATCTATGGCTCTAATCACAGGACAGAGGTTGCAAACATTGCATAAAATCAGATTAGAATACATAAACGTAACTCGCGAAAATATCATACAAATAAAAATACCAGATAAAATAAAAACTTCGGGTAGAAACAGGAAGCAGCCGCTGCTCAACATACCGTTTTTCGAAAAACAACCACAAATATGTGTGGCATCAACGCTCCAAGCATATATAGAAAGGACAAATGCACTGAGGACAGGAAATACGAGCAGCCAAAAATTATTTTTATGTTACCAAAAGCCACACAAGGAAGCCACTGTGCAGTCGATTAGCAGGTGGATAAAACAAATCTTGGACGAAAGTGGAGTGGACTCGGGATTCACAGCGTACTCGACAAGACATGCATCGACTTCGGCAGCGCTCAGAAATGGAGCAAACATTGAAACGATAAGACAAGCGGCTGGATGGACTGCTCAATCGAAAACTTTTGCGAACTTTTATAACTTACCACTGAGGCAAGAAAAAACGTTTGCAGAAGCGATTTTTGAAGAAAGCGATTCAGATTAATAACATGTCTAATTTTTCTTTTTTCTTTATCATTTTCACTTTATTCTCTTTTTCTTAAATCATCAAGTTTATTTTTGTTAAGCGTAAATCGAGCTAAAAATTCAGTTATTTCCAATTTTCTCAATTCTGTTCGAATGTTAAACAACGAAAGTACAAATCTGTATAAAACAAATAAAGTAACACAGAGTACAAAATCACAACCATTATATCTTTGAACAACTACAAAATAATTGATCTCGAGGACGAGGCAGCGTAGTACAATTAAAAGATTGAACGAACTTACCTAAGTGAAGTTCAATCAGAATTGTGCTAGCTGCCTCGTCCGAAGAGATCACACCCACCCAAATCATGTAAAACAAAATCACCCACATCCCTGGTTGCGATTTATAGTACAATATCTTTGAAATTAATGAAAGTGTCATGGCGGCGAAGAGACGACATCTACAGAGTGGCAAGGGAATTATCCTTTTTATTTTAGTTTGAATTTAAAATATCTGTGCGAAACGAATAGTAATTCCATTACTACAAAATAATTGATCTCTTCGGACGAGGCAGCTAGCACAATTCTGATTGAACTTCACTTAGGTAAGTTCGTTCAATCTTTTAATTAGTTTTCTATTTTAATTTATATTATAATTTTTTATCCTAATGTTTTTATTTGATACCTATTTTTTTATTTTAATTTTTAATTATAATTTTTAAAAATTAAAATTCTAAAATTTTTTATAATTTTTTTATTCGCTAATTATTTTTCTTTGAACATTTACCTAATTATAATTTATAAAAATTAAAAGAATTGTATATTATATACACAATATTCTCTCCAAGTTGCACGTGAAAAATAAGAGGAAACGATTCAATAAAAATATTTATTGATTAGTGATATAATTTATAGTCTCGCAAGATAATTAAAAATAATGAAAGAAAGAGAAGGAAAAATAAATTAATTGAATATAAAAATTTCTACAATAGATATAATATATGAGTTATTAATGAAGTCTTTTAATCAGTAATGACAGCACGTTCTTAATTGACAAAGAAAAAAGGCTGTTTCATTTAAGTGGCGCGTCCTGTTAAGCAATATATGTGCTACTGCTTTGTTGCTCACTTTTTTTTGCATATTATATAGACGAGAACAATTCCAAAGAAATGGGATTACAAAGAAATTCAATTTATTAGCTCACTTTGTAGCACGAGTTGAAAGCGGCGGCATTGCAATCAGTTACTATCCACAAATCTTGTTTTTCTATAGGACTCGTTTAACATTTCCTTTATAGAATCGAATGTTGTTGTTGTTGTTGAACTTTTAAAAATCGAAGAAATTTAATCGAAAATTCGAAAATAAGGGCGAAATGGAAAAATATAGAATCAGATTTGAAAATCTATGGAAATTCGAAATGAACATCAATTTTGAAGTTGTTTTACATTACAAAGAGTGTTTCTTGATTGCTTTTAACAGTTTTTGTTTTGTATATAAAGTTTTAGAATCTTTAACTTATAAATTATTACTTAACTAGCAAATGATTATTTGACGAAATTGTTTAAAAAAAAAATCATTATTTTTTAACTTTTTAATAAAATTCCTTCAAAAAATACAACTATTTTCTAAAACTCAGATAAAATCCTTCGAAACAATTCAATTATTTTTATGAATTGTAAAATTCTCCGGAAGAATATAATTATTTTCATAAATAAAAAAATTCTTCGCAAAAATTAAAATGTTTCCATAAATAATAAAAATTCTACAAAGGAATTCAATTATTTTCATAAATAATAAAATGTTTCGGAGGACTTCAACTATTTTCACGACAATTTTAATAAAATTTCTCGAAAGAAAACAATTTTTTTTAAAAAATATTATTTAAATTCAATTATTTTCAAGAGTTTTAATAAAAATTCAATTATTTTCAACAATTAGGTAATAAAAAAAATTCTTCGAAACAATTCAGTTATTTTTTTTATAAATTGTAAAATTCTTGATATGAATAACAATTATTTTTGTAAATAATAAAATTCTTCTGAGAAATTCAATTATTTTCAGATACAATTTTAATTAAATTTCTGAGAAAGAATTCAATTATATTCAAGATAATTTTAAGAAAATTTCTCAAACAGGTTCAATTATTTTTAAAAATTGTAATAAAATTTTTCTAAACATTTCAGTTGTTCCCAAAAGTTTTTAATAAAATTCTTTGGAAATTTCAATTATTTTCAAAATTTTCAATTAAAATTTTATCAATTATTTTCAATTAAAGTAAAAAATTACATTATTTTTACGAAATTTAATGAAATTCTTTTAAAAAAAAATGTTTATTATTTACAAAAACTCTAATAAAATTATTTCTTTCCAAGAATTAAATTATTTTCAATACAATTTTAATTATATTTTCTCGAAAGAATTCAATTATTTAAAAAATTTTTGATAAAACTCTTGAAATTAATTCAATTAATTAAAATTTCTTTATTTATAGGTATACTTTACAAGAATTCAATTATTTTCAGTTACAGCAAAAATTTAAATATTTTTGAAAATAATTGAATTCTTGAGAATAGAATTTTATTGAAACTTTTTTAAATAATTGAATCCCTGTCAAAAAAAATTTATTTCTGCAAATAATTAAATTTTTGCAAAATTTTAAAAAATAAATAAGTTTTTTAGAAGAATTTTATTAAAATTGTATTTAAAATAATTGAATTCCATCGAAAATTTCATTATTTTAAAAAATAATTGAATTCTTGAGAATTGAATTTTATTTATAAAGTTTTTTAAATAATTGAACTCCTGTGAAAAATTCAATTATTTTTAAAAATAATTAAATTTTCTTGGAGAATTTTTACAAAATTTTTATAAATAATTGAAATTTTCCCTAGAATTTAATTAAAATTTTATTTCAAATAATTGAATTCCAGCGAAAATTTCATTATTTTTAAAAATAATTGAATTCTTGAGAATTGAATTTTGTTTAAAATTTTTTTAAATAATTGAACTCTTGTGAAAAATTCACTTATTTTTTAAAAGAATTGAATTTTCTTGGAGAATTTTTACAAGATTTTTTAAAAGTAATTGAAATTTTCGAAAAAATTAATTAAACTTGTATTAAAAATAAGTGAAATCCTGATAAGAATTTTATTATTTATATAAAAATAATTGAATTTTTTACGAAGATTTTTAATTATTTATAAATTGGCTAAAGAATTTTGTTAAAATTATTGAAAATAATTGAATTCGTCATAAAACTCAATTATTTTTAAAATTTTTTTACAAATACTTTAATTGAATTCAATGATTAAGTATCAGTATATCAATTTTCAAATTTTAAACATTTAAAAAGAAAAATTATTATAAAAATTAGGAAACAAAAAAGAAAATTAATAAAAAATTCAACAAAAAGAAAATAATTTATAATTAAAATAATTCTCCGCCTTCCGCTTTTTAAAAAAAAAATAAATATTTGCAGAAAGGAAAAATTTACATAAATCCGATCATTTTTCTTTTTTCCCTTAAAAATTATTAATTCTTCCACAGAAACGAGCAATCGCTGCGATTTTCAAATCAAATATAATTCAATTTTAGTTTTCCATTAAGTTAAAGCATCGCACTTCGCTAACATAGGCTATATCAAAATTAAAACAAAAAAAAACTTCTCCTCCGATAAAATTTTGTTCGCATTTGTTGAGGCGTATCGCTTGTTTCGACTATACGAGAGAAATTTTCCACTCGTTTTTCGAGAAATCAAATTAAAATGCAATTTCCGGAGGTATAACGATGACCGAAAGTGGCTCAAAACGATTATAACATTTTATGAACTGTTATCTTCATTCAAGTGAGTTAGTGTGTTCAATTATTAATCTTACTTCTATTTAGAAAACAAAATCACAAAATCGTAATTAAATAAAAATATTTTTTTTATTTAATTACGATTATATTTTTTATCTTTTTAATTCAAAAAAAATTTCACTACTTTAAGGAAATTTTTATTTGGTCCAATGAACACTTTCGCTATTCTAGAGAAATAAAAAGAAAAAAAAATAACAAAATCGTAATTAAATAAAAATATTTTTGGAAAAAATATTTTTATTTAATTACGATTTTGTTATTTTTTTTTTCTTTTTAATTCAAAAAAAGAATTTCACTACTTTAAGGAAATTTTTAGTTGGTTCAATTAACACTTTCGCTATTTGAGAAAAATTTATCCCTGTTCGAAGTAAAACTTTTTTTTTCTATATTTTCTTGGAAAAATTAGTAATTTTCAAAGGTCACACGATTTTTTTTCCGGTAAATTAAAATTATTTCCCTACGAAAAAATAAAGGAGAAAAAAATTATATGCAATTTATTTTTTATCTACTTTATTGTTTCCAGGAGTGAAACATGAGATTTTTTTTTTTGTTTTCGCGAACAAAATAAAAAATATTTTTTGCATCAAAAAAGAAAATCTGTTTTTGTCGCATTAAAAGTGAATGATAACAATATATAGCCGCGGAGATTATGAGAACATAAAATGTTACAACCATAGCATTTTCACTTTCAAGAGATTCTATTGAAGCAATATTCATTAACGATGCCATAAAAATGTTTGTTTCACTTTTGTTAAAAGCGATCACGTGATTTTCATCCACTATCGAAATGAATATTATCAAAAAATGATTTTTTAAAGCCCTTTGAAAATAAATAAATGCTGAAAACAAATTTCCTCAATTTTCAAATTGAAGAGATAATTGAATATGGAGAAACAATTTTTTTCATCCACTCTTGAAATTTAGTTTTTAAATTATTTTTTTTATTGTTTTTTTGTTTTTGCATTTTTTTTAAGCAAATTTAAACAATTTTATTTGGTTTGAATCTAGTTTTTTTTAAATCAATTATATTTGGTTCAAATCAATTATATTTGGTTCAAATAAATTATATTTGGTTCAAATCAATTTTATTTTGTTCAAATCAATTATAATGATTTGAATAATATTTTTTTGAAACTAAAATAAAAAGTATTTTTTTAACTTGGTAATTATTAAGTCGTGAAAATAAAGAATTTGTACAGATTTTTTTTGAAAGAAACAAAAATATATTTTTTGTTATTGATCCAGCGCTATTTTCTCTGTCCATGCAATATTGAAGTGCTTTTCTGCTTATCTCTCAAGCTTGCGAACAAATATTGCACGATCTCTCTACTTCGCACGCTTTTCTGTATCAAACAAAGACTCAATATTTGGTCAGTAAGCGAGAGGCAAAAAAAAACTTCGATACTTACGAATATTGCAATTTTTTTATTTTTATTTTCCAGTCAAAAATTGCGAATTTGCAAAAAATATTTAAATTTCAAATTCTCACTTTAATAAAAATTTTTAAATTATTATCAGTAGAATAATTTTACAAAAAAAAATAATAAAATAAATCGGTAAGAAATTTGTACACCCAGAAAAAAAAATTAACTCAGGACCAACTGGACTTTTTATTTGTTAAAAAATTACTTTTTATTTGTTTCAAATAAATTTTATTTGTTTTAAATTATTTAAATAAATTTTATTTGGTTCAAATTAATTTTATTTGATTGAAATCAATTTTATTTGCCTCAAATTTTATTTGGTTCAAATATACTTTTTTTTTGTTCAAAATTTTATTTAGTTTCAAATATATTTTATTTGCTTCAACCAAAAAAATTTATGTTTGTCGAATATAAAATTTCCAATTAAAACAAATAAATAATTTATCATGATTTTGAGAAAAATACACTTTTATTTAACTCAAATAAATTATTATTTGGTGTAAAAAAAATTTTCCAAGATTAAATATTAAAATTTTGAGATTAAAAAAAAAGAGGATATAAATCTCCCTTGATTAAATTAAAAAGTTTTTTTCTCCTGCCGAATGTTGAAAAATTTCAAAGTCTGATTGTATTTCTGCGAAAAATACATGTCTCACAGTGAGAGAAAGTCCTGAAAAGAAGTTGGATCAAGTTTCGAGGACAAAGGATGAAAACCCGGAAATAACTTCTTTTTTATGTTTGAGGGAGAGAATTAAGTTTGGGGGGATAAAGATTAAAGAAGAAAGAAGATGAAGTCGTGTTTATTTCTATTTTCTTCCTTTTTGAAAAAAAAACACTTTCAAACAGTAAAAAATTTACAACTGGAATATTATAGAAATATTTAATTCTCGATATCTCGATGAAAGAAAAAAAAAGAAAAACAATTTTCATTTAAATAAAAGAAACTGGAAAAAATTGATTTGATTCAAATAACCAATTACATTTACGATCAAATAACTATTTACTTGACTCAAATAATTTTTATCTCGATTTTTATTTAAGTCAATTAAATGGTATTTGTACTCAAAAATTATTTCAATTGAAAAATTATTATAATTATAATAAATGATAGAAGTTTTAATAAATAATGATAAAATATTATTTGGGGAAATTTATTATTTTTCGCCTAATAATTCGAATGAAAGGAAATGATTCCTCTAATTTCTGAATTTAATTGAACTTTCGAAATCGTGAATGCTCTTGGTTCATTGTGACATGACGTTAATGAAAATCCTTCAATGAAGGGATTTCGTCTGTTTCAATATTCATGAGCTATTATTCGATAATGCCAGTGCACTATGCCGTTTAGGAAACCTATCCTCTCGGTTCATAATTGATTTGCGCATATTATTAAAAATCAACTCCCGAAACTTCATTATTCCAGAAGGAAAATTTATAGTTTCCTCTTTCTAAGAAATTTATTACAAATTTTAGGTTTTTCTTTATTATTATTTTTATTATTTTTTTATTTGGTTTTTTTTTAATATTATTATTTTTCCTTATTGCAGTTTATAAATTATTTAATATTATTTATTTAATTTCGACTATTATTGTTTTTCAACTATTATTTATTTTCGACTACTATTTATTTTCAACTACTATTTATTTCGACTATTATTTATTTTTCGATTATTATTTATTTTCGACTATCATTTATTTTCAACTATTAATTTTTTTTCTTCAGCTGGAGCCGCTCCTGATGAAAATAGCCAAAGGTCCAGCTCTGCACACCATCGCCACTCTCTCACGAAGGGTAAGTTTTCTGTTAAATAATTTCTTAACTAAAACAATTTTCAAAATTAAACAAATATAAATTTTAAAAAAAAATTATTTTTGCTAATTATGCAGATAAGTATATTTTTTTTATTTTTTTTTTTTTGTAAATTCTTTCAAAAAATTGGAAAATTAAATTCTTACATTTTTTTTTACAAATAAAGTATTTCAAATATAGAGTTTTTTATTTTGTTTCCACGAAATCACGTTTTCGTGACTCTATGTTTTTTCTAGTAATTTTTAAATTGTTTAGCTATAATTTAGCTTTAGAAAAGTTTATAGAGTCTGAGTCTAAAATACAGATATATGAACTCACGATAGACCATTTTTGTGCACGTCACAAGTGACACAAGTTTGCATGCAATATGTGACACACGCTTTTTTTTAATCAAACAATACAAAAATTTTTATTATTATTTTTTTCGCCTTTTTTTAATATACACTTGGCGAAAATATTTTATTTCGAATTTTTTATCACGCTTTGTCATTCAGACTACACTTTTTTTTACTTACAATTAGAACTAAATACTGTAACTTTGTTTTTATTTTTTTTATTTATTATTTATTTTTATTTATTTTAATATTATTTACACTAAAAAAAAAAAATTTATTTGATTTAAATAACCGATTACTTGTACTACAAAATGTTTACTTGAATCAAATAAATATTTACTTGAAGCAAATAAATGTTTACTTGAATCAAATAAATATTTACTTGAAGCACATAAATGTTTACTTGAATTAAATAAATATTTTCTTGAATCAAATACATTTTTACTTGAATCCAATAAATATTTACTTGAATTAAATAAATGTTTACTTGAATCAAATAAATGTTTACTTAAATCAAATAATTTTTATCTAAATCAAATAAATTTTATTTGAACCAATAATTTGTGTTCGAACCACTAATTTCAAAATTTGAAGCAAGTGCCATTTAATTGAAAATAAAAATTAATTGCGTGATTTTGTGATTAATTTTTTTCTTTTTTATTATGAAAGTAGCAAATACGGAAAATTTTTTACACAAAGAGTCTATAAATCAAAGTATTAAAATTTGATAGCCGGAATATAAATTAAAAACATAGAAAAAATTAATTAATTTAGGAATATATATTAGTTAAGAAATTTTGCAAATATTGGCCACTCAAAATAAATTTAAAAAATTTATTATAAAGCACAAAATGTACACAGACAATATTTTTAGATTAGTATAAAATACAACACAATTTTCTCCTTGTTTTGTTGCTTAATTGTTAATTAATTATTATTTATTTATTTGCATATTTAAACAGGCTTACAAGAAATTTAAAAAATGCTCTTTCCTACTAATACTACTAATTTAAACAAATTAAACTAATTAACAAATTAGAATAACAATTTTAATTAACAATTTTAATTAACAATTTTAATTAATAATTTTAATTAACAAAATTATTATTAATTATTAAAATAATTCTTTTTTTAGAATAATTATGGCAAACATTATAATATATTTTATATTTTATATTTATTTATAGTTTAGGCCAAAATTTTTGAATTTCGGTCTAAAACTGTAAAATATAATTTAAATCCAAAAACTTATTCTGTAATAAAATAATAATTATTACAAACAATTATTTTTAATCATTATTTTTTAATAATTATTATTTTATTATTATTATTCATACTACAAATTTATTTTCTATTATCAAACTATAATTATAAATTAATTATACGTATGATAATAACTATTTACTATTTTTTAACAAGTTTTAGTTAAAAATTAATAATTTAAAAATTCTTTTTTTTAAATAAGTTTCTTAATTACTTTTCGCTCCTTTTTCCTCGGAACAAAGAAAGAATTTTTTTATTTTACAACAAAAAAAAATTGTGTAAAAAAAAATTCCGAACAAAAATGTCTCTTAAAATTATACTTCAAGTCTATAGAATGGGAATTTTTTTTTTCCTTTTTGTATCGATATTTTCTGGTATGATGAGATTGTCGAGAGAATCTTTTTCTTGACCCTTGTGGTGATATTGAGAGATAATATTGTTGGCCTGATAGGACTGATAATCGATATATATATATATAGGAAGAAGGGAGGAGAATTACGATCAAGATAGAATAGAGGAAGTCGTTTTCAGCGTTTCCTATCAAACTGGAACCATCTATTTTTTTCCTCTTCTTCTTATCCTTTTCTCTTATGTGCCTCGGTGAAAACTTTATACTTTTAGAACCCAACGAATTTTGATATGAAACGTGTTATGAAAACTTTGTCTACATTTTTCTTTATGTTTTTCTATTTTTCAAAATTTTCTTCTTGATTCAGAAAAGTAAAACTTTTTTCCAAAGTTTGCAAAATTTTTTTTTTTATCAAAAAAATAATCTCCTTTTTGTAAAATAAAAAAATCGGTAATTTAATTTTTTTCCAAAGTTTGCAGATTTTTTTTTCAAAAAACTGTTTTTTTAAATGATAAAACCAAAATCAATATTTGAGACAAATTTAATTTTTCGAAATTCGAAAAAAGAATTTTTTGAAATAAAATACTTTTCCACGAAATAAGAGATAAATCCAAAGTTAATATTTATTTTGGACCAAATTTAAATTCTCAAAATTTGAAAACAGTAGAATTTTTTCCAAAAAGAAGACAAATCCAAAGTCAATATTTTAAACAAATTTAATTTTTCGAAATTCAAAAAACAAAATTTTTTTCCGAAAAGCAGAGAAATCTTTAGTTATTATTTTAAACAAATTTAATTTTTTAAAAATCGAAAAGCAAATTTTTTTCCAGTTTCGAGAAAAGTAGAAAAATATAAAGTCAATATTTTTTTATTTTAGTTTTTCAAAATTCAAAAACTAAATTTTTTTCCAAAAAGGAGATGAATCTAAAGTAAATATTTTAGATTTAGACAAATTAAATTAAAAATTCATGATAGATTTTTGTCAGTTGAGAAAAGAATACTTTTTTCGAATTAGAAATTTATGATAAATTTTTGTTAGTCAAGAAAAGAATATTTTCATTAAATAAAAAATTCATGATAGATTTTTGTCATTTCGAGAAAAAAAATCAAAAAACAACTGTAATATTTTTCTTTTAATTAAAAATTTATGATAAATTTTTCCCATAGTTGAGAAAAATAATAAAAAAAAAAAAAAAGAACGAATATAGTTTACTCATCGCAGTGAAGAAAAACAACTTTGTGTTTATTTTCTCTTGAAAGTAGAAGTAGTATCCTCACTCTCCAAGGAAGATTTTCTCTCATCAGTAATATAATTTTGGTTGAGAGAAGATTTTGGAGGAAATTGTTCAAGTTGCTTTTGTTGGTTAAGTGGATTGTTTGTATAAGAGCAATATCAGAAAAGTTAAATACAGGAAAATCCCCTCATTCATTGCACCACGTTCTGGTTGTGGTGGTGGTGATGGTGATGGTAATGGTAGTATACAGAAATATGTGTTAATCTTTCAGTTGATTCAAAGTGGGCCGCGATAACAATAGAATTCGCCCTCAACCATTCATTTTGCAGTTACTGTTCTCTCTCTTCACTCCACGTCTGATTTACATCCAACTTGCTCATCCTCTTCATTGAAATACTCATGCCTCTCTCAACAATCGCACACTTCACTGATGATGTAATTTACTTTGAATGCTACGTAATAGACTCATCTTGAATAATTTTCTTCGAGAGATGTTCTTTTTCATCAAAAAAAGAACAGTTTTAAGGAAAATCGGGTTAGAATTTTTTTTATATATGTTAATATATTTTTATAAAATAAACTGTCTTCTTTCAGAAAAAGGATTTTTGTTACATTTTTTATACTTTCTTAGTTTTTTTATTTTATTTTTTATTTCTAAATTCAGTCCGAGGCCAAATTCAATTATTTTCATAAATAATAAAATAAATAAAGTAAATTAAAAATTTCCACAGGAATGCATAATTTAGAACAGCATTTTTAAAAAAATTTAGAAAAAATCAATTATTTAACAAAATTTTTACACAATTCTTGAGAATAATTCAATTACTTTCACTAATAATTATATTTTTCATAGAAATTCAATTTAAAAAAAAAATTTTTTGATAAAATTTTTATCTAAACAAGAATTCAATTATTTTCATAAATAAATAAAACTCATCCAAGAATTTCAATTATTTGTTAAACTATTTTAATTATTTACAATAAAATTTTTGGTAATATTTATTATGTTTTGAAAAAATTAATTATTTAAAACAATGTTTATAAAATTCTTCCGAAGAATTCAATTATTTTTAAAAATATAACAAAATTTTTCAAAGAAATTCAATTCTTTTTAAACATTTTAATAAAATTTTTCGCAATAATTCAATTATTTTCATAAATAATAAAATTCTCCTCAGGAATTCAATTATTTTTGAAAATTTTAATAAAATTCTTTGCAACTATTCAATTATTTTCATAAATAATAAAATTCATCGCAGGATTTCAATTATTTTTAATTACAATTTTACAGGAATTACTTTAAAAATGTAATTATTCTTAAAAATTTATTTTCAATTCCTCGAAAAAATCAATTATTTAAAAAAAATGTTTTTTTTCAATTCTTTGAAAGAATTCAATTATTTAAAAAAATATTATAATTTTTCACTAGAATTCAATTATTTATAAATATTCTAATAAGATTGTTTAATTTTAATTAAATTTTTTTAGAAATAATTCAATTATTCTTTTAGATTTTAATTAAATTCTTCCCAAGAATTCAATTATTAACGATAAATCACAAAATTATTCCCGAAAATTTAATTATTTTGAGGTGTTTTAATAAAATTTTTTACACAATTCAAATATTTTTATAAATAACAACATTTTTTACATAAATTCAATTCTTTTTGAACATTTTAATAAATTTTTCGCAATAATTCAATAATTATTTTCATAAATAATAAAATTCTTCTAAGGAATTCAATTATTTTTGAAAATTTTAATAAAATTCTTTACAACTATTCAATTATTTTCATAAATAATAAAATTCATCACAAGATTTCAATTATTTTTAATAAAATTTTACAGAAATTACTTCAAAAATGTAATTATTCTTAAAAATTTATTTTCAATTCCTCGAAAAAATCAATTATTTAAAAAATGTTCTTTGTAAATTCTTTGGAAAAATTCAATTATTTACAAAAATATTAGAATTTTTCACAGGAATTCAATTATTATTTTCAAACATTTAAAAAAAAATTGTTCGAAAGAAGTCAATTATTTTAAATACAATTTTAATTAATTTTTTTTAGAAATAATTCAATTATTCTTTTAGATTTTAATAGAATTCTTCTCAAGAATTCAATTATTTACATAAATAATTCTTCGAAAGAATTTGATTATTAAAGATAAAGAACAAAATTATTCCCGAAAACTCAATTATTTTGTGGCATTTTAATAAAATTCTTTGCAAAATTCAATCATTTTCATAAATAACAATATTCATCACAAGAATTCAATCATGTTTAAAAGTAATAAATTTTTTCTTAAAAATTCAATTATTTAAAAAAGTTCTAATAAAATCGTTTGCAAGAATTCAATTATTTTCATAAATAATAAAATTCATCGCAGGAATTCAATTATTTTCAAAAAAATGTAATAAAATATCACACAGACATTCAATTATTGTCAAAAATTTTAATAGAATTCTTTGTAAAATGTAATTATTAAAAGCTTTTTTTAAAAACTTTTCGCAATTCAACGATTTTCAATATCTACTATTTTCATAAAATTTCCAAACAGAATTCAATTATTTAAAAAAATTTTCGTAAAAGTCTTCGTAAGAATTCAATTCTTTTCTTGAATAATAAAAATTTTTCAGGAATTCAATTATTTAAATTAGAATTTGCATAAAATTAGTCGAAAGAAATGAATTATTTAAAAATTTTTATAAAATTCTTCACAAGAATTAAATTATTTTCATAAATATTTAAATTCCTTCATGAATTATATGAAATTCGTTGAAGGAATTCAATGTATTAGTATATAGGATAAGAAAGAAGTAAATATTATTTATGTAAATTAGGAAAAAGTCATGAAAATAAAATATAGAATGGAATTTTTGGCAAGTTTCTAAAACGAGTTTTTTTTTGGTCCTCTTTTTTAATTTTTCGATAGCTATTTTTTTTACTACTTTTTTTAGTTTGAAAGCTACTTTTTGCTACTTTTTTAAAATTAATTATCGAGTGTGAAGTCTGATCAAGTGGAAAAAAATCCCCCCTCCCCCCTTTTTTACAATTTAAAAAAGAATTTAATTTTTATTTAAAAGAACAATGCAACTGTAATTAAATTAATTAACGCGAATTTAAACAATTGAAATTAGATCATGATTCAGAGAGATGGTTAAATAGATCCAGAGAGAGAGAGAGAGAGAGAGAGACGACAGCTATTTTGAAAATGAATTCTATATAGTATTCCTTTTGCACTTGAAAAGCTTGTAATTAAATGATTGAATACTCTCGGTTATGGTATCTGCTGACCTGAAAATAACGTACAGGATTTCAATCGGATTTCCTTTTATAATTTTCCAACTAGGACAAATTCTACAATTGCTGCGAGCAAATTTCACATACATACATATATATATATAAAAAAAGAAATCCATAATTGAAACTTTTTTTTTCTTCTTTTCAAAAGTATAATATAGATCTTCAATTAGCCTGATGGAATTGGAAATGTATCGACGTTTCCTTTTTTAGTTTCTTGAAAAAAAAAAAAAATTGGAAAAATGTAAAAAGAACTTGACGAGTGAAACAAAATTAGAAGAAAAATATTCCCTACTGGGAAAAGAGTTGAGAATTTTCGAAATAAGAGACTAGTGACGTTTAAGAGAAGAAGTGACAATTTAATTCCGTTTATGGATTATAGGCTGGCTCTCTTCTAATTCCTTTCCTGAGGAATTTTGTCAGGATTCTTGTCTCTGGAAATGCAACTATCCATCTGCTTAGTTAATTTTATTTATTTTTTTATTTTCTTATTTATTTATATTTTTATTTATTCTTTTATTTATTTTTTTATTTATTTATATTTTAATTTATTTTTTTATTTGTTTCTATTTATTTTCTTATTTGTTTTTTATTAATTTTTTTATTTATTTTTTTTATTTGTTTTTATTTATATTCTTATTTATTTTTTATTAATTTTTTTATTTACTTTTTTTATTTACTTTTTTAATTTATTTTTTTATTTATTTATTTTTTTATTTATTTATTTTTTTATTTACTTTTTTATTTATTTTTTATTCATTTTTTAATTATTATAAAAATAATATTTAAAAAATTTTCGTCTCGATTTTGAATCGAGTTTTCGTGAATGAAATTTTCACCGCAGAAATTATCAAGTCGAGTATTTAATGATTTATATGGAAAAGTGTAATTTTCTTATCTTTCTCATTGAATGCATTGCGCACGAAAATGTTAAATTGTGTGCAGAGAGAAAGAGAGAGAGAGAGAGAGAGAGAGAGAGAGAGAGAGAGAGAGAGAGAGAGAGTCTGATAAATTTTCATAATGAGAAAATATCTATCTTGGAACTAAAAAGCAGATAGGTACTGAAATTTCCGATGCACAGTGACATTTTCATATCCGCAGTGTCGCGTCAACTGACATTTTACATTAGAATTACTAATGACGTGTGTCCTAATTATCTACACTGCGAAATTTCACACCCTTCACAGTGAACAATTTTTTTTTCTCTATTCTCTCTCTCTCTCTCTCTCTCAAAAAACCATTTTTGAATTTTCTTTTTTTTAACTTGTCCTACTTAAATAAAATGAAATAAATTTTTTTTTATTTATAATTCTCGAATATTTCTTTATTTCCTTTTTGTGTAATTTTAATTTTCCTTTTTGTTTCTGAAAAAAATTTAATATTTCACTGCGGAAAATTCGGAATTTTTTGAAAAAAAATTCAAATAATTGAAATATAGAACAAAAATTATTGAAATATTCGACGAGAATATTTTTTCTATTATTTCACGATAATTCTTTTATTTCATTATTCGACAGGAATATTTTTTTTCAATATTCCACCGAATATATTTTCTTACTTTTCACTGAAAGATTTTTTTTTCTTTATTTGCAATTGTATTTAATTTCTGAAGCTTTTTTATTTAAAAAGTAGTTTAATTTCTAAAATATTTATTGAAAAAATAATTTAATCTCTGGAATTTATTTAGAAAATTAATTTAATCTCTGGGATTTTTTATTCAGAAAATAATGTAGTATATTGTGGAATTTTTTATTTAAAAAATTATTTAATTTCTGGGATTTTCTATATTGAAAAAATAATTTAATGCCTGAGATTTTCTATTCAGAAAATAATTTATTCTATAGAAATTTTTATTTGAAAAATAATTTAATTATTCCACCGAAAATATTTTCTTACTTTCCACTGAAAGATTTTTTTTCTTTATTTGCAATTGCAACAAAAAGGAATATTTTTACACGAAAAAAAATAAAAAAAGCAAATTGAAAACAAAAAAGAAATATTTTTACACAAAAAAAAATTGAAAATTAAAAAAAATTGAGACAAAAATTGAATTTTTGTTTATATTTGTTAATTTCCCATTTAGAACAAACGATGCATTGGTTTGCTCAACTTGGTGGCGAAGACATCTCGATTCATCCCCCAGGTAAACAAAAAGATTGCCAAAAAGTTTGTCGATTAACTGAAACCGTTTTTGCCTCATTTAATTCTCTGAGCAATCGTTGGAAGTAATGTTGTCATTGGCATTTATCCAAAAAAATTTGTTCTGCAGTGTTTTTTTTCTCGATTTAATTCTGGTTTTTTTGAATGGAAAAATAACTAATTTATGCGTGTCTCTATTCTTTCGCAAAAAAAAAAATGCAAACAAATAATTATTTTTAAATAATTTTTACTAATGAAAAAAAAAATATTTTTACTAAAATGCTAATTTAATCACTATGCTATAAATTAATTATACTATTTAAATACTATTAGGTTATATTTTTTTTATTTAAATAATTTACTAATAAATAATTTAATATTACAAAACTTTTTTTTGCTTTTAAAAGAAATTTCTTGGAAGCGCGTTACAATTAATAATAGTTAAATTGATTAAATTAAACTATAAATATATATAATTAAATAATATATTTAATAATATATTAAATAATATATTTAATTAAACTACTTTAATAATTTAAAGTCAAATTGTAATTAATTTTGTGATAACAAAATTATAATTTAATAATAATTAAACTACTTTAATAACTTAAATTCAAATTGTAATTAATTTTGAGAAACAAATTGAGATCATAATATTATAACTTAATAATAATTAAATTAATTTAGTATTTTTAAATTCAAATTCTAATTAATTAAAACAAAAATATATTTTTTGATAATTTAATTAAAATCTTTGATAATCGTTTTTAATCTTTTTTTTTATTCAACAATATTTCAATTAATTTAATAATTCAAATTGAAAATAAAACTAATTAACAAAAACAAAAATAAAATCTCTATCGCAATATAATTAAGATTAAAATAAATTTCCAGATTTTCCTTTGCAAAAATTTCTAAACAGATTTTATTGTAGAGAATTTTTTTCTTCTTGTTTGATTTTGAAGAAGTTATGATTTAAAGAAGAGAAGAGGCAATTGTTGTGGAACAAATTGAATGTCATGCACATGTGGATGAAACGATGTGTGCCTTGTATGTGTGATTTTATTCGACCATTGCTGGCGACGACGAAATTGCTGAATATATGCTTTTAACTGAATTTACTGCCTTCCAGTAGTGGACAAGTTCCAATCGATTTCAATCGAAATGCATTCAGTATGAACTAGTGCGGTCGAAATAATGAGAGTTAAATAACACTATCTCTATATATGTATGTCGAGGGATGAAAAAAGTTTATAGCACATTTTTACGAAAATATATTATCTCCAGTACATTTCTCGAAATAATTTTCTGCATTTCATTCTTGACATAAATTTTTCAACAAAAAAAAAATAAAATAAAATATAAATAAATGTAGTAGATTATTTGGGTAAATGTTTTCTAATTTAATCTCTGGAGGTTTTTTATTTACATACAAAATTATTTTAATCTCTGGGATTTTTTATTCAGAAAATAATTTATTCCATGGAATTTTTTTACTTAAAAAATAATTTAATTTCTGGGATTTTTTATTCAAAAAAAAAAATTTATTCCATGGAATTTTTTACCTAAGAAACTAATTTAATTTATGGAGTTTTTTAATTTAAAAAGTAATTTAATTTCTGGGATTTTCTATTGAAAAAATAATTTTATGTCTGGGATTTTCTAATCAGAAAATAATTTATTCAATAGAATTTTTTATTTTAAAAATAATTTAATTTCTGGTATTTTTATTCAAAAAAAAATTTTTTTAATGTAATTTTTGAGTATAAAACTAATTTAATTTCTGGTGTTTTTTTATTTAAAAAGTAATTTAATTTCTAAAATAAATATTTAAAAAATAATTTAATCCCTGGAGGTGTTTTATTTACAAAATTAGTTTAATCTCTGGGATTTTTTATTCAGAAAATAATTTAGTCTTCTATGGAATTTTTTATTTAGAAAATAATTTAATTTCTGGGATTTTTTCTTTAAAAAAAAAAATTATTCCATGGAATTTTTTAGTTAAAAACTAATTTAATTTCTCAAGTTTTTTGATTTAAAAAGTAATTTAATTTCTAAAATATTTATTGAAAAAAAAATTATTTTAATCCCTGGAGGTTTTTTATTTACAAAATTAGTTTAATCTCTTGGATTTTTTAATTCAGAAAATAATTTAGTTTATTGTGGAATTTTTTATTTAGAAAATAATTTAATCTAGATGGAGTTTTTTAATTTAAAAAATTATTTAATTTCTGGGTTTTTTTATTTAGAAAATAATTCACTCTATGAAATTTTAAAATAATTTAATTTCTAGGATTTTTTATTCGAAAAAAAATTTATTCCATGGAATTTTTTAGTTAAAGACTAATTTAATTTCTGGAGTTTTTTTTTTATTTAAAAAGTAGTTTAATCTCTGAAATATTTATTGAGAAAATAATTTAAACTCTGGAATAATAATTAAATTTTTGAAATTTTCTTACTATTCAATCCCTGGAAGTTTTTTATTCAAAAAATAATTTTACTTTTTCGCATGAATTAATTTTTGTATTTATAATTATTATTTATGTATTATTTATTAATTTATCTATATTATATTTATTTATATTTCTTATTATTTATATTGCTATTAATTTATATTTTATTATGTATTCATTTATTCTTCTCTTTGAAATTTAATTTTAATCGGATTATAAACACAAATCGCTTTGAAAAGACTTTTTTTATTATTTTTTTATTTTTCACTTTTAATTTCTATTTATTTTTTATTATTTCTTTTATCATTTTTATATTTATTCTTTCATTATTTTCTTTACTTATTTTATTTATTCTTTTATTTCTCTTATTTATTCTTTTATTGTTGCTTTTATTTATTTTATTTATTATTTTATTATTTTTTTTACTTATTTTATTCATTCTTTTATTTTTTTTTTTTATTTTTTTTTATTTTATTTACTCTTTTATTATTTCGCTTTCGTTCGCTTTTCTCTTATATTTTTGTTGAAAAAAAAAACAAAAATATTTTTGCATGAGGCATGTATTGCTTTCGTGTTCATTTTTTTTCCTTCTGTTGTGTGTCAGCTTCACCAAAAAAAAAGCATGGAGTTTTTTATTTGATAAACAATATTATTTATATACAATATATAGAAAATAAAAACACAATAAAAAATAATTGTGCGAAAAATGATTCGCGTGTTGTGTGTCATTTCATTATTTTCACGCATATTGTTTTTTCTGCAAAATTTCATTTGTTCTTCGGCAGATGTGAGGCGTCGCAGTATCTTCAGTGAGGACTCTCTTGATGGCGAAGATCCTTATGAGAACCAAGGTAGAGAATTCATTTCCATAGACTCAAAAACCAAAATCAAAAAAAAAAATTCTCGTGTGCTCGTCTCTCGTGTATATATTTGCTGTTCACTCTTGGATGAAAGTCGTTAATATGAGGTTTACTCTTGAATTTTGTTTCTTTGAAAATTTGCAAAAAAAAAAATAAATAATTATCACTCATCTCTTCGTATTTACATTTTTGCCCCATGCGAATTTTTTTACATGCAATTAGAGGAAAAGAAAAATTATAAAAATCATTAAAATACACAGAAAAAATTTAATATTTTTAAAAGTACAGTTGTAATTTTTTTTAGAAATAATTTTGAATTCCCGAAAAATAAATAATAAAAATTAAACCAAAAAAGGGAAAAATTAAGACAATTACAATTTTTTTTATTTTCTCTCGTTACGTAATTTTTTTTTAAATTGAAAAATAATTTTCATTTCCGAAAAATGAATAATAAATTAAACCAAAAAGGGAAAAATTAAGACAATTAGAATCTTTTTTCTTGTTATGTAATTTTTTTTAAATTGAAAAATAATTTTCATTCCCGAAAAATGAATAATAAATTAAACCAAAAAGGGAAAAATTAAGACAATTAGAATCGTTTTTCTTGTTATGTAATTTTTTTTAAATTGAAAAATATTTTTCATTCCCGAAAAATGAATAATAAATTAAACCAAAAAGGGAAAAATTAAGGCAATTAGAATTTTTTTATTTTCCCTCATTATGAAAATTTTTTTTAATTGAAAAAAACGAAAAAAATTGAAATAAAAATTTAAAAATTTTTGTTTGAAAAAATTGAAGTGACGCCTATTATGAATGATTCTATTATAGGTATTCACACAATTCTAGGCGATGCACTTTGTAATCCTGATGGAATGAATATTTTTGAGGATTTCGCACAAAAAGTGAAAAAGTGTGGAATTCGACACAACTGTTGTAATGAGTTATTATCTGTGCGAGAAAGTTACAAACTAATAAACAATGGTGTTTCAGGACGAGAGTCGACGGGAAGTGCGAAGGACGTGGACAGGGCGAAGCTTGTTCGTGAAAGGCAAAATGAGGAACGACAGCGGAAGTTGGAAGAGTTGAGGAAACAAGCACTAGCAGCTCAACGTTCCCTCGAGTTGCGCGAGGAAAAAAGGCGAAAACGTATCGATGAACTTAGGTCACGTGATAACGACAGGTAAATTTTTTTTTTTTCATTTTTCTGAACAAAAATCAACTCTCTAGGTAGTAATTTCATTTATTTTCCAATATTTTTAACTCCGCAGATGAATTAAAAAATTCCACCTGATCAATTTTTACATTCAGAATAATAAAAAAAAAATAGGAGAACAAATTATGAATGGAAAAATATTAAAAATTTTAATTTTTATAATTAAATCTATATTAATTATATTATTTAATTATAAAAGCTAAGAGTTTGGAAATTGAAGTTAGTTGAATTTGTTTCTTAATTTTTTCTTCAATAATTGTTTTTGAATGTTTTTAATAATAAAATTAATATACTGAAAATAATAATTGAATTTTTATAAAGAAAAATTATTAAAATTTTTAAAATTGCAATTATTTTCAAAAAATTGAATAATTTAATTTATGATTAATATTATATTTAATTTAGAATTTTAATAAAATTCTTGAAAATACAATTATTTAAAAAAAATTTTAATACTTTTTTCTAAGACTTTTATTTAAAAAAATTTGTTTGCAGGAATTCAATTTTTTTAATAGAATTTTAATATAATTTCTTAATAGAATTCAATAATTTTTAAAAAAATTAATACTTCTTTCCAAGTCTTTTATTAAAATTTTCAAAAATAATTAGATTCTTTGGGGAAATTATATGAATAATTTATTTGAATTCGCATGCAAAGAATTGTATTATTTATGAAAATAATTGAATTCTTAAACAAAAATTGAATAACATTTTTGGAAGTAATTGACTTCTTTTATAAAATTTTAATAAAATATTAAAAAATAATTGAATATCTGTTCGATAAGTTTTATTTAAAATTTTTTGAAAAATAATTGAATCCTTTCAAACGAATGTTATTAGAATTTCTGAAAAGTAATTGAATTTTTGCAAAGAATTTCATTAAAATAATTAAAAATAAAAAATAATTGAATTTTTTTGAAAATAATTGAATCATTTCAACGAATTGTATTAAAATTTCTTTAAAAATAATTGAACTTTTGCGAAGAATTTTATTAAAATATTGAATAATAATAAATAATTTAATTTTTTTGAAAATAATGGAGTTTTTTTAAATTGCAATTGAAAATTTTGCAAGTAATTGAATTTTACCAAAGAATTGCTCTCAAATTTTGTAAATATTCCTTTTTTTATAATTATTGTATAATTGAAATTTGTTAATTAAACTTTATTAAAATTTTTATGAAGTAATTGAATTCTTCTCGGAATTTTATTACAATTTATTTAAATAATTGAATTCATTCAAGAAAATTTATTAAAATATTGAAATTAATTTTGTGAATACAATTCATTTTGTTAATAATTGTAATTAATAATTTTATTACTAAATTTTACTAAAATTATTGATAAAAAATGGAATTCTTTTGAACAATTTTTTTCTTCTGTTTGGAAAAAATGTGGTTTTTTAATAATTTTAATTGAAAATTTTGAAAGTAATTGAATTTTACAAATAATTTCTTTCCAGACTGTAAAATAATTCTATTTGTTAAGAATTATAATTGAAATTCGATTATTGATTTTTATTAAAATTTTTAACAAATAATTGAATTCTTAAAATTTAATTACAATTTTTTTTTTAAATAATTGAATTCTTTCAAGAATTTTAATTGAAATTTTGAAAATAATTAATTTCTTTCAAAGAATACTATTAAAGTTTTCAAAAATATTTAAATTCTTAAGAAGCATTTCTTTAATTTCTTGAAATTATATTAGTTTTTGTTAATAAATTAACTAAATTTTATTATTAAATTTTATTAAAATTTATTTATTTATTATTTATTATTAAAATTATTGATAAAAAAAATTCAATTCTTTTAAAGAATTTTAACCGAGTTTTCAAAAACAATTGAATTGTTTTTGAAGAATTACTTTCAATTTTTATGAAGATGTAGTTTTTTTAATATTTTTTATTGAAAATGTAAATTTGAATTTTACAAAAAATTTATTTTATGTTTTTAAAATAATTGTATTTGTTAAAAATGTAATTAAATTTTAATTTTTGATAGAATTTTGTGAAACATTTTTGAAAATAATTAACTTTTTCCCAGGATTTTTATTACATTAATTGAAAATAATTGAATTCTTGTGAAAAATTTTATTATAGAGTTTTCGAAAGTAATTAAATTCTTTTCAATAATAAATTGAACTTTGTCGAAGAATTTCAAATTATATTAAAATTTTTAAAAAGTAATTGAATTTCTTGGAAGAATTTTATTATGTATAAAAATAATTGACATTCTGGCAAAGATTTTATTAAAATTTTTGAGAATAAATGAATTTTTACATAGAATTTCGAATTTTATTAAAATTTTTGAAAAATAATTGAAATTCTGATGAAGATTTTATTAAAGTTTTGAAAATAAAAGGATTTTTTCAAAAAATTTTGAATTTTATTAAAATTTTTGAAAAATAATTGAATTCCTGGGAAGAATTTTGTTGTGTATAAAAATAATTGAAATTCTGCCGATGAATTTTATTAGAATTTTTGAAAATAATTGAATTTTTTCGGATAATTTCGAGTTTTATTAAAATTTTTGAGAATAATTGAATTTTTTCGATGAATTTTGGATTTTCTGAAAATATTTTAATTTTGTTGAAGAATTTCGAATTTTATTAAAGTTTTGAAAAATAATTGAATTCCTGGGAAGAATTTTATTATGTATAAAAATAATTGAAGTTCTGGCGAAGAATTTTATTCAATTTTAGAAAATAATTGAATTTTTTCGAAGAATTTCGAATTTTATTAGAATTTTTGAAATTATTTGAATTTTTTGAAATTTTGAATCTGGAATCATTCAAAAACTGAAATTGATATTTGAAAATAAAAAATTTTTTGCTACTGAAATATAATTATCAATATTCTAATAACAATTTTTTTTTTCAATTTTCAGACGAATTCAAGTCGAGGAGAAGAAGCGATTAATATGGGAGGCGGAGCGAGAGAGACGCGAGGCAATATTGCGAAAGAATCAGGAGCGAGAGGCGCGAATCGAGGCGAAGAGACGAAACGAGAGATCTCATATTGTTTTTGCCTTTGGCAGTTCAACGCCGCGAATGTTGGAGCCCGCGGACACTGGTGGCTCGACATTTTGGGGAACACGACGTGCAACATCGACGACGAATGTTATGATGTTCCCCACTGCTCTACCATTGACTAGGAGATCCTCGGAACGGGAATTAGATAATAACAAAAAGCGAGCCACTTCTGCTGGTGGTCTTGATCGAAAACCAGGCGAAGGTGAGTTAGAGCGAAAAAAACAGAAAATAATTTCTCTCCCTTTTTTTTCTGGACAAAACCAACAATTTTAGACTGGGCCGAATTTATCACGATTATCTCCCAACATCGACGTTATAAATTTTGCTCAAAAAAACAAAAACCAGCTTCTTCTCTCATCTTTGATGTGTGAGTATCGGACTGTCGTCAGTCGGGAAGTAGTGTTATCTTTTTTTTTATTCGTAGAATAATTAGTTCACCATATTATTTATTATATTCTCGAGTACTTTTCTTTACGAAGGAGTAAAACGGCGAAAATCAATTTGCTAATCATCCGAAATGTGAGTAAGAATTACGCTAATCGATGTTGCGATGAATGACAATAAGTTGCACTGATTTTCTTCTCTCTTTCTCTCTTAAAGAAAGAAACAGGCCGCACAGCAATTTAAGAAGATTAGAATTTTAAATTTGGCTCAGAGATATTTTGTCAGTCAATATTTTTTTGTCGATCCAAATTTAATATTTTCTCGCATATTTTTTTGTTACGTGTTCCCTTATTCCGTTCGTTATGAATTGCATGCGAAAGAAAAAACACATGACATTTTTCAAATTCATTATTTTTTTAACATGAAATAATTCACTTTTTTCCTCTTGAAAAAATGATAATAATTGATCACACAAACTTCGAACATTGTGAGAAACTTTTTTTTCACGCAGGTGGTTTTTTTTTGCTTATTTTGCAGCACATTTGTTTTGAAAAAAATTCAAGCACTCACTTCATCTCAGATTCTCATTTTTTTCACAATATTCAAACGTTGGGAAATTATTTTCAATATAATAGTGGTGTTAATTATTATTTTTCGTAATATTCCGAGAAATCGAAAATAATGTAAAGGGTTCATTTCGAAATTAGCAAAAAAAAAAATTCAGAAATTAAAAAATTTGCAAAATATAATTTTTTTTTGGGGAAAATAGACAGGGACGTAAAAAATACTCTAGAAAAGAAACAATTGGAAAAAATTGTAAAAAGAACTTAAAATATAGAAAAAACTGCAAATAGATATAAACAGAAAATTTAAGAAACTAAAAGAATTCAAAAAATTTTAATTATGAAAAGAGCAAAAGATTTAAAATATGGAAAAGCTGCAGAAAAAAATAAAAATAAAGAATTTAAAAAACTAAAAGAGTTCAAACAATTGAAAAATAGAATTTAAATTTAATTGCGAAATTATTAAATAAATTATTTAAGTAAATATTTTAAAATATTTTTTTTTCGTCAATTAACAGAAGTTATTTTATTATTTATTTAATATTTAAAAATTGGTTAACATTTAATTTCTTTCCCATAATTAAATTTTTTAAAAAAACTTGAACGTTTTTTTAAATCGATTGGTAATTAATATATCTCACGAGCCTAAGGAATTTATTTCTTAAAATTAGAAAAAGAATCATTAAAACCAAATTAAATGACTATTATTTTTGAAGGTAACTTGAAAAACTAATAAAAGTTATGTAAATACAACGATAATTGTGATTGGTTCTTGACTCAGAAATTCTCATCAAATAATTATTGCAGCTACTTTCAATTGAAAATATTTTATTTTGTGTATTATCGTCTTAGTTGTGCTTAAGTTTCGTTAGTGTTTACATTTCACTAGTGTCGAATTTTATCCACTACCTAATAAATATTGTTTAAATTTTTCACAACTTAATTATTTATTTATATAGTTTTTATTTGCATTTCTTATTAAGTGGCACAATTTTTTATTTATTGTTCCGTTAATGCAAAAGTGAAATTTATTTGCCACTTGGATCTATTTTTTATTATTCGTCATTTTGGTATGTTTTCCATTCGTACGGATTTAATTTATTGTTTTTCAATTTAGCTTTTATCAATTTGATTTTATCCAATTTTCAGAGTTTTAATTTTTTCATTACTGTTTTTATTTTTATTTATTATTCTTTTATTATTTATTTTTCTTTGTTATTATTTTATTGTTTATCTATTTTTATTTTTATTCGTTACAATTTTATTATTTAATTATTTTTATTGTTTACTTATTTTTCTTCTATTTTCGTTTTGTAAAATTAATTCAGAATTATTTATTAATAATTGATTATTTGAATTAATGACTTATGTAAATTAACAATTTTGTAAAAATCCTTCTTTAAAGTCGTTTGAATTAACGAAATAATTCGTCCTTAGCTTGTGAGATATTTAAATAAATTTTCCTCTATTGAAAATTAATTTTGAAATTGGAAAATTGTGTTAAATTTAAAAGTGAATTTTTTCAACAACAACAAAAAAATAGAAACAAAATTCTGAAAAATTTCGAGTGGTGAGACATGAACCGGTGGTTTGTTCACAGATATGAGAATGTCTTCGTCCATGTACGAAGTTTTCAATTGGAATACTAGTTCTGATCCTCCCCTAACTCCTGCTAAAAATAAGAGAGCAAGTCTCTCTCTACCTCCTACTACTGACATCTTTGCTTTTGACGATAAGTCATATAGCAATGCTAGAAGTCCACTAATTCACCGGGGGGCCTGTGGTGAGTTTCGCAAAAAATCAGAACAAAATTCCTAAACAAAAATTATGTAATCAGGAAAAACGTTCTGCCTTCAAAATTATATTTGTCGATCTTTCTTTTTCATTTTGTTACTAGCACTTCGACTTTTTTTCATCAAATATTTTCCGTTAACATTTTCACAAAAAAAAGAAACTTTTACACTTTTACTCGCATGCAATACTTTTGTAATTTTCGTTTTTCGCTTCCCTTCTATTTTTCTTTTCTTTTTTTCCTTTTTTTTCCTTTCTTTTTCCTTTTTTTCTCTTTTCACTTTCAGTTACTATTTTCAATAATTATTACCGAAAAAGAATTCAATTGCAATAAGAAATAAATTTTAATTATTTTTTTTAGTTTTAATTTTATTCGTATTTAGTAAACCATTTTTTTAGTAAACAAATTTTTAGTAAAATTTTTATTAAAAGATTTTTCCTACTAAAGAATTTTTTTCTAGCAAACGAATTCTTTACTCGCAGAAAAACTTTGTTCAAAAAGGAAATTCAAAAGATTTCTGAAAAATATTTTTCTCCCGTTTGTATTTCATTATCAATTCAAAAGTCAAATGAATTTATTTTAATATCATTTTGCAAAACAGAACAAAAAAGTACTTTTTCTTTTGAAAAAAAAAATATATTTTTAATAACTTCCATATATAGTTTTTAATTAAAAAAAATAGCTAAATAATTTGATACAAAAATTTTCCTGAAGTACAGCGCTTTGATAAATTTTCCTCCAACTCGTTCATATTAATTTGATAAAATAAAAGAATGAAATTCTGCTTTGAAAATTATGAAATTCTTCTGAATGAAAATTTTTTTATTTATTATAATTTAATTTGATAAAATTTCATCTTTGTTTCTATATTAAAGGCTTTTGTACGTGCGTGATTTGTGAGTGTGTGTGTGTTCGTTAAAATTCTTATTTACAAAAGCATGTGTATTAACATTCCTGTCAAAGCACACAATGTTTACCATTATTTTCTTCCACAATCGTTACAACTTTATCGATTTCGTTGAATTAAAGAGAGAAAGCATGTACTTGACGTGAAATCCCCTTTTTTATTAATTTAATATTTTCATTGTAATCGACAATTTGTTTCTGCATGGAGTTAGGATGAAAATTAATATTCGATTTTCTATTTTTCTATATTTTCTATTTTTTTCATTTTTTTGTTATTTTTATTTATTTTTATGATTTATTTCTATTTTTATTTTTTTTCCTTTTATTCATAGAAAATTGTTTTTTTCATTTGAATTTTTTTTTTTGAAAGCGTAAAATTCTTTAAAAATATAATTACAAATCGCAAATTTATCGAACCTAACAATTTTTTTTCGTTTTCCATTTTCATTTTCTTTTTTTTTTTAGAGAAAATCGTTTTTTTCGTTTGCGTATTTTTTCGAAAACGTAAAATTCGTTAAAAATAGAATTACAAATTACAAATTTATCAATTTTTTGTAATCATTTTATATTTTCTTATTTTTTAAAGAAACTCGTTGTTTTTATTTATTGGTAATTTTTTTCGAATGAAAATTCAGAAGAAAAATTCGTTAAATAGACAAATTTCAAAATCGTTCCTAATTTTCTCGAAAAGAAAATATTGTTCAAAGAATTAAATTCATTATCTTTGGGAATTTAAAAGAAATATTGTTTCTTAAAATTCTTTTTTCTGAATTAATTAAAATTAAATTAATTATCAATCACATGATGAAAAATTAAATAGAAAAAATAATAATATTCTAAAAATACTTTGCAAATAATTAAAGAAACGAAAAACGTTTTCAAAAATATGTTAAAAAGCAAGGAGCGTATTTTCGATTTGTAAAATTGGTAAAATAAATTGTACAAATTCGCAAATGTTGAGATTATCCAATTAGTAGGAATTATAGAGTAGAAATTCTGCATGAACGTTAAATTTTTTTTAATTGAATTAAATTTAGAAAAGGAGAAAAAAAATTACAGTTGAAATGCTGATCGTGCCGAAAAAGAAAATTGATTCACGTTTTGTTTGTGTGATATTTTATTTTTGATGTTGTAATTATTTTAGGCCAATAGATGTGGCTTTCAAGCAAAAACATTTACAGGTGATGATAGCGATGCATCTCCTGGAACGCCGAGTTCGGCATATCTTCGTGTGAATAGGAGACGAACGGATCTAATGCCAACGATACCATCGCCACGTGATGGACCGCCATCGTCAGCGCGCAGTTCAAGTTCAAAAGCCTTCACACGTTCGCCAGGTAGGACTTACTCCATGTCCAGGCTGGACCAACTTTCGCAACCTAGGAAACGTCCCAGCGAGCTTAGCACACTGACGGAACAGCAGCAAGCTCAGCCTTTGGGCGCTTCTAGCATGAGTCGAAGCATGTGTCATTTAGCTGCATCAGGCGCAAAAATTCTTAAGCATTCGGATAATTCTCGTAGCATGGGTCAATTGCCAGGTTCAGTGCCAGTGCCACGGCCCACGAGGGCCGAGAGACTCCGGCGTAAGGCAAGAGAATATCAGAATCATCAGCAGCCAGGTATGATCGTTAAAGTGCACTCAACTCCTGAGGGGGGGAAAATTATTTTATTTTCGATTTTTTTTTTAATCATTTCAATATTCAGATTTCACAGAAATTGTGACTAGTAGCTGCTTTTTGGAAATTCTCGTATTGTGATTTATATTTGGATGCATTAATGTTTCCTGAAAAGAATTAGAGTTTGGTTTTTTTGAAAATTTGTCGATTTGGATTTTTATTAAAACGAATTTTACAAACTAGAGAAATTTTATTCGAAATTTGCCACTGTATTTAAATTTTATCCGAAAGTGTTTATTGAATAGAATTTAATTTTAAAAATTCAAAACTTTAGGCAAATTTTTCCCTGAGTATTTCTTTAATTTCTTGACAATATTCGATTTTGTTTGTAATTGAAATTAATAATTTTATTATTATACTCGCAAATGCAAATTTTGCAAGTTGTAACACAATTAATTATTATTCTACATATTTTCAAAAATTTTAATATTATTCTACGCAAGAATTCAATTATTTCCATAAATAATATTCTTCGAAAGAATTCAATTATTATCATAAATAATAACATTCTTCGGAAGAATTCCGAATTGCCTCGAGAAATTTATAAATAAATTGTTCTAAAAATAATTGAATTCATTGAAAGTAGGTAATTAATTATTTTTAAAAAATTCTTCAGTCGATTATAAATACAAAAAAAAATCGAAAACTTCAGTAGAAATAAATATTATTTCACAAAAATTGTGAAATAAAATTTTTGTTAAATAAAAAAAAACTCCATAGTGTAGTTTAATATCTTCTCTAATTTGTAATATTCGAAAGTAAAAATCGATTTATTCTGAATTCGAACCAATGAGTTTTAGTGAAATTCCATGCATCCTTCTATTCAACCTCTCAATTCTACTTTTCGAAATATTCCAATATTTTTTATCTCGTAAATTCGAAATTAAAATAGTTTCAATTATTAATTAATTTATTCCTAATAATAAATAATGAATAAAAATAAATAAATATGTCAAAATAAATATAGAATAGAAAAATAAATAAAGAAAAATAAATATAGAAAGGAAAAATAAATAAAGAAAATCAAAGAAAGAAAAATAAGTAAAGAGATATAGAAAAAAAAATTAATGAAAAATAAAGAACAATATATTAGTACATAAAGGAATTTTTTCTAATTTATTATTTTTTTTTTTTTTTTTTTTGAAATGGAATAATTTCGTAAGGAATAATAACGAGAAGTAGAATGTGAGAATGATATTCACGAGAGACCCTTACACGCTTACCGCTAGAAAAAGGATTCACAGCTCAAATAAAACGGGACAAAAAATTTTTCTATTGCCCTTTACCATTGTCGTGGGGTCTCAAAGGATTTTTGAACTTTTGTGGATTTTGCTGTGATTCCTTGTACATAGGAGCTTTACGAGTTGGGAGCACAAACGTTGCATGGTAACATTAAATGGGAGCCTTTGTGAATCAATGAGAAGCTTACAAATTATTCTTTTTTTCAACTTTCGCGAAAATTTTATTATTTTTCCTGAACCTTGAACTTTTTTCTTTTTAATATTCTCCACTATGATGAAATTTTATATGTATTATTTAATTATTGGAACAAAAAAAGGAAAAAATAATTAAAAATAGTAGAAGAAAATTATAAGAGTAGAAAATAATTAAAAATATCAGAAAAAAATTAAAAACGCAGTAGAAAATAATTACATAAAAATAGTGGGAAATAATTAAAAATAGTAGAAAACGATTTAAAATTGTAAAAAAAATTAAAAGCAAGAAAGAATTAAAAGAAATATTATTAGTATACAAATTCTTCTAAATTATCATTTGAAAAATAATTTTTTTGTTGAAAATTGAAAATATGAAAAAATTGGGAACTAACTTAACTGAGGATATATTTTTGTTAAATTAAATTAATTAAATCAAAAATAATTTTAATTTATTTTTGTTTACTTTTTTTATTCTTATTTCAAAAATTTAGAAAATAACTCATTGACTAGCAATAAGCTCCTGTAAAAAGAATTTTCTACTCGCAGTCTTTTTGATGACAAAGAGGTGATGGTATCCCTGTAATCCTTCGATTCTGGTAAGCTGAACAATTATTTTTATTTTTTTCACACTCAATATGGAATTATATGTTTCTATATCAGTACAAAATTATATTTTTCCCTTTTTTCATTCACTTGACAATAATTGTAAATTTTTAAAAAATTTTTTTCTTTCATCCCTTTTACAGAAATGTATCATATCATATTGAATTTTTATATTTTTTATTTTTGCCTTTTTAATTCTCTACGTTCCAAAAATCAAGCTTTGCACTTAGTGGTGGTGGGCCTGTATGAAATTGTTGACTATGAACAATTAAATTTTTTTCTTGAATTGATAATTTAATTAAGTTGATAAAAATTGATGATAGAAAATAAATTATTTTAATAATAAAAAATAATTTGAATTCTAACCTAATTTTTTTTAAACAGAAAATACTAATTTTAATCTTTTCTGGAAAATTACAGAAACTATTTGACTAACAGTTTTTCGAATTTTTGATTCAGTAAATTGCTAATGAGGAATTTTTGTGTTTTAAATATCTAATAAAATTTTTATGTTTTGTGAAAATTTTAACCAGAGTAAAAAAGTTTTAACCACATTTTAACCAAATTTGTCGTAATTTCTCACAGTTATTAATTTATAATACAAATATTTTTCACTTTTGCTTTGAGCACAGAATAATTTTTTTCTTTTAGAATCACAGCCTCTTGAAACACGTAAAATTATTTTTCTTCTGTTTCAACAAATAATAATAAATATTTATAATCTGGTAAAAATATTGGATAATATGTATATTTTTTCTCTATATTGTGTTCTCTAATTTTTCAAAATTGGGGAATTTTTTGTAATACTATAGACTGAGTACTGACTAAAAAATTAAATAACTTGTTTCATTATACATTTTTATAATTAAATAATAATTTTTTTTATTTAGATTTTTATATTTTTTCAATATTATTTATTTGTTTTTAATTTCATTTTTTAATTCAGATTGTATTTTTGTTTATTTTAATTTTTATTTGTTATTGTTTTACTATTTATTAAATTAAATTACAGAGAGAGAAATTGTTTATTAAATTTATTTTTCTTTTTTTCTATCTACTAAATTGTTTATTATTAACTATTTTTTTATTATCTGAAACAGTTAAATTCGTTTCAGATACTTTTGAATTAGTTGCTTCAATTTGTATTTTTTTTCTTCTTTTTTTTGTTTTCTAAAAGAAAGAAAGAAAGTGCTCAGTCTTTGTGAATAAGTGAGTGAATTAAATATGAAAAGATACTAAAAATGTCGGGTGGTTAGGTATCCGCAGCGGGGAAGCTACGCCAAACAGTCATTCGCGACCTCACAGCTCTATGAGTCAACAGAGTGCCTGCAGCGTTGGCAACAGTATCGTGAATCTGCGCCCCCGCACAGCCACCCCTCGTCGTCCACGACCTGCTTCTATCGCCGGAACTGGCGTTTCTATCCCAGAACGACACAGTGAGCATGGCTTTCTACCTTTCCTTAAAATTCACCTTTTGCAAAAATATTATAGCTCTCAAGAGATAGATTTTATATTTGACTTCGCTTAATTCTCTTTGATCCGTTCCTTGTCATTTTTTTACCTTTTTTTTCAACAATCATTTTCAGTGTAATTTTATATCATTCTTTAAATCAGTTTAGTAATTTAGTTTCTCTTGAAATTTTTATTTTCCCGTTAATTATTATTTTGTTCAATATTTATTTTGTTTTTTATTATATTTTTTAATTTATTCTGTTTTAATTATGTTTTTTTTAAATTTATTTTGTTTTTTAATTCATTTTGTCTAGAGTATTGCATACAATAATTATGTACATAGAGCAAAACATTTTTTTTTTTTTTGGTGAACATAATATTTGCACAATTTGTATTAATAAGAATCGAATGTTAAATATTTTTTACAAAAAAACTATTCTAGATGTGCTTGGAGAAATGAAATTAACGAAAGATTCGAAGCCGCCACTGCCAAAGGTCCACAGCACTCCAAAGAAACCATCGACACCGAAAGCGGCGGAGATTATACGGAAACCTTCTGATAAGCTCATCAAGAGCGCCAGGGCATCGCCGCGTGTCACACCTAAAGCAACTCCTGTCCAGAGTCCCGGCGTCGAGCACGTTCCTCTAATTCGGGAAAACACCACTGAAATCATCCGACCATTCGAGGGAAAGGACATTAAACTCGATGAGAAACTGGAGGAGAAAATTGATCAGGGCTCGGAAAAAATTGAGGTTTGTCTCAGAAAAATTCGGTTCAATATAAATTCAGTTCAATATAAATTCGGTTCAATAAAAATTCGGTTAATTAAAAATTCGGTTTAATGAAAATTCGCCTCAATATAAATTCGGTTTAGTAAAAATTCGGCTCAATATAAATTCGGTTCAATAAAAATTCGCCTCAATTTAAATTCCATTTAGTAAAAATTCGGCTCAAATAAAATTCACCTCAATATAAATTCAATTCAATGAAAATTCGGTTCAATAAAAATTCTGTAAAATTAAATTAAATTGTGCATTTTCGATAAAATAACCAATTTTTCCTAAAGTAGACGAAAAGGAAAATTTTTGACAAAACTGCTTTATTTTTAGATTCAACAGGATGTAAAACAAGAAGTTAAAGTCATCGAAATGAAAAAGGAAGCAAAGCTCTCTGAAGCGGTGACAACAACAATGGCTAAGTCAACTCAAGAAGAATCCAATTTGGAAAATTTGTCAACTTCAACACAAGATATTGCTCCAAAGAAAAAGGATGACAAATCGGGCAAAAAATCGCCCGAACTTGATTCGAAATCGGAAATCGAGATCGATGAACAAATTGATATGTCGGGTAAAAATTCTTTTTCAAATTTCTACGCACTCATTCATTGTTGAATTTCGATTTAAAAATTTATTTCTATTAATCGCTAAAATGTATTAAAAAATGTCTTTTAAAATTGAAAAAACACAAGAGATGATTATTAATTAAAAAAATCTAACGAGATAATTTTTATCATTTAGCGTCCATGATTGCAAAAATTAAGATCACGACAGAAGAGGAGGCAAAGGCTGCATTGGCAGAGCGTCGGAGAATTGCTCGAGAACAGGCAGAACGTGAGGCTGAACTTGAACGTCTGCGATTAGTAAGCAATTAGAATTTATTGTCTTCAAAATTTCAAAATTTTTCTTAAATCACGAGATTTGATTTTTATTGCAAAAATTAATTTTCTCTAAAGAATTTATTTCTTTTCTTCAAATAATTTATTTCCTTTCTCTAAAGAATTTTTTCTCTTTTTCAAATAATTCATTTCTTTTCTTTAAATAATTTTCTTTCCTTTAACTGATTTATTCCTCTTCTTTAAATAATTTTCTTCTCTTTAATTAATTTTTACTTTTTCCCTAAATAATTTATTTCTTTCCCTTCAATTATAATTTATTAAATTTAATTTATGGAACTTAATTTCTTAAATATAATTACTACAGTATTTAACAAAAAAAATATTAACAGGAGGAGGAAGCTCGACTCGAAGTCGAAAGACAAAGAGCCGAGGAAGAAGAGCAACGTCGATTGGAGGAAGAAACTCTCCGGCTCGCTAATGAAGCTAAACAAGCCGAAGAACAGAGATTACGTCTTGCCATTGAAGAGGCAACAAAACGCGAGGAGGAAGACAGGAAAAAGCGAGAAGAGGAGGCGAAGCAAAAACAAGAAAAGGAAGAAGCCGAGAAGAAAGCCAGGGAGGAAGCAGAAAAGTAAGTAAAAAAAATTTTCTCCTTTCATTATTAGTAAAAATTGAAAATTACTAGTTAAAAATTAAACTAGTAAAAATTAAAAATTACCAGTAAAAAATTAAACTAGTAAAAATTAAAAATGTTTAAAATCGCTTTTTTCATAAAAAAAATTAACATCACGATCGATAACATTAGAAATTAACACCAATTTTCAAAATACTCTGTTTAGACAAAGAATTGAAATGGCAGAACGTCTGAAAAAAGAAGAAGAGGAGCGAATAGCCAGACGCAAGAGAGTCGAGGCTATTATGCTTCGAACTCGTGGAAAGAATCAATCAAATTCCAATAAGGTAAATAAAAGGAAAATTATTTTTCGACTTTTTTTCTATTTTAAATTGATTGTCAATTTTTAAAAAATTTGAGTGAAAATTAAAAACTGAAGAGAAAAAAAATGAATAAATTAATAAAATGGCAATTTTTTCAACAGGGCGAAGGTGGCGATGGCGATAAATCGAAAGAGGACAGTCCAAGTGACGAGAGTAAAGCAATGCCCGGTGATAAGGTGGACGATATTATGACTGCCAGTCTTATTTCCGAGGCGACACAACAATTTATCAGTGGCGAGCAAAATGCTCATCGTCAGGAGAACAATTCAACTCCAGACATTGTGCGCAATGGTATGCACACAAATGGCATCAATGAAAATAAAACAATTCTCGATAACAATCAGGATAATGGAGGGGAGCTAAACGGCCATCACACGAATCACGGAAATGGTATCAACACCCAAACGATTGTCCTGGATAATGCCACTGTGTGAGTATGCAAAGTACAAATAGTCAATGGCTAGGGCATACAAAAAAAAAAGAAATAATAATACTTCAAACTACATTGATTGTATTTGAACAAATATTATCATGCAAAACTTATTCCTGAATTTAATTTCACTTTATTTTTTCAAAAATCGTGATTTTTATTATTATAATCACATTTTTACGATATCACGATTATTTGCAATATTATTTGTATCATACGATATATTTGACTAAAATTATTTTCAAAAAGGAATTTTAAAATGTTTAAACTAATTTAATTTACTTAATTGGCAATTCGCAATTTTTATCAGAATAACAAATTATTTTTTAGTAAAAAATTTAGTAAATCGAAAAAATTTAGTAAATCGGAAAAGTTTAGTAAGTAGGTATTTTTAATGTTTTTTAAAATTTTATCCAACGAGTTACAAAGATTGTTATAAATTTAAGAAATTAGATAAAAAGAAAATCGTTTTAATCAAATTCTCAAACTTTTCTCAAATAAAAAAGAGTCAATAAATTAAGATAAAAGAGCTCAATAGAAATATGGAAATTAAATTCAGAGCATGATTGTGTTTGTTGTAAAAGAAAAAAGAAAAATTGACAATTCACACTTGGACGAGTGATAAAATAAAAACTTGACTCACGAGTGAAAGAATCAAAGGACTATAATTATCATAAATTAAAAAAACTTCTCAAAAATTAATAAGAAAAATAATAGCATTAAATAGGAGTGATTATCTAAATAAATAAAAAAATTTGCATTTAAAATGTTCAATATGTGACGACGCAGGGAGTTGTTTGCTCTGTAGAACAGATGACTATTAATGACTGAAAACTTGCCGTGGTTATATCATGAAAAATTGAATTTTTAATTATTTTTGAATGGATGTAAGGTACGAATTCTATCATAGTTATCTGGATCTTAAAGATCTAGTGTGCAAGAACTAAATTTAATGTATGTTATTAAATTATTAATTAATTATTTGGCAATATTTAACCAGCACGTGCTGTTTCATTTTTCTCTTAACAATCGTTGTTCTAAGGCAAGGCATTTTTTTCTGTTTTAAGCAATTCAATTTTTTTTTATCTCTGAAACTTCAAAAATTTTACAGTAAATTCGACATTTTATTAATTCAAATTTTATCAATTCAAATTTTTATCTCGATTTTTATTTTTCAAAGTATAAACTTTTTTCCTGTAAATAATAATTTGTAGAATTTTATTTTCTCGTTCTCATTTTCCTGAACTTTGATTCTTTTACAGTATTTAAAAAGAAGTAGATAATTCAAAAATTTTAATTTTCTTAAACTTTTTTTTTTATTTTAATGTGCAAAAGTGCCATTTTCATCAATTTTATAACGCACATTTATTTTAAAAGTAAAGCAATTCGGCACGAATCAAAGATGTTTATTTTTCTCAAATTGATTTGAATGTTTTAATTTTAAATTAAACTAGAACTAATGATTGTAGAAATAATATTAATATTTTTAAGGAAAACTAATTTAAATGACTATGACAGGAATTTATTAATTATAACACTCATTTAAACACGAAAGCGAAATATGTATGCGCGTGAAAACAGCACAGTTAACGAGTAAAAGATTTTATTGCGCTTCTTTTTAAGAAGCAACTGCCTATTATCATAAATTTAGTTTAAAAAAATATAGCGAAGTTAAACGAATTGATAAAAAAAAGCAGAAGAGAAAGAATTTTTATCGTCGACACTTTTAATACTGTACATTGCAAAAGTAGCCGCAGAGCATTTGACGATGACAGTTGTGATTTAACAAAAAACGCTACGTTTATTTAAATTGATAATTCGGCATGCCGATAATTCACGTTGAACTGTATCGTTATTAACAATTACTTCGTAACTAATGCAATTGTATATTATATTATCTAATTACTGTATATTTCATAATTTATAATGTGTAATTATGGTTTTAGTTTAATGAAAAGAAAAAACAAAATCATTGCTAGGTAAAGAAAAATTAACGTATATTTGAGAACGTGAATTTTTGAAAATTTTAATGTCGATCATAGAAATATCATGAAATAAATCATAGACAATGATCATAGAAATAAATTCAATGTACATAATGTAAAAATATCAAAGAAGAAGTATAAACGTAATTAATCATCTAAAAAGATTGTTCATAATTTCATGTTTTGAGATCAGTAAAGATTCTTCCGTTATTTAGAATTTTTAATTTTAATTTCACTTTAATTTATATCTACTTTAATCAATCATCTTTTTTTTTAAAGAGAATAATTAATTATCAAACTAATTTAATCAATAAGAAATTGATTTAATTAGTCGGGAAAGCTTCGGTATTTTACAAAATTGATTGAAGAATAAAAAACAAGTAATTGAATAAATTGCTTCTTGAAAAAATAAAAATAAAGAAAGTAGATCGAAAATTCTAAGTGGTAATTTAATTAAAAGATGAATTGTATCTATTGTAAATGAAAAAGTATACTTGTTACCAAATTGAAAAATCTTTACTGATCTTCTCTTTGCACTTTTCCTCGGCTCTGAGATTTTATTCGGTAATGTCAGAATTTTACTTCTTTTTTTTTAAAAATCAAATAAAAAAAAAATTCAGAAAGCTAAGAAATACTTTGAGGAACACGATTTTTGTTTCTCATTCCGAAACGTCTACCTTATCATTTTTGTTGCCCAAGGAAGTTCTCTGTGCAACTTTATCTTCACGCTGGAAATACTTAATTTACTTTGGTGAATATTTGCGTAAATACAAAAATGCGCCAGTTTTTTTTTTATTTTACGTGACGCTAAATAGATTTTTATCCTTTTTTTCTTGTTTTTTTTCAATTCACTTGTAGTTTGCATGGTGTGTTTTTTGTGTTAATCTCATAAATGTTAAATAAGGGAAATGCCTTTCACTTTTTGAAATTTTCTTTTGCACAAATTTGCTTTATTCATTTTATTTCCTGTGTCGCCAATCATTATTTGTCAATATCAACCTGCTGTCTACTTTTGCCATGTACTGTAATTTTTTTTTTTTATAATTCGCGTTTGATTGTCTTTTTTTTATTATTACTAAAAAAATTGGGGCATGAATTTTCATACTTCATTTTAATTATTATTCAGATAACCAAGTATTTTAGTTTAATGAATTTCGAGTTTAATCAAGTTTTAAAGTTTTCTGATCTATTCACATGAAATTTCTTCCTGAATTGTAAATTTAATTAATTATTTCATTAATTATTAATTATTAATTCTTAAATGTTTCTAATTTTTGGTTTTTGAAACAATTTTGCATGTGAATAGTTCAGACATTTTGAATTTAGAAAATTTAGAAAATTCGAGTCAATTTTTGCATTTTCAAGTTTTAACGCTTTGCTTCTAAAATTAGTTTTCGTTCTTTCTGAAAAATAATGTAAAAACGGAAAACAATGCTAAAAAAAATAAGAATCATCAGTTTCATGAGAGAAATCATATCTCTTCATTTAGCAGAAATTTAATGTGAGAAATAATTTAGTTTTAAGTATAACATTAGAGAGTAGACGATTTTTCAGTCGCTTTTCTTTCACTCTTAACATTATTTTTAAAAGTCATTTTTAAAAACGAAACCGTTCTTTTTTAGAAAAAAAATATACCGGGTGTTCCGACGAATGTTCGAATTTTCTAAAAATGTTTCTCTTTTTTACAAGAACACCCCGTATAAATGTCACACACAATTTGCAAGACACTTTCTATATTTTGCTCACAAAATTTATCGATATTTTCAGAAAAATAATTACCTAACGAAAATAAATTTTTTTTCGGAAAATAATAAATTGAATTAAAGTTTTAATAAATTGAAATAAAATTGTGATAAATTGGAGTAAAATTGTAATAAATTGGAATAAAATCGTAATAAATTGGAGTAAAATTGTAATAAATTAGAATAAAATTGAAGTAAATTAAAATAAATTAGCAATGCAATGAAATCGATAGAAAATCTGTAAATATCAATAAATTTTGCTAGTAATAGGCCACCAAGTTGTTTAGCTGAATTAACCGAGAAAAAAAAATTGTAATCGTAGTGAGTAGTGTTTTGTCATTATTTAGTGTTTTCTTGTATGTTTTCATTGGCTGATTTTATAGCAAGCAAAACAACGTGACCAACAACCTGTTAGACCTGTCGGAGTTTGACAATTTGAGTAATAGTGGTAGTGGACCAATTCTTGAGCTGACACCGAATCTAGCAAACGAAGACACGCTCAACTCAAATCTTAATCCAACAGCAATGCCATTTACTCCAATGGCCAATTCCTTTGTGTCAGCAACTAATGCCAACACTAATCCGTTCCAGGATGTTTTTAATAACAAACAAGATAATCAAGTAACAGGTGAGTCTTCATTTTTTATCACAACCATTTCACTACTAAATTTATTTATTTTCCCCAATTAATTTCAATTAAATTAATTCAATTTAATTTAATTATGTTCAAATAATATTTAATTTCATTTAATATTATAATATTACCCCCCCCCATTTAATAATTTTACTTGTTGGTAAAAAAAATCAATTTGACATCGAAAGAATTGTTCCGAAACAGAAATATTAATCTCAAAACTTTTCCATTATTTAGATCTACTATCATAATGAAAACGTGAAACCGTTCGAGAAGAATCAGGAAGATACAAACAGAAAGAATAATCAATTTGCTCCGCGAGCATCTGATAGAATCAATCTGAGAGTATCGAGTTTGAAGATATTTCAATTGTAAATAAAACAAACTATTTAGATACAAGAGGAGAAAAAAAGGGATCCTAAAATGAGAAGATGAATTACAGTATAACAATAGGATCCAAAACAATTATCCTTGGCAGATAACAGTTTAGCTCCGAACCATTAAACTTTTATCCACTATCAGAGAAAAAAATGAATAAAAAATGAATGAAATGAATAATAATGAAAGAATAATAGTGAAAGAGACGAAAAATAATAAAAGAAACGAAAAATAATGAAAAAATGACAAAATAATATATAACGTTAATTAATAATACTATCAAAAAAGAAAGGCAAGTATATAAATAGAAACTTGAAAAAAAGAAAGAGATCCATCATCACAAAAAAAGCTAACTGATATCGAGACTAACTTTTCTAGTGAATTTAAAAAATACGATAATGAGATATTTAAAAATGCCTTGTTTAATAACATTTAATTGAAGTCATATTTTTTTCTTATTTATATAAATATATATACAGGAAGAAAAAAATTATTTTCATGAATTTCTATTCTCACGAAATACTCTGCAGATAAAATATAAAAAAAGGGGCAATTCGGAATCGTGTAAGATAATATAAACGTAAAATTCTTCTGTCTGATAGAAGTTTATAGTTTGATTCGATGAATCTTTGCTTGACTCTCGCAGATTAAAAAAAAAACAACAAAAATATTGTATTTATAATATGAAGATTTCCTGTAAAACACGGCCTAGGGATTTTTTCATTTATTACGAAATGAGGGGAAAAATAAATATAGTTTATGTATATTCGAGACATCGTTTCTTGAATTTTCATCGAAGATATTTTTATATGACGTGAAAATATCTTCTCAATGACGATATTTTATGTTTATTCTGAACATATTACAGAATTAAATAACTAATAATTATAAAAAAAATCAAAAAAATAATAATTGTACTAATTGTACGAGGAAAACGATTTTTTTTCCTTTAGAATTCTAATTAGAATTAGAATTAAAATTAAAATTAGAATTTTAATTATTACAATTCTTACAATTATTATAGTAATTATTTTTTATATTAATTATTATAAAACATTTTGACTAAAATGTTACGGAAAAAATGTAAAATATCATCTCGAAAATGGTGTGAATATAATTATAATAATAAAAAGATTACATCTTTGAGGATAAAGAAAGAGAGAAAAGAGAGATTTAAATAGCACCTTGATTAGAATGAAAATGAATTATTTAGTAGCATTTTTTAATTGAGTACTGCGAGGAAAACGATAGCGACAGCTTTTCTTCCATACGTTTCGGGGCGTGCGCTAACTAGTCAAGCGATTTTACTGTTTTTATCAAGATATATTATGTTGAAAAAAGAAAAAAGAAAATAAAAAGAAAAAAGATGAAAACGAGCGAAAGAATGAGGAATGTGTGTGCATGAAGAATGAGAGCGAGAGACCGAGACCATCAAAATACTGGTAGTCTTAGGGTGTCCAACTAGATTTCATTGTTATTTGCGATTTCGTAAATTTACCACATTAGTTTTTAAACTGTGATGATAATTGTTTTGTTGCATGGCTATATTATTATTATTCTACAAATGTACAGCATCGATATTATCTGTTTAATATTCTCGAATTTATAATCCCCACACGGACGATGATTATTATCGAATTTAATATTTAAATATGTAATTTAATAACCAAATAATTCCTTAAAGTAATGGCAAATCATTTTTGATTTGAATCTTGATCTTTTAATAGAGATCTTGAAATACCATTGCATTATTTTAGTAGTTATTATCATCGTTATTATCCTTATTATTATATTATTATTATTATTATTAATAAATTTTAATAATTCATTTTATTTATAATTTAATTAAATTGAATTATTAAAATTCAGAATTAAAATATTATTATTCTAAATTATAGAATTTATTTAAATTTATTAATTATTAATTTATTTTTATCCTAGTTTATCTTTCAGAAAATGTGATTGTGAAAAAATCAAAAATTCCCTCGTGACAGACTGAAATCTCCGATTTTCCTCGAGAAAATTAGATTCTTTCAGAGAAAAAAAAATTAATGATACATTCGAAAAAATGTATTCGATCGAAAATTATTTACAAAAATTGAAATAGTACTTTTTTTAGTTTGTAAAGTGTTAAAATGTAAAGTACTGTAAAAATGGAAATCGAAAAAGTTGAAAAATGAAAATAAAATTGAAATTCAAGGGAATATTTCATCGAGAATATCTTTGTGTAAAATATCTTCTTTTTAAAAATTTTAAATGTTCTTTCTTTTTATTCTTTCTAATACTTCGATGCTGTAGATTTGTATTTATTGAGATCAATCTTAGAAAAAAAAAGAAATTTCTGTGTGAAGTAAAGTTAGAATTACTAACATATTCCTTTGGTGGCTATATATTTTTATTGTAAATGTTTAAAAAAATGAGAAACGAAACAAAATGCATTCTATGGCAAGTGATGTTTAAATTCGTGCTTGCAATGTGCGTGTTTATTTACGCCACGTGCTAGTTACACCGTAGATATAAAAAAAACGTATTTATCGAGACGATAAAATTTGCGCGTGTGCGTTTTTTTTAAATATATTAATTCTATAAATCAAAAAAAAAAACGAGAGTTTAAGAAAAAGTTTCTTTCGCCACAAATCAAATCGTAGAACTTTTTATTAATTATTTCGAGAATTAGCTAAAAATTTTAAATACCGGTGCATTGTGAACATTTTCATTAAACCTCGTTTATAAATTTTTTCCTTTTTTTTATATTTTATTAATTTTTTTCAAATGAATTTTTTTCTTTATCTATTGTAAAAATTATTTTTTCCTGGACAGAATTTTGATTTTTTTCTGCACACTTTCAAGATGTATCGTCTAATTATTATTGATATTAATCGCGATATTGTAGCACAAAAAAAAGATGAAATTCCCATTATGCTGTGTAATGTGAGAGGAAAAATCTTGTACGTAAATTTTTTTTTCTTGTTTTCCGATCGTTTTCGATGTTATTTTTTTCTTTACACAACGATCGATTGGAAAAATTTAATGACGAGTTTCATTTACAGAAATTATTATTTCCTGCGTGTGTAATTAAATATTTGGGTCTTATTCTGCGGTCTAGGTTGGCTGTTATAATTATTTATTTTATTTTTCCGTCAGTGAACCTATTTCCCTTTGTTTTTAAATTCACAATTTCTAAGAAAATCTTTTTTTTGTTTTTGTAGCAATGCGTAATACCAACGTTTTTTTTTGAGGTAAGGAAGAATGTTTCTACATATTTAAGAAAAATGAGGACACTAATAATACCAGTCATGTCTAAAAAAAATACTTCGTATTGTATAAATGCTTATATGTAATAAATACTTAATACCGATTAAGACTTTTACTTTATAGATTTCATTTATTTATAATTTATTCTTAATTAGTTATTTGAAATTCTTCAGGACAATTAAATTTTTGATTTGGTTCTAAAAGAATGGCAATTAGCGTAAAGTAGAAAATATAAAACTAAATTAATCTTATTTTAATTTTTATTTTACGAAATGTATATAAATTTCATAAAAATAACTGACTCTTGAATAAAATAAAATTGAAACTTTAACAAATTAGTTTTTTTATAACATTGGATGTTTTAAATTATTTTGTTTCAACTTTTGTCTTTCTGACTTGGCCCAAAATTCAATTTTATATTTTTTAAAAACGGATTTTTGAAACTATTTTTCTTTTACATATCTACTTTTGATTTTACCCAAAATCCAGTTTTGCATTTGATCGTTGTATTCCTTTTCAGTTTGATGTTGAATGTTACCAGCATGAATAATAGGTTTGCATAAATAACCTTTCTCTAGAGATACATCCTTCTTCGATACTTTACGCTGTCCATAATCCAAAACAATAAATCCTGTGACTTTAACGTAATCCAACACTTGATAATCTACACCCAATTTACCATTATTCGTTTCCTGCATCCATCGTTTTTCTAAATTCTAAAATTATGTAAATTATAATTATTCTGTATAAATATAAATATTAAAAATTAAATTCATTAAAAGAATTACTAACTTGAATTTCCTCTGGTCCGCTGTTTTTTATTTCAGCAATTTTGCTCAATCTTTGGAATTTCAAATCTATCTTTTTACGTTCTTCCTTGAGTTTATTTATTTTGTCCCATTCGAATAATACTTGCATTCTCCCTGTACCATCGTCGACTGAAATTTATTTACAATAATTGAAAACAATTTAAAATATTCCAGTATTCAAATATTCAACAATTTGAAACAATTTTTATAATTAGAATTACGTGGTTAAAATAAATGTTTCTTTAGAGATAAATATTTATTAAAATTGTTATTAATGATCAATGATTATTATATTAATAGCAAATGATACACGCGCAGAACGCGGTATTCCATTTATTATTATTTTTTAAATTAAAAAATTTTATATTTTCAAAATTTTTAATAAAATTCCTTCAAAAAATTCAATTATTTACAAAAATTCAAATAAAATTTTTCAAAACAATTCAATTATTTTTATGAATTGTAAAATCCTCGGCAAGAATTCAATTATTTTCATAAATAAGAAAATTCTTCGCAAAAATAAAAATATTTCCATAAATAATAAAATTCTTGAAAGGAATTAAATTATTTTCATAATGTAATAAAATATTTTAGAGGAATTCAATTATTATCAATACAATTTTAATAAAATTTCTCGAATTCAATTATTTTCAATACAATTTTAATTACATTTTCTCGAAAGAATTCAATTAATGAAAAAAAATGTTGATAAAATTCTTGAAGTGTATTCAATTATTTTCAAATTCTTTTATGAATACTTTGCAAGAATTCAATGAATTTCAGTACATTAGTTTTAGAATTTAAAACATTTAAAAAGATAAATTAATCTTATTACCCATAAGATCAAGTCTACTTCGACTGTAAGTTTTCCTTACAATGCCAATAATCGTAGCGTTACGAATTTGCAGCTCTGGCCTATTTAACACTTGTAATCGAGGCCTAATGTTGTCATAGAAAGGTTGCAGTCGATGTATTTCCATTATAAGAAGAGGCATATAATCTTTTAATGTATCTAAAATATTTAAAATTAAAATTAAAGTTGATATAAACATAATTAATAACTTACAAACATGTAAATATTTAATTATTAATTTCATATTTACCTTTATTCCCTTTATAATACGGCCATTCGATTTCTTTGTTTTCATTTTTCGATTGAAAATTTGTATTATTCGTAGCTGTTGACATATTCATTTTATGTTAATAACAAAAAGAAAATAATGTTAATAAACGAAAAAAAATAATATACGAAAATCAATCGTAAGATTTAAATTGTAAATAATTTTCTTAGTGAAAACTTGAACACTTAATTACAAAACATTTTAAAATGTAAACAAAAACAAGTTTCAAAATCTTTAAAGAAGACTAGGTTAAACCGGTTTACATTGCAGGTAAGGTTAGATAAAACCGGATATCAAAGTGCCGTTATGGCGGTTATATTTAAATAATAAATTAAAATATTTAAATAATAATTAATTTAAAAAACCTCTGAAAGTTTTTAAAAAATATCTTTAAAAATTAACATACAACGTTTTGCATGAACTTTTATAAACATATATTAACATTTTCATTTATACAAAAATATAAATTATGCATATTGCATAACATTATTCATAAAGATTTATATAATATTTATATCAGATCGTAAAACTATAAAACTATTAATTGCTTGATAATTTATATTAAAATATTTTAACACATCATTAAATAAAATTTTAATATATTACTATCAAGGAGTCTTCTTGATTACCATGTATTAATTCACAATTACTAATTAGTTCATAATTTAATATTATGCATCATTATGAAAAATAATGATGCATCAATTAAAAAAGGTGATGCTAATCAAAAAAAGGGAAAATTCTCACCGAGTATTGAGTAAAAAAGAAAAATTATACATTAAATAATAAAAAAAAATCACCTTTTACTTATCAATATATTCTCTCAATTTTTAAAAATTTTTCACGATGGCACCAATTTTGTTGTGGGATTAATAAGAGTGTAAATTCCCACCAAGGATGAAATTACACCCAAAATACCCACAGTCCCAGGACTTAATTTCGTATAACCCAATGCAGTCAGTGGAATAAAAATATCGCAACCATTTTTAATTGTATCTGATATAACATCAGTGCGATATTTCAGATGACTGCAAACTTGACCGTAATATTTTAAAACACTACCCTTTGATGTTCTATTCCATAATAAATTAGTTCTACAGTCTTTTAAAATTTGAAGAATTTCATAGAAATCTCGAGTCAAATTCATGATAAGCATCATTAACCAATAACGATTTGATATTGAGGTCCACTTTGAAATGTCGACTTTCATTATTCCAACTCGACCAATCCAAACAATATGATCTGCGAGCAGGAAGAGAGCACTCGAAATTCTTGACATTGACATTGTTATCCTCAGAACAACATCCGGATAATTTATTGTCGAAAACGTTGAATATAAACTCTCGAAAAATCTTCCCAGTCGTAATACTGCAAAAGAGAATTTTCCTTGAATTATAAATATTATAAATCGAAAAATCTTCCCAGTCGTAATACTGGAAAAGAAAATTTTCCTTGAATTATAAACATTATAAATGTAAATATATATTGCAGAAAATTGAACTTTGGAATCGTTAAAAAAATATCAAAGAAACAAAAAGTGCTGAGTAATTCACAAGAAAGATAATTTCAAGTTAAAATTATTATTTTTGAATTAAAGATTAAATATAATATGATTATAAATATATGAATTTGAATATAAATATAAGAATAAGAATATAAATATAAATATAAATATAAGAATATAAATATAAATATATAAAGATAGAATTATAGAACGAAATGATTTTAAGTCCTCACATTTTCTGAATGAGCTGAATGTGTACTCGAGACTTTTCAAAACATCCACGGAATAAGATGAACTGTGTTTATTTTGAGTATAAAACCAGTAAGCACGACTACCATATTGTAAAGCCCTAATAAAATAAAAATTGTCAATTAAGTGCATAGAAAAAAGTGCTAAAAATGTTTAACAAAGTTAAAACGGTTAAAACTATTAGAGCAAAAACTAACCTTATAATCTTATCACGACCAGCAGTTTGATTATTTAACTGTATAAATGCATCCATTTCAAAGTCAATATTATTCCAAATATCGTATAATCAATCGTATACTAAATTCGTATACTAGAAATGTAAATAAAATCTATTTTAACAAACACCTGAAAATATTAAATAAATTATATCCTTCGAGAAACACCAGTTGTTCAAAAACATTGAAACTATATTATATCAAATCATAAATAAAATTCTCCCTCTGTCTTTAATTGTACAACTTTGTTAACTTACAGATTGTTATCAGAATTCTTCTATAATTATCAAAGTGACACTTTCAGACACTCTTCTTTCATTAAAAAAAAAATTAAAAATAAAAAGTACTGTAAGTTCTTGACATTTGTTTTGTTGACAGAACAGCAGCGCCTCTGGCGATAAACATTTGATTTTAAACAAAATGGCTGTGCGCAGTGCGGGAAATTTGAAATTAATTTGTTATAATTATGAATAAATTATTATTAGAAAAAATTACTATTTTTTACAGTAAGTAATTTTACTTCTTTTTAGGAAACCATTTTACTATTTTTTTTCGCTTAAAAAATTATGAAATGAAATTTATAAAAATTGTATTATTATTATTATTATTATTATTCACATGTAGATTAATATTACAAAATTGTTTTATATAAATTTTTAAAATTCACGTATTTTCTCCTCTATCGGCCAGCTTTTCAAGATTGGTTTTTAAGTTTGACACTTGGTGTTCTAATTTGACTATTTTCTAAAAAATTTTAAAGACGGAAATTTACTTTCTCATTTTTAACAATTAAAAAAAAATTAAAAAGGCAAATTAATTATATTTAACACTAATTATTGATTTAAATTTCTTCGTTTATGATTAAAATTAAGAACAGTTAAAATTTAAATAGATACTGAAAATAAATTAAAAATTTTAATTCTTGCAATTATTTCGAATTTTTATTTTGTTATTTGTAACATAATTTCTATTGTTTTAATTATTATTTTGCAATTTATATTAATTTAATTATTACTATTTTTTAATTTTTAATTAATAATAATTCAATTATTATTTTTTGCTTATTATTTTTTAATTAATTGAATAAATTGAATCAATTGAATTGATATTCATTTATTATGCTTTTTATTACTATTTTTTTAAATTACTATTTTTTAATTTCTATTTTTTTAATTACTATTTTTTAATTTCCTATTCTTTTAATTGTTATTTCTTTAATTGTCTTAATGTTAATTACTTTCTTTAAATTATCTTTTATTTTCTATTGCTTTAATTATTATTAATTCAATGATTATTATTTGGGTTTATTAACATAGTAATATCGGTGACTTAATAATTTAACAAATTTTTGTACCCTGAGATAATTTTGCATATGATTATCAGCTGAAGCGTCGACGGCTGTTAAAAGAGCTTTATATCTTTTTTCCAGCACATCGACCAGTGAATCCAATTCATTTTGTTTCTCTGAATTTAATGACACCGATAAATCACTTCTTTGTCCTTGCAATTGAATTTGTAGCGTTTTTATCTCTAACTCTTTATCCTTTCAAAAAATACAATGTAAAAAAAGAATACAATATTAACTCAAAAAATAAAAAAAATGTTAATTTGAATTCTAAATAAATAAATAAATATTTTTACCTTTATGATTTGAGATACTTTTTGCGCCAGACGCTCTTTCGATTTTTCCAATTTAAAAATATTCTTTCTCAACGTTACCACTTCGTTCATCAAATCTTCATTTTGCTTCTGGGATCTGAATTCAATATCGTTTCTCATTTTTGCAAATTCATCTTTCATTGCTGTATATTGTTTCACTAGCATATTTTGCAGTTTTCCTTCCTGAAACAAAATTGTATTAGTTGAAATAAAATAATTTCTTTCTTTCTTCTCTGAAAAGAGAAATCTTTTACTAAATGATAGTAAATCCAGTAAATCATGAGAAATCATTCGAAAATAAATGTGTAAAAAATTTTGATTGAAAATTACATCCTGGATTTTAATTTCCAATTTACTCTCCAGCTCTTTGATTTGATTAATTAGAGAAATGATTTCCTCTCGTTTCACCAGATCCTTCTGCGCAAGTTCCACTCCTGTTTGATTAATTATTTCGTCCTTGCATTGCAAATCTTTGTCTTTCTGCTGCAAAATTGTCTCGTACTCTCTATGAATGGTTTCATATTTTTTTTCCATCACTCTCGACTGTTCTTCCTGCAATAAAAATGGAAACTTTTCTTTAACATCAATTTTTATTTTCTTTCAAATTCTTTCTTTTAAAAACTTAATTCTTCAAGACTTAATTTATTTAAATAAAATATTTGAATATTTTTATTTCTCTATATTTATTTATATTTTTGTTTTTTAGAAAACGAGACCTTCTCTTTAGTGATTTCTTCTATTTTTAGAGTAAGGGAAAATATATTTTCCTCTAGATCCACATTTTTGCCTTGTGCCTCTTCCAATAGAGTTTTTAATTTGCTGAATTGATTGCTCATCGTTTCTTGGTACTGTTGAACAATTGTCTGATGATTTTCTTCCAAAACATTTTTCATTTGTTGCACTTCTTTGAGTCTGAAACAAAAATAAAGTATTTACTTTAGAAAAATGATCGTTTTTAGAAATTTCAAAAATTTTTTTCCGTAAAAATTAAAAATACTTTAATCAGAATTTAAGATAAAAATTAGAGAAACTCACTTATTTTTTAGGATTGAAATCTCCTCCGTCATCTGTTTGACTTTAATTCGCAGGGAAGATTCAGAGTTGGAAACTTTTTCCTTACATTGAAATAATTCATCGCCGAGTTTTTCATTCTGAATTTGTAATTCCTGGACAATGTCAGTTAGTGCTTCAATTTTTTGTCTGTAAAATTGCAATTTAACTTGATCCACTTGTTCGTCATCGAGAAATGGTAGCGATGTGTCGCTCGTTGTGTCTTTATTTCGATTTCTTATCGTAGCTCTACTCTTCGAATATCTTCGACGATTGTTTTTGAAATTTGGTTCCACTTTTAAATAATAAGAAGCAGAACTCGAATCCGTGATGTCTGTCAAGGACGAAGTCGAATTAAACTGAAAATATACAAATTAAAAATTAGTTATTGAATTGTTAATTATTTTATTTTAAAAAATGCTAAAATAATTTGATTATTAGTCTAAAAAATATTAATTTCTATTATTTCTCAAAAATAATTAATTTGTTATTAATTTACTTTGAAAAATACTAAAATAATTAAATTATTAGTCGAACAAATATTAATTTCTATTAATTCTCAAAAATAATTAATTTGAGTTAAAAATTAAATATTGATACAAAATTTTCAAAAACAAAAAATACATTCACCTCTCGATGTTGAATTGGCAGCGGAATTAAATTTCCATTTGGCGGTGGATTCCGAAAGACACTTTTAATTTGTCCAAAACTGAGTTGGCGATAAAGTTCCAATAAATACCTATTTCTTATTTGTCGTTGATCGGAAATTGAATTCAACTTCTCGAGCCATACTTTACAGAGTTGTGCGTCCTTTTTCGATGTTAAATTAACAATATAAGGTCTCACTTGTGCTAATATTTCTTTAAAATATTCGTCCAATTTCAAAGCCTCTTGTTCATCCCTCTCGCGATGTACTTGCATTCCCTGTTGATCTTTACATCTGTTCATGACCCATTCATCACCTAATTTCTTTACTGAAAAATCTCATTTAATAAATTTCACAAAATGTACATTTCATTCACAATTAAATGAAATTTTCAACGAACTGAAAACATTTTCCATAATATTCAATTAGCAAAATGAGCAAAATGATAAAAATTATAACCAAGTCCTTTGTTTACCTTCTGGAAACTAAAAAAAAACAAAAGAAAATGAAATTTCTTCCTTCGTGCGATTAAAAACAAAAATGTTGCCAAAAATTAAAAATTCCCAAAATCAAAAAACACTTTTTCAAATCAGTGATAGAAATATATTTTCTCACGTCACATCTATCAAAAAAATACGAAAATATTTTGTGTACTTCTACTTATAAACTATTTAAAGCTAATTTTACAATTTTTAAATATAAGAAATATATGAAATATATGAAAATAAGACGAATAAAAATAATAAAAAAAAGAATATTGAAGACTTGATAAATTGAGGCTTTTAACAATGGACTAGAATACATTTCGAAAATTATATATAGTACACAGTTACTATATACACTTTAAAAGACTATTTTCGACTGTACATCTTCTCTTTACATATAAAAATTAAAATAATCTTTCAGAACCTGTACAATTGTTTCTATTCTTACATCTAAGGTTTTATCTTTGTATTACAAAAATTCAAATATCAACAGCAAAGATAAATTTTTTTTGTGAAAAATTGTTTTCATAATCCAGTGAAATTAAAAATGAACTGTAAAATTTCGTTAAAAAATTCCTTTTTTCTTACTTCTTTGCTAAGTAAGAATAAAAATTAATAAAAATCGTAAAGAATTGTAAAGAATTATTTAAAAATCTCTAAAAATCAAATTTTTAAATCTTGTTCTTAATAATTTAATTCTTTTTCTCTAAAAAAAATCCCTTAATATTTTTCAAAAAAATATTTTTTTTTAAAAACTTTACAAAAGATTTTGTACCTTTTGTTAATTCTTTTTTTCATATGGCTGTTGAATTTTTGATTTTGTGCGCTTTACACTATTTTGTGTTCATATTTTTTTGTATTTTCATCATCAGTCATTCTCTTTTTTTCTTTAATATATCACGATTTAAAAAATAAAGTCATATTTTTACTAGTGAGTTAATACTAGTGTAGATATTTTTGTTTGTCTCTCTGTTCACAGCAATTTGAAGATAAATCTTCATTGGAGGAATAAAAAAAAATTAACAATGACTATTTCGCGTTAATTGATTTTCAGTGGTTTGCTTTAATTCGATGAGTTTATTTTTCATTGGATGAATATGACTTCCCAGCCATTCTTCAATGGTGGATGGGAAAAAAATACTTTCCATTTGCACTCGTAGATATCCTTCGAGCGATGACAATTCTAATGCCATGCTAGAAATAAGTTTTTTTTTTGTTGCAAAAACCAGATTTTTTTCTAATTTTAGACTTGAGGAAAAATTCGGAAATGTATTTAATTGATAAAATTACTTACTCAGTGAATGCAGGTACCAGACTCTCGAGTTGCATTGGATTTGTGTAATTGTTCATTACTTGCCACGGATTCATCCATGTTGCTATCCTGAAAAAAAAATTAAATTCTTTTAACTTCAGGAATCTTATTTTTTTTAAAGTTTGATATTAATGATATTAATATTTACTGTTCGCTGTGGACGATATTGTGATATTTGATTTTGAAATTAAGGAACCATTCGATTCCAACGGCAACTTGCCACCCGGGAAATAAAAGATTATTGGGAATCGGTGCTGGTCTTGGTGGCGGTGAAATGTGCAGGGGATGGTCCACATAACCCAAAGATTTGGCAACCTGTAAATGTGTTTGCTCCGAATAGCCATGTAGCCAAACTTTTAGACAAATTGCCAACGATGGAATTGCCGTTGGCAATAATTCGCACATTGTCGCATAATGATCATACCTGAAAGAGAAAAAAATGAAAATTAATCAATTTTAAACCAATTATAAACTTACAATTAATTATTACGAATGGAAATTTTATAATAATAAAAGATTTAACAATGTACGATTCAGTAGTTTATTAAAAATTATATTAAAATTTATACGAACCTCGACCACCCAGTGAAAACAGTTCCACGAAATTCATGTACTTTATTGACGTGTGTGCTTAATTCTTCGAGCCATCTCTCGTGATTACTTATGTGATGTCTTATTATTGGAATGTGCTGACTTGATCCCGTGGCGCCCTTGAAGGCCGTCGCTGCCCAAATATTCGGAAAAACGAGACTGTATTTATCCCACATATCTGCTCAAGAGAAAATAAATTAGTATTATTACTATTTTTTTAAAGCAAATATCTATAAACTTTCATTCTTCGTTTCATTAAATTCGAATTTCAATCATTTGGATTTCATTCAATTTAAATTTCAAATTCAAACCTTTTTGAAATTCAACAACTTGTAAGAATATTTTTATTATAAAACAAAAAGAAATCGATCACTCCGAGTCTTCGACTCGGAATGTTTGATTTCTTCATGTTTTATAATTAAAGATGACCGAGTGATAAATTCATTATTTTATATTGTAAAAATATTGTTAATGTAACTTCTTCAAAATTATTTTCATTATTTTAATTCAATTATTATTTTCTACAATTTTTTATCTAAAATTCTTCTTTAAATCAATTTTTTAAAAATAATTTTTAACTAAAATTCTTTTTTAAATCAATTTTTTAAAAATAATTTTTGAAAAAGTTCTTTGAGAATTTTTACATTAATTTGTTTTCAATTCAATTTTTCGAAAATTTCATCGACTATTAGGAAATTCTTCAATTAAATACATATTATAAAATAAAAACTTGAAATAATTTAAAAAAAAAAATGAAATAAAACTTTTACAAAAAAATTAATTCTATAGAATTAAAAGTTGAAAGTATTAAAATTTTAAAATTTTCAAAGATTTTAATTTGAAACCTATTCAAAGTTCAATTATTTCTCAAAATTCATGCTACTTAAAATGCTTTTAATATTCAATGCTTATTTAAAATTTTAACTAAAATTCATTTTTAAATCAATTTTTATTAAATAATTCTACGAGAATTAAATTATTTAAATACGAAAATAAATTATTTATTAAAAAATTGAATGTTTCTTAAAATTAAATTCTCATAAAGAATGTTGTCCACAAATTTCTAAATAATTAAATTTTTTCGACGAATTTTATTAAATTTTTAAGAATAATTACATTTTTTGAGGAATTCGATTAAAATGTTTATTAAAAATAATTGAAATTCTACGATGAGTTTTATTATTTATGAAAATAATTTAATGTTTGCGTAGACTTTTATTAAAATTTTTTATAAATAATTGTTAAGAAATTTATAAAAAATTTGTAAATAATTGAATTTCTGTGAAATTTTTTTTATTTATGAAAATAATAAAATGTTTGTGTAGGATTTTATCAACATTTTTTTTAAATCATTGAATTCTTTTGGAAAACTTTATTAAAATAGTAAATATTGAAAATGATTGAATTTAGGGAAATGTTTGAAAATAATTGAAATTGACAAGAATTTTATTAAAATTTTTGAAAATAATTTAATTTTGAAGAAGAATTTTGTTCACATTTTTGAAAATAATTGAATTTCGGAGAAGAATTTCATTATTTATAAAGATAATTGAAATTTTGACGAGAATTTTTAAAAATTTTTGAACATAATTGAAATTCAGCGAAGAATTTTAGTACTTTTAAAAATAATTGAATTTTTGCAATCATTTCTAACTTCTCCAATATTCAATATTTTTTATTGTTTTTAACTAAAATTCTAAAATTCTTAATAAATTCATTATTTTTAATAATTTTGTTCAATTTAGGTTTCATTCAATTTGAATTTCGTTTAAGTAAATATTATATTCTTTTCACCTGAAGGAAGTGCGAAATTCTCCCTCGAATTATAGTGCCAAATCATTGGTTCCACATATTTGCCAATATAATATTCTGCAAAAGAAAATAACATTATATTGCGAAGGAGAGAGAGAGAGAGAGAGAGAGAGAAATTAAAAACTTTCTACTGAAAATAAAATAGTTTACCGTTCAGAACGTGTAAATCTATCGATCTCAACATATCGTCCCACATAATTATCTTTAGACACGGATAAGTTTCTTTAATATATTGTGCGATGCCTACGACATGTTCCAAAAATAACGACGACTTTCCACCTTTATTAGAATTAACACGTTTCGTGCAAACAGAGCAGAGGCCCATGTGCCAAATTTCATCGGCACCAATGTGCAAATACTGAATGTCCGGATGGAAACTGACAATCTGTCGAATTAATGATTTCACAAGAGGTAGAGAGCCAGGATTAGACGGACACATTGAACTCGGAAAACGATCCACTTCCCTCAATGAACTCCATTCATCATGTTTCAATACAAACTGAAAATACAATTCCATTTTATATATTTACAATCTATTCATAAATTCTAATTCTATAATAATTGCAATTTGCTTTATCTCACCTCCATGTGACCGAATGTTTGCACCAGGGGAACAACTGCCAGACCAGAATCTCCTGCCATTTGTAAAATTTGACGAGCCTCCTGGGTCGTGTACCCATTTGTTAAACTACTCGGGCCATTGCTTCCAATTGGAGACAATTCCCGATTGTACGGAAAAGTGTCTTCCCATTCTAACAATAAACCCGTCGCACCCCATGATCTCAAAAGTGGAAATAGCTAAAACAATTTTAAATCAAATTAACATTATATTACAATTTTCTAAAAATAATATTAAACAGAAATAAATTATAAACAATTCTCTAACTTAACTCTAATTCATCTAATTACATAAATGTACTAAATACTACTAAAAAACAAAAACAATCAATTATATTATGAGTAAATAAATAAATATTGTTAATTCACTGAGTAATTGTCAACTCATAAATAAACAAATACATAAATATAATCTAAATTATCAAATAAAAGAAATAAAAAATTCTCCAATTAAAAATTCCTCTTCATAATTATTATTTAACCACATTAATCAGGTTATACACCGTAAAACAGCTGTTGTTCGTTCTATTGCGTTTTAACCAAAATTTCCACATATTATAATATTTACAATATAATTTTCGACAATTCCAATTTGCCCTTCTTTAGAAACATCAAGTAAAAGATAAAAATAAAAATTTTTCTATAATTTATAAATTTGTTTAAATATGTACAATACTTTATACTGTCAAACTGTGTGTATGTAAACATTGATGAGAATATCAGGTGCGATGTTTACACAAATGTTTCATATACCTTTTCAAAATAAGAGACTCTTGGTGGGGCCCCTTTAAGATCAATATGTACCAATCTGTAATGTTAAAAACAGTTTAAAATAATGTATCACTTGCTTATTATCGATTTTCTCTCAAGATTTGTTTCTTCAATTTCACTGTTTACCTGTGCGAACCAAATGTCAAAGCATCCATCTTTGATGTTCTTATTTGCATCACTGCGCTAATGAATACACGCTCTTTAGAAATTAATATTTTATTTCAATCTAAATTATCTTTCATGTTAAATTTTTTTCTGTAATTTGAATTTTATTTGTCCTTTCTTGACATAGTTTTGAAAATATTTCAAAATTTCGGTAAATTTATTTTTATTTTTTAAATTCTGTTTTGATTAGATTTGCGCAAGAAGTCGGATTTTGCGAGGGAAAATTTAAATCTGATTTTCACGCTGATGTAAATAATGTAAACTTTTTATTTTTTATGGAAAAATAATTTGCTGCCTTGCTTTTTAACAATAATTTTCGAATATAAGACGACGAGCTCTGAAGAAAAGTAAGAAGCAAAGAATTTTAAGGTTATTTTCGTTATTTTTTTTTAAATTAAAAGTTTTTAATTGTACAAAATTAAAATCAATTTTTATTAATTATTTTAGATGCAATAAAGAACTAAATAACCAGTCGTTTTTATTTAGAGTCGATCCTCTTTGTATATTTTCCAAAATTTTAATTCAAAAAATTACAAACAACCTAAAATTTTTTCCTTATTAGGTACTTTTTTTCGGAGCGCGTCACAATTGTAAAATAAAAAGTGAAATTAAAATCACTTGTTACAAAAAATCATACAAATTATTAAATAATATCAAAATTATTTATTCTAATAAACGATTTTCCATGCGAGAAAAATGATATCAAAAAGAACAAATTTACAGAAAAATTTACCCAAAATATAAAAACGTGAATTCGATTAAATAAATTTTGTTTTTATTTACGTCGGTATATTTTTTTGTCAGCCTTTTTATAAAATATTACAATCGTCATTGTTCTACCCGTTTTTATCGGTCCTTAGGAATCATTATCGTATACAGAAGAGTATAGAAATACCTTGGATCAATGAATGAACATTATTTCAGAAAATTGTTTAAAGACATTTGCGTAACTTGTTCATTCTTTTTTTTTTTTACTTTTCTGTACAAGTTTAATTATTATGTTTCAACAGTACAGTTCACAATTTTTTCTTATACAATAAATCGTATAGACACAATACAGTTTTTTCTTTCTGTTAAACACAGAAAAAAAATTTATGTACATTTGTAAATTTACGTGTAATTGATATATTCAACAAAGCTTACACAATCATTTTTTTTTGTTTTATATTTTTTTGAAGCGAGAATTATTCAAAAAAATGCGCATTTTCACACTCTATTATATTCATGATAAAAAATTTTCACCATGAATATAAAATTTGCAAAAAAAATTCTTTTTACTCATATTTGGAGTCAATTTTAAAAAATTCTAAATTTGCTACAGGGGGAAATATTTTCCTGCATAAATAACAGACGAGTTTTTGGCACTCTTTCTGCGATACTGTTTTAACAATAATTGATTTTTCTTTTTCTAGCTACAATTTGTGCAACGTCGATTTTATTTGTCGAGAGAGAGAAAGAGTTTTGTTATATTCTCCAGTAAACGAAAAAAAAACATCAAAGAATAAATACTTTTTTAAAAAAAATCTAAAGTTCAGCTTTCCAAACATAATTCACAAAACTAAATAATGGAACGTGTATTAATTTTATAAATAAATAATTTGTCAATAATATCAATGAATTTTTCAATAAAAAAATAAAAACTATTGAATGAAAAAAATCATTCCATTATTTAGTTTTAAATAGGATAAGGAATACTTTACCAGTCGACAATCTACAAAAATTCACAATCGGTCATGTTAAAAAAATTGAGCTAATCTTAAAAACTAGTTTACAATACGATGGATGGGAAACGCTTGAGGACGATTTTGTATCGAGAATCGCTAAACAAAAGTTTAACGTTACTTTATTTTTTCAACTTTCTTTTTATCTTAGTTAATTGCAAATAAAGATGATAAATATTAAATAATTCGCTGGCTTTACTATTTTTTTTTTTACAAAAATTGATTTGTCCTCTTTTTATTTTTAAAAGAATTCTACGCTAATATAGCGTTTTTTTTCTTGTTTTAATTAGTTTTTTGACTACTCCTGTTTTCAAAAACTAATTATCAATCACACTTAGTCACGCAACTATCTTTGATATCGGCATTCTTTGGCTAGATTGCCTTCGATCGCCATCGAAACTTCGCTATTGACAATTTACAAACGAGACCCTGGTTTCGAAAATCGAACACCGAAAAAATTCAAGTACAATATATATATATATATAATAAATTACTTATAAATTCAGACTTACGACTTACTATTTCGTCCGTATTCTAAAATTTGTTTGTGATAGAAAAGCAGATAGCTGAAAATAAAAAAGTAGAATTTAATTTTTTTTTCTAATTTTCTAAATCTTTAGAAATCTGTTTTTGCTCTTACCCTTCACTAGTGAGGACATCTTTAAGTCGAGCTCGCGTAATTAAATGATCATCACATTTAAACCATTGATCTCGCTGTTGACGAATAAAGGCCGTGTAATGTCCCGTTTCAAGAGATCCTTCATGATTAATGACAGCAAACAGGGAATATCTATTATCAGTAAAGGCAGTGTCTTCACCATTTTTCGGCATATTTTTCAATGCACTATTATTATTGCCATTGCGACGATGTGAAGTGAATGGAGTCATGTCCAATTGTTCGGGGAATGAAATAAATGTGGAAATCTTTTTATCCTGAATGCTGGAGTGCTCGAATCTTTTTAAATGAAAACTCGCAACTATTGGCAATTGTTTCATTGTCAATTGTTTCGTACTCTCCTGATATGTTTGACAATTGTTGCATTTTATTTTTGCCGTTGATCCCAAATGTTCGGCGCGTGTGAACCGTTCCAAACAATCGACAAGCGATGTCGGTGGACCCGTACTGTCCGTTATTGAACTGCCAGCAGTTGGACCCAGGTCCAACGATATGTCCCAGAATGGATCGATTGTTGTTGAGACACCACTGTAAATTAAATTTCCGATTTGTAAAAAAATTATTTTATTTTCATTAACAATTGAGACTACGGATCTTAAAAGGGCACTTTCAGCATTGATTTTAAATGGTAAAAGTGCCCTTTTATAAGATTCGGAGATTCAATTAATGAAATTGAATTTTTCTAGTGGTAATTTCATAGTTTATGAGGCAAACAAAAAAGACACCAAAATTCAGAATTATTAATAATTTTTTCCAGTACTTTGAAGAAAAATTCCCGACTTTTCCTTGAATTGAATTTAAATTTCAGTAAATAGTAAATTGTTAATCCAATCTGAATTTTAGTAAATCTAATTTGAATTTCAGTAAATCTAATCTAATTTAATTTTTTAGGGGAGAAAATTGAATTTTAAGGACTCGTACTTGCAGGATTGACAGACAACGTCACTTTGCAAACCGCCGGTGAAAATTTGATCTATAATGCAATTGCAATGATGTGGATTATCCTTGACGAGAATAGGGGCGGCCTCGCAGTGTCGATGAAGAACATCGAGTGTTGCAATGAAAAATTCGTGAGCGTCTTGTTGTTCATATCCAGCCAAGTGTCTAGCGTGCGTCCAGATTAAATGGAGAAGTTTGTGAAGCGTGAGGGGCGCTTTATTTCCTGAGTAGAATTCCTGAAAGAGTTGTGCCACTTCACAGACTAAACATCGACTTGGTTGTGGACAATGATGTCGATCAGATAGAAAATAATCACGCAAAAGTGGCGTATGAATCAATGCCTGAACTATGCAATTCATGAAACACGTGCTTCCTAAATTTATCAATCCTCTTAAACCTGAAAAACAAATTGTTTAATAAAATCTCCAAACAGAATTTATTCTACTTTTCGAATTTCGAAATAAATTAAATATTTAGATTACATAAGATTAATTAAATTAATATTTTCTCGTTGAGAATTTTTCATTTTTTTTCACCTATTGTAGAATTCTCGATTACTCGTCTCCTGCGCGGATGTTTTCTTAACAATTCCGTTTCGCTTTGAGTTGGTTCCCACGCTCGATAAAATTCTCCTATGCTTAACGACTTTGCCGATTCGCTCCATTGTGACTTTGCTACAGCTAATAATTCTCTGTCGTAAACATAATCTCCGCATTGGAAGCACAAAATATTTCCATAACACAAATCCACAGCTGCAATTTAGATAAATAAAAATTTCATAATTCAAAATTAATTGAATTTAAAATTAAACAAAAAAATACCTAAAAAGTGTTTTTTCGTTTTGGCATGATCCTGAATATGTCCTTTAACATAACAGCCAAAGAAGATACAGTGCAAACAGGAGTGCAATCGATCCTTGTACGTTTTACATATATGACAGAGACAACTTACAGCCTGAAAAAAAGAAAATTAAATTAATTAAATTAAATTATTTAAATTAAATTAATTAAATTAAATAAAATCCAGGCCTCGGCGCAATTAAAATTCTTCAAAAGTTGATTTTCAAAAATTTTTATAAAACACTTTGAAAAAAGTCAATTATTATCAATTAAATTTTACAAAAAATTTCAATATTGAAACACTTTTTAATAGTAAATTTTGAAAATTTAATTAGAAACATTATTAAAGAATAATTTTTGAAGATTTGTCTATAGTTATTTTTCACACTATATAAAAATCGAAATAAGTTGCATTTATAGTAAAAATTATCGCAATATTTAAAAGAAAAGTCGTAAAAGTCGTAATTTTTTAAAATAAGTCGAAAAGTCATAATAACAATAATCAATTAATGAAAATTAATTAATAAATAAGAGAATTATTTTAAGAAATAAATTATGATAAATACTATTTATTTCCTAATAACTAGTAGCTAATAGCTCTTCTGTTAAAAAATAACAAATATTATAATCTGAATAAAAAATTGTTTATGTGACGCTGAAAAAATCGATTTATGTAATTATTTTGAAATACACGTGGCTGTTGCACAATATTGGTGAAAGTGTTTTTCTTTATTAAAAAAACATTTCACCTTTTGAAATAGAGAATAAAATTTTAAACCGATAAATTTTGTGATAAAATTTGTAAATAATTAATTATAACGTAAAATAATTGTTACTCTAAGTTTTAGGGCCCCTTTGTAAAATACATACGGCCCTGCAATCTGCAGATGTTATTTCCAACTCATTAGAAATTGCTGATGATTTCTTTATTGTTTTGATTTCTTTTCATATACTGTTTGTTAAGAAATTATTACTTAATATTCCAAATCTTTTTCTTTATAAAAAGACGTATTTTTTTAAATAATAAATATAGTTTATTTTCTAAATTCGGAAAACATTAATTCCAGTAACGTGCTGATCGCAACGGTACTGGGGTTGCAATTTGAAATCCCGTTATTCGAGATTTATCTTGAGACAAAAGTATACGCAGAATAAAATAATACTGAATAAGAATTGACCTTTTCTTTTCGATTTCTAAATAGTCGCTTAGAAAATTGTAGGTTAATTGAAATTTTCTACTCAATTAACAACTCTCGGTGTTAATTAAACACAATTAAGATTGTAAAAAGAAAGAGTTTCGAATTAAAATAAAATATCTCATTGTTGTTATTTTAAAAACTCATTTTCGTTCGAATTAATTTTTAAAATAAATTGTTTAAAACAGTTGTTAAAAAATTTGTTTAAAAAATTTCAATGAAGCAGTACCTGTAGGAATAAAAATTTTTTCTTTGTTAAGGAATTTTGTTTAGTAAAAAATATAAAAAAAGCAAGTGCATGATATTGTGCAACAAAGAGAGAGAGAGGTTATTTTGAGACATCACAGGACCTTTGCCAAAAAATGAGAAGAGTTTATTTTGATATATATATATATATAAAGATGATCAAGTTTTTTCTCAAGTTTATAAACCAGTTTTTAATCCTTCTACACCAGAAATACCTCATGCATCAGTGGATTGCAAACTTAATTACAGCATCTAATGATTACCGCAGGGTTCTAAAATCAATAACTTCGCTCCTGATGAAAACGTGAATGAACCGAAGCTCGTGTGTGACGTGCACGTTGCGCTGGGAAAACGTGCACGTAAATACGGGGGTGGTGTCCATGTGTTGGATTGTCATTCTAACCACTAGAACAATTTTTTGACAGTTCTTAGACATTTATTTAGAAAAAAAAGAAACAATTGACACCCTTGAAAATTAATATCAAAACCCAGGAAAATAAAGGACTTAAATGAAATCTATGAAATGTACGATAAAAATTAGGAAAATAACTTTTTAAAAAAAATGTTTAGCAAAACTAAGAGATAGGAGGAATTGTACAAGCAACCGGCATTTCGCTTTGGAGTGATAAAAAATGTCCCACCTTCCTGATGCGAGCCTCGTTTGATGTACTGGTGACGAAATAAGAGTGGATCACTTTGTAGGGCTGTATACCCTTGGCTGCCTTGAAATTATTCAAGTGTATGCAGCCATGGTCGCTCATCTCAGGCTGGCACAAGGCGATGGCGTGGTTACAGTTTTAGTGATTCGCGATATAATGTTCTTTGCTCGGAATCGCTAAAGATTCAGAGAGTACCCCGTTTTGATTTCCCTTGATTTATAGACCCTGGCACACCCGTGGGGCACCAAGGGACTTTTTTCAAATAACGATGTTACGAACAGGGTGACGAACAATGTGCGCGGGGCGTAACACGCTGGCCTTGGCAGTAGCGCGCGTGTCGTTGACATGGAAAATCGCGTAAGCCTTGGAAAACTGCTTTCATATGTCTTATCGTCTTGTCACGCTGTCAAGTTTGTTTTTTAAAACCCGCAATCATTTATAAGGATGAGACAATTGTGCGTCGTTTAGGTTGGAATGAGTAAATCACGAGATTTTATGGTTCTTCGGGTTGTAATAAAGTCACCCGGGAACCGACGAATACCAGCCGGTCACTGTGTTCACTGCAGCGGCGCCGGTAAGGGGTTGCCCCTCCCTGCTCCCTCCTAACGCCAAAAAAAGCGTAGACCATGTACGTATGTCACTATCTCGGGCCCCGTTCACACTTCCGCTTGATTTTCACCCGTTTTCTTGTTTATTCCTTAAAACAAAAACTTGAATCTCCCATTTACTTGATGTCTCGGTAAATTTTCTCCACACTACCAATTGATTTTTTCACCACTCTAGAGATATTTGGGAAATTTATTAACACCCAGGTGAAGACACTTCAGACAATGTTCTGAGAAGAGCAGGTGTGATCTCAAATCGGCTGATTTTCAAGAGGAGTGGGGGGAAACTTTATACACTTTATAAGCCTTTAATTACGGCCCTGATATTCTGATACGAGATGCTGTTTTTTGTTGTTTAAAAAAATTGTTATGATTACATTGACATATTTTTGAACTTTGTATTGTGAATTTTTAAAAGATGATTACTGACATAGATCTTAGGTTAGAATGTTTGTTTTTAGGTTAACTTGTATCTTTATGATCGTTATATTTCTATTGTCTTTAAGAGAAAGAAAAAGTAAGATTTGGCCTAACTATAGAAGTTGTAGAAAAAGGGGGGATATAGCAAAAAATGTTTTTTTAAGAGACTGGGAAAAACCCCAAAAACGGATTAGAAAATTTATTGCGACTGTAAAAATTGAAGACTTAAAGTGTAATGAAAAAGGTAGAGTAATAAAATCACTACGAGGGCCTTATGGATTAGAAAATAAGACCCATCTGGTGGATAGTCATTGTATACAATTTTACAGTCTTTAAAAGGCGAAACAACATTTTTTTGTTCCATCTTATCTCGAAAGTGTCAAAAATAATAAAACCGATTCAAAATATTTTCCCACCGGCAATTTTTTTTAATCCGCTTAGAAATGTACTTTTTTCCCCAGTTGTAAAATTTCAATTTAAATAAATAAAATTGACAATAAAAAAGAAATAGAAAACATTTACAGATGTTTTTAAAAAAATAATTTTTTCTAAATAACAAAATTAATTTAATAACAATCTTTTTGATATTTTAACTTTATTTAAAAATTTTTTTAAAATAAAAGACGAAAATTTACTTTATTAAAAAATATATTTTGTTTTAAAGTGAAAAAAGAATTTCAAAATAAACAATAATAATTTATTTGTCTAAAAAATTTTTAATTTGTCTAAAATTATGTTTGTTTTAATTTTTAAAACTCTAGTTACTTATTGCATATAAAAATATGATAAATTTCGATTTTTGTTAATTAAAAAAATTCTATTTTTTAAAATAAAAGAGAAACATTTTCAGTTGAAAGCGCAATTCAAATATTTCAAACAAGAGTCACGTGATTGACAAAAGAATGGAAAATCTAGCCTGACCTGACTGACGGTTAACCATTCAAGTTGGAAGGCAAACAAGAGGAAGGCGGCATTTTCTTGTCGTAGTCGCAATAAGCAGGTATAAACTTGTCTGTAATTAATTTGAGAACGTAGATTAGTGAATATTATGTTTAGAAATGGATAATTTTCTATTAGAAGTTTATCATTTACTTTCAATTAATAAGTGATATGAAATGTCTTTTCTAGTTTTTCATAAACGAAACATTGTTTTCTAACCTATAGTTCGACATTCTTTTGTTTAGCGCATATTTTTTGTGGGGCGAATGTTGATATCAAATTTTTGATTTTAATATTATTTTTTAAGGAAGTGATTTTATAAGAAGACAATGGCGAACGAGAGAGAAAGAAAGAAAAGGCGAAATGAAGATAATGGAGATTCGCAGCAAGCGAAAAAAGCAAGGGAACAAAATATTTCCCATTCATTTGCTGCTGATGTGAGTTGACATTTTTTAGTATTTTTCTTTTTGTCTGTGCTGTTTTTGCACTTATTTTTTTACTTTTTTCTGACAAAAAAAAAGTGATTTGATTTTGTCCAAAAATCATTTTTCTGTGACACAATTTGAGAAAATTATAGTTTTTTATCTCTTTATTTACATTTCAAGAATTTTTAGTTTACTGAAAAATATTAATTTTAAGAAACGTTCATTTGTTTTTTTTATGCTTTAAGCTTGATATTTGTGATTTATATTTTTATTTCTAATATTTCTAACACAGATAAAAAAACGTCTTCTAAATCTTTTCCTTCTACGTTCAATTTTTTTGTGAAGAAATGTACTACATATTTTTTTATATTTAGATAAAATAAAGTATATTTACAGATTAAAGACTAAAATTCAACTTTTTTGTAATTCTATAGATTTATCAGATACAGACTCAAATTCAACTATTTTGTAATTCTATAGATTTATCAGATTATTATATTTTTTGTTTACATACTTATTAAATCGCATGATAAGAATGATTATTTGTGCAAACTATAAAAAATGTAGTGAAAATTTCGAATACACTCATTAAAAGGATTAGAATATTAATTACTATATTAATATTCTGTAAATATCAAATTTTTAAACTTTATTGCTATATTTATTGAATGGACTTGTTTTTGGAATTTTTTTCAGCAAACTATCGGAAAAGTGAAACGAGTTTTCATGCGAAACTTCATGTGCCATGATGCATTAGAAGTTGATTTAAATCCAAATGTTAATTTCATTGTGGGACGCAATGGAAGCGGGAAAAGTGCGATTTTGACTGCTATAATGATTGGTCTTGGTAGTAAGAGTAAAATTACAAACCGAGGAACTTCCGTAAAAGGTAAACAAAATTATTTTTTTGTAGTAATTGAAATTTGATTTTTTTTCTTGTTCATTATATGTAAGAATTCTTCGTTTTCTTTACAGGATTAGTACAAAATGGCAAAAATACTGCGGCTGTTGAAATAAGTTTGACAAATGCAGGAGTTGGTGCTTACAAGCACGATATTTATGGCGATGTCATTACAGTTTGTCGAGCAATCGGTGCGAGTTCTGGTTACAAAATCAAAAATTGGAGAGGTATTTAAAATACTTTTTCATTCTGCATTTCATTTTTTGTTTCTTTAATAAACGTTAATAAAATTTTGAAATAATGAAATTTTCATTAAATTTAAATTTTTGTCTACTATTTTATTTTTCCAGGCGAACTTGTCTCTAATAAGAGAGAGGAACTTGATAAAATTGTTGACGCAATGAATATTCAGGTTGAAAATCCAATTTCGATATTAAATCAAGATGTGTCGAGATCCTTTTTAGTTTCATCGACTGCACAAAACAAGTATGAATTGTTTATGAAAGCCACTCGTTTGAATGTTATTGGTCAAAATTATAATGAAGCTCGTCTTTGCAATGATGATTCGCATCGTCGTTTAGCGTCTACCGAACAGGTATTTTTATAACAATCTTCTATTAGTGAAATATTAAGTGAAACGCAATATTTTATATATTTTTCCCTTTTTTATCTCAATTGTTCATAAATTCGTTTTCATTTCAGTCAATGGAAGAAACAAGAGCAGAAATTGCTCAAATTCAAGATAGCTTGCAGATGTTGAATTCTGCAGATGAAGCGCGTGATAATTATGAAAAATTACAAATCGAATTGTATTGGGCGATTGTAAGTCACTAAACTATTAATTAAACAAAAAGATACAATTGAATGTCATTGAATTTAAGATTAATTTTCTCAAATTTGCTTCAGGTTTCTGGTGAAGAAGAAACTGCAAAAAAATTGCAGCAAAAACTTTCTGATTCTGAGAATGAAGTCAAGAAATTAGAAGCTATCGATGGGGAGCGAGAAGAAAAATTATCAAAAATCAAGGAGAAATTAGAGTAAGTAATTAAAGAATAAAGACGATTTTTTCTTTTTGAAAAAAATTCTAATAATATTGATTATTATTTTCACTCAACAGAAAATTGGATCTTAAATGTCAGGAAATAAGGGCTGAATCCGCGAATAGTGCTGAATTATACAGACAGACGAAACAAGCTTATTTGCAGAGTAAGGACGATCATGCTGCAATAGTGAAAGACTGGCGTGTTTGTCAGGGTAAAGCGAAACGAATAGAAACTGATATTGGACTTCTTAAAAAGGAAATTGAACGATTGGAAGCGTAAGATTTTATTCTTATTTATTTTTTGTCTTATTGGGAAATGAAAACAATTTTTAAAAAATAAAAAAAAAACACATTTCCATTAAGTACAGAAGATGGAAATTTTAATTTTGAATTTTTCGATTTACAGTGGTAGCAGCAAACAAGAAGCAGAACGACAGCAATGTCGGGAGAAACTGGCACAGTTTGAACAGAATTTAGATGAAGTTGAAGCCACTTTACGCACCAAGCAAACGGATCAGATGCATTTGGATGCTGACATAAGAGAGCACATGAGGAGAGAAGAGCATACCTTGAGAGTTCAAGTTGAAAGTAGTAACAATAAGATGAGTAAGTTTCGAGTTATTTTTAATTGGAATTAATTCTTTAGTGATTGAAATTAATTAATTTATTTCTTTCAGAACAAATTTCACAGAAGTTGGCGGCCATCAAGAAACAAAAGAACGATGACATTGCAGTTTACAGTCCGAATATGCCTCGTCTTTTGAAACGAATCGACGAAGAATATCGAAGAGGTAAATTTCGATGTAAACCCAAAGGACCAGTTGGAGCTTTTATTAAAGTAAAAGATCCCCAGTGGATACCTGCTGTTGAGAATTTTCTCTCCAATTCACTGAGTTCTTTTTGCGTCGATAATCGAGCAGACGCAAGTAAACTCGGTTTAATTATGCGCGAAATTTTTCGCGACGAAAGATGTCCTCAGATTATTTCCAGCAAATTTTACGATCGAGTGAGTAATTTTTAAATTTTCTTTAAACCCTTAACTTTATAACATTACTTTTAAATCTATATTTTGAAAAATTAAAACTGAATTTGTAATAATTTTGGAAAAAAAAGAAAATGTTAATTTTATTTAATTCAAATTAAGTTTTACTTATTTGTAATTAATTTTATTTATTTATAATTAATTTTGTTTAGGTTCACAATGTTCAACAACATTGCACACGTTCACCAGACTTTCCGAGTCTCTTGGAAATGATGGAGATATCCGATCCAGTGATAGCGAACTGCTTAATTGATCAGCGAGAAATTGAATGTGTTTTGCTAATTCCAACCAGTGATCAAGCTTGCAAAGTAATGTGTTCAGCTCAATATGTTCCAAACAATTGTAAACGAGCTTTCACTCAACAAGGAGATCTCTTCTTTCCTGCACCCAATTACAAAACTTATGGTGGCAGACGTGGAATGAGGGCAAAATACCTTCAAGTCTCAACTTCTCAAGCAATCCAGTTAGTTTCCTTTTTCTATTTTGTGCCAAAAAAAATAATAATACAAATTATTTATAATAAATAATAATATAGTATTTTTAGGGTAAAATTCAAAAAAATATTTCAATTTCAGAATTTTAGAAGAAGATTTAGCGACCGCAAGTGAAGAGCAAAAGAGGTCTTCAACAGAATTGCGCGCTGTTTCAGCAAGAATTAACACTGCAAATGCCGAGTTACAGAAGATAAATGAAAAAGTTCATCAATTAAGATCAATTGAGAATAAATTAAAAACTGCAATTGCTTGTGAAAAGGACAAACTTGAGGTAGTTGCAAGCAATTCGATTGAAGTTTTTGTGAGTATTCATTTATACTTTTAATTTAATTTAAGTAATTTTTAATTACTAGCAAATGTTACTTAAATGTTTTTTAAATACTCGCTCTGTTCACTTTATTATTATTATGCAAATTACAAACTTTTTTATTTTTAAATATAAACTTCAATTATTGAATAATTTTTTATTCAAAATTTAAAAAATTCATTTTAGTAAAAATAATTCAATTTTCGTACATAATTAATTACTATACGTTATTATTTTCATAAATTATAATCAAATTCTTCTTAAGAATATTCAATTATTTCCATTATTAAAATCCATCACAGGATTTCCATTGTTTTGATAAATAGTACTTCACTGTAATTCAATTATTTTCAATACAATTCTTTATTGGAATTCAAAAAACAAATCTTTAATTATAATTATAACCACACGATTATTTTTAAAAGTTGAAAAAATTCTTTGTTTAATTCAATAGATTATTATTATTATTATTTTCTAAAAATTCTCTAATAAAATTCAATAATCAAATGTTTAATTTCAATTATTAAGAAACACGTTTAAAATGATGAACATATTACAGACGACTGACATGGATCGAAATCAAAAAAGATTACAGGAGGTAAAAACAGAGGAAGATGCTTTGCAGAGAGAAATTGTCGTGAGACAAAATAGAGTTGCAGAATTAGATGCTGATACGAAACGTTATAGGAATATAGTTAATGAAACTGAAGTGAGACTTACTCCAGTTAGGGTAAGAACAAATTTTAATATGTTTCTTTATTCACTAATTTATACTAAAGTTTTTATTTATATTTAACAGTATTTTATTTGAAATTATTTTTTTATCACTTTACACTTTTTATAACATTATACTAAAGATTTTATTTATATTTAATATTATTTATCGTTGTTTTATTAATTATTAATATCACAATTTTAATATATTTATCACTCGGTCATAAAACAGGATCGTTATCGTTATCGTTATCCTGTTTTATAATTATTACTATTTTTTTTTTTATTTGAAATTGTTTTGAACTTGAAAAATGTTCAAAATTTTCTTTTCATTTCCTTTTATTCCGTGTTTTCTTTCATTACAGGAGGAAATAGCCCAATTGAAAGAAAAACAATCTATTTTGAGCTCGAACCATGAAAACACGGCGAGAAAAATGAATATCGCTAAGCAGAATATTGATAAATGTAAAGTTGATTTGGAAAATCAACAACGTACTGTTGTTCTTGCCACTAAAAAAGCGACGGATAAGGGCGAGAAAGTTGAAGTAACCAGGTACTTAAAAATAAGTTTTTACCCTTCATAAAAGTTTTTCTTTTCTGTATTTGTATTTTTTTTCAAAGTTTGTATTTTGTAATTTGTAAATTTTAATTTTTCCATTAATTTTATTAACAAAAAAATATTTTTCAGATCCCAGAGAGAATTGACTCGTCTTTCAAAAGAGATTCAATCGACAATCGAAATTATTGAAAACCAATATGGCTCTAAAGACGATTTGAATAAAGAGCTACAGGAGAAATTGGAGAAATTCAGTAAAATTGATGAATTTCATAAAGTTCTTGCAAAATCTTGCCAGGTAATCATAAACAACTATTATGTATTATTACTTATTTTATAAGTTCTTTTGTTTTGTTTTCTTTCTTTTTTTCAATTTTTTTCTTTCGATTTCTTTTCTTTCTTTTCAAAAAATTTCTTTGTACATTTTTCTAATTTTTAATTTTTAATCACACAGAAACATAAAGTGAGACTTGAGAAGCGTCGTCGTTTATTTGAAGAAATGAAAAAAGAAATTGGATACAAAGTTCAACAGTCCTTTCAAACTATTCTGCGTCTACGAAAGTACAAGGTATTTTTTACTATCTATTTTTTTAGTATTTAAATATTTATCGTCGAATATAAATAAAAAAAAATCGATCAATAAATTGATAATAAAATAGTGGAAAGAAAAATAATTAAAAATTAATATTTGAATTTAATATTTTTAAAAATCAACTAATTAGAATGTTATTAATTTTTTAATTTTACTTAGGGAACAATTGATATTAATCACAAGGAGAAAACACTTTTGCTCGAAGTGAATCCTCAAAATGATGCGAAAAGGCCAACAAATGATGCGAAATCTCTTTCCGGTGGCGAAAGATCCTATTCCACTGTTGCATTTATTTTGGCTCTCTGGGACTGTACTGGATTACCATTTTATTTTCTCGATGAATTCGATGTTTTCATGGTAATTAAATAAAAAAATTTTTCTTTTTTTCACTTAAAAAAATAATGAAAATGTAAAAAATTCAATTTTTTTTTTTTGCTTAATAACAAAAATTTTTCTTTTTCAGGATAAAATTAACAGGCGTATTATAATGGACCTCTTGATAGAACACACCAGATCTCATCCTCAAAGTCAGTTTACTTTCTTGACACCTTTAGATACATCGAGCATTGATGTTAATGACCAAATAACAATTCATCGGTAAGATTATTTCAAAAAATATTTTAAAATTAATTTATAACTTTTTTTCTTTTTATTTATTTAAATTCTATCTAAAAATAATTACCTGATTTTTATTGCTTAATTTTTATAATCATTTCTATTGAATTAGAAATTAATTTAATTAATAAGTAATTGAATTAGAAATTAATTTATTTAATAAGTAATTGATTTTGAAATTAATTGAATTAAAAATTAATTTGTTTATTAATTAATTTAATTAACAAGATTATTTAATTTGCAGGCTAGCTCCACCAGAAAGAGCGGAAAACTAAAAATCATCCATTCCATCCACACAAATCTTCTATTCGTTCACAAGCGCTTTAATTAGTGTTTATTCGTTTATACCATTAAGTATATGTCCTATTTATGATTCCGTAATGATGCCTTAAGAGAAATGAAAGATGTGTTCCTCCCAGTGAACATAAACTATATAAGGTATTTACTTGTTCCTTAATATATTACAAAAAAAAGAATTTATTTCGCCGTTAATTTAAACTGATTATTTACAATCAAAAAAATGAAGAAAATGAAAAAAAGAAACAATTATATCTATTAAAAATTAATATTGTTTCTACGTTTAAAAATCTTGTTTCCAAGGCAATCATCGTTTGTTGTTTTGTCTCGTCAAAGCAAACTTAAAAATATATGACATTTATTTATAGTTTGATATTATCAAAAAGAATTTATTTTGTCGTTAATACAAACTGTTTATTTGCAAACAAAAAGAAAAAACAAAAAAAAAACAGTGCTGGCCGTTGAAAAGTATTTTTTAAATATTTTCTTTTAACTCTATTGAGTTAAAACTACTGTCGTCGTTCTGTCGTTTGTCTTTCTTGTATATTAATCGTTCCGTTAAGAAAAAAGAAGGTAATTTCCTATTCGGAAATCAGGTGCCTTGATATAAACAGTATTACACGTTTAGTTTAGAGTTAATGTGTAATATAAAATAGAAGAAAATATATATTTCGTACCAAAATTCGTTATATCAACAAATTGATTGTTTTTCTTTACATTCCTCTTTTTTTAAACATTCTTCTTTATTGTTTCTTAAAATGAAAAAAAAAAGTTTAAAATTTTTTCCTTCATTAAAAAGATTAAGTCTCAAAATATTGAATTTGTTTTTGCTTTTTATTTCAGTGAGTAATAAAAATATAAATATAAATATCAAAAGAAAATATTAAAAGAATATTTTCATTCGTTAAATAATGTTTATTCGTTCGTTTGAACTTTTAGAATTTTTTTTTACTATAAAAAAATATTAATTCTCGCTTTAAAGTTACAGAGAATTGGTTGATTAACTAGGTCAAGGTCGCTTTATAAATGTAGTTCATTGTGAGTACAGGGCGTAGATTTACCAGTAAATTACCTCTGGTTCCATAAAGGCGCGGTCTTATTAAGTAATAATCATTCAACCTCTGGGTGAAAGTCAAGGTGTATGCCGTCCGGATAATATTTCGGGAACTGAGGTGATTGTCTTTTATTCTTCTTTATTCTTTTCAGTTTAGATTTTAGATAAATATGTCATTGTTAACAGAAATAATATATTACTATGTAATAAATTATTTTAATTATTATTCAAATTAGGAAACTTTTTATTTTCAAATATCAACTTCAATTTTGGAATTAATTTCAGATTCAAAATTTCGGAAAAAATTTACTTATTGAATTAAATTATTGTCAATAGAATTTTAATTAAATTTCACGAAAGGATTTAATTAATTTTTTTAAAAAAGGGGGTGGACAATTTTTTCGAAAGGATTCAGTTGTTTTCTATAAAATTTTAATATAATTCTTTTTGAAACAATTCAATTATTTTTATAAATAGTAAAATTCTCAGCAAGAATTGAATTATTTTTATAAATAAAAACATTCTTAGAAATTAAATTATTTTCTAAAATATTATTAAAATTCTTTGAAAAAATTCAATTATTTTGATAAATAATAATATTCTTAGGAATTAAATTATTTTTGTAAATCATAAAATTCTTCTTAGAAATTCAATTATGTATTTTCAACACAATTTTAATAAAATTTCTCGAAAGGTTTCAATTATTTTCATAATTAACAAATTTCTTCTCATGAATTTAATTATTTTTAGAAGAATTTTTATAAAATTTCTCCCAAAGAATTTACTTTTTTTTCAAAAATTATAATAAACTTCTAGAAAAAATTCAATTATTTCCAAACAGTTTTCAGAAAATTCAATTAAATTTTCAATTACAATTATTAAAAAAAAACCGATTATTTTAAGAGCTTGAAAGAAATTTTTCATTAAGTTTAATTACATTCAAATATTTACAATAAAAATTATTAAAAAAAAACTTCATTATTAAAAAAAAATCAAAGAAATTCTTTAAAACAATTAAATTTTTTTCAAAAATTTTAATGAAATTCAATTATTTTCAAAAGTAACAAAAAAATTCTCGTCAAATATTTCAATTATTTCTATAAATAAAAAAATTTTCGTCAAAATTTCAATTTTTTTTATAAATAATAAAATTCGCCAAAATTAAATTATTTTCAAAAATTTCGATAAAATTCTTGTCAAAATTTCAATTATCCTTATAAATAATAAAATTCGCCAAAATTCAATTATTTTCAAAAATTTCAAGCAATTCAATGATTTTCAATATCTATTAATAAAATTTTCCAGAAGAATTCAATTATTTAAACAAAAATTTAACAACATTCTACGCAAATATTTAATTATTTCAATAAATAAAAATTTCACAGGAATTGAATTATTTACAAATTTCTTATAAATTTCTTCGCAATAATTCAATTGTTTTCAAGAATAATAAAATTTTTTAAAGGAATTTCAATTATTTTCTTAAATAATAAAATTCTTTTTAGAAATTCAATTATTTTCTAAAATAATGAAACTCATCGCAGAATTTCAATTACTTTTAATACAATTTTAATAGAATTCCTCAAAAAATGCAATTATTCTTAAAAATTTTATTAAAATTCGTCAAAAGAATTCAATTATTTAAAAATTTGTTAATAAAATTCTTTAAGAGAATTTAATTTTAGGAAGCACTCAATTATTTATTTTTTTTATTTAAATAATTGAATTCTCGTAGAATTTTCTAATAAAAATTGATTTAAATACTAATTTCACTTAAAATTTTAGATAATTATTGAATTTTGAAAATGTTTCAAAATAAAATCTTTGAAAATTTGACTTTTTCATAATTTTAAGTAACAATTCTGTAGAATTAATTTTTTTTGAAAAAGTTTAATTACTTTTTTTTAAATTTGAAGTTTCTATTTTCTAATATACATTTAATTGACGAATTTCGGAATAAGTAATCGAAATTTTGTAAAATTAAATTGTAAATAAATGGATTTGAACATTCTCAAAGAACTTTTTCAAAAAGGATTGCAAATAATTGATTTAAAGAAGAATTTAAAAAAAAAAGGTTTGAATTTGAAATTTTTGAAAATCTTAAATCCTATGGAAAAATAATAATGATTAAATATTTATTTGAAAAGAAGTTATTGATGTTTTTGAATAATTTTACTTTTGAAGAAATTTGTAAATAAATGTTATAGAACATTTTTTTGAGTATCCAATAATTTTGAGATTAAATCAAAATAATTTCTTTAGGGTCAGGGAAAAAATTAAAATTTTGTTTCTGAATACATTAACTAATTAAATTGGGTTATTAAAAAATAAATCCTTTACTAATAATGTTATTTAGATATGTAATTATTAATTATAAATTCTAATTAGAATTTATCAATTTTAGGAAGATTCGAACACACGACTAATAGAGAGTGGAACCTGGAAAAGCTTTGTGGACAACGAGCAAGGATTACAAATTTTTTTCTTCCTCAATAATTCTTCTCGTTAATGGAACTGAATTCTGGAATCGAAAGAGCAAAAATACAGGATTTATAATTAACAATTATTCTCGTTAATCAGGATTAAGGAATCGGAAAGAGAACAGAGAAGTAAAACCAAAAACACACTTCGATTTTCTTTTTAAAATAAAAATCATTTAATGAGACTCGATAATTTGCAATAAATAGTTCGTATTTGAGGTAAATCAATGGTAGTAAGCGTTGCCGGCGTAGGAGAGAGGAGCGACAACTTTGGTGTGTGCCACTGGTGCGCTGTAGGCGATGTGTGCTGGTGCAGCGACAGCTGGAGCGGCGTAGGCAACTGGAGCAGCAACATGAGCGGCTACATGAGCAGGCTCTTTGTGTACAACGGCGTTAAATCCATTGACATCGTCAGCGGTGTATTCGACAATTCTCTTGGTGCCGTCAGCCTCGACGAGGGAGTAGCTTCCATGAACAACATCTCCGTCACGAGTTTCGTGTTGGGATTTGGAGTCGCCTGTGAGAGAATCCTGAACATCATAGGCGTAGCTGTATTGAGGATTGGGATCGTATTCGGTGTCGACGGTTTTCACAACTTTGGCAACTGGCGCAGCGTAGGCGAGAGGAGCTGCGGCGTAATGAGCCGGAGCCGTGTATGCAACTGGAGCTGCGGCATAATGAGCGGGAGCCGAGTAGGCGACTGGTTGAGCGGCGTACGCCACTTTGGCGACTGGTGCTCCGATGAAACCTGCACGTGCGGTTGCTACGAGGGCAACGAAAGCGAGGAACTGCAAAAGAAAAAGATTTTAATTTGCAAATATTGGTAAAAACCTAAACTTGTTATTAAATTTTATTTTAACTTAGTTTTTCTTATTTTATCTGGGCAAAACTTTGCAATATCAAAACTTATCTCGGCAATATTCACTTCCAAATTTCACTTCAAGGAAAAATTTTCGAAAGCAAAAATTGTAAGATGTCCCTGAAGTTAGCGTCGACGCTTAGCGTCAAAAACTATTATTCGAGAGATTTTAGAGACGAAAATGTCACTAATTTCCCTTTTTTCCTTCATTCAGGGAGTTAAAAATATAAGACGCACTTTTTTAACAAACAATTGTTTAATTCGTTTCGTCTTCGTCGCTCATCGTCGACGCTAACTTCAGAGTCTTATCGTAATTTGATTTTTATTAGTAAACTTCAACTTTATTTTATTTTACTTCACCTAATTAATTAAATTTATTATTATTATTATTATTATTATTATTATTATTATTATTATAAAATTAAATTAATTAAATTAAAAATAATTAAAATTGACTTAATTGCGATATTAAGAAATCTTTTTTTTTTCGAGAGTATAATGAATTGTAAATTGTAATAATTGTATAATGATATATTAATGTAAATTTCAGGTTTCTTCGTACCTTGAATGCCATTTTGTGATTTGAATGCTACAGTTGCTGGATTGCAAATGATGTCTTTCGAAGTAAAGAATACGACTTTTATAGGAGGCGGACAAGACGTTAGATATACATGTGTGATGTAAGCGGACTGTATACATTCGATTTTGGTGGTCAGGGCTTTGTAATGAGAGAGGAATTGGGCAAGAAACTGGATCACACCCTCAGGCAATGTCGGGGGACCAATTTGACTGGCCTATTAAGCGAGGACCGGGTCGTGTCCTTGTCTCTTGAAAGTAATTTTTCTATAGTTTTACGATAATTTCATATATATACTTATACGTTTTATATTCAAATTCTTTTCTTTTTCTTCTTTTTTGTTTTAATTTTTATTGTTCAACTGTTCATTTTACTGTTAACTAATAATTCAAATTGGCGCCTTAATTTTAATTACTTAGTATAATTTTTTAAATATTTTTAATCTAAATTATTCTATTCTATTAATCTGGAAAATCAGAAAATATCCGGGAATTTAATTTGACCGAAAAATTAATAATTAGTTACCATTATATTAGCTATTTCGGTAGAATAATATAACTATTTGAATAGTCTCCACCCTTTAGCAAAAAATAAAAAATTATCAAAATTTCGAAAAAACGAATTTCTTAAAATTCAACATTTTTTCTTCTCTTTTATGGCATTTAGCTTAATTATTTTTGTGCTCTTCAAAAATACTTTACTTATTTAATAGTCTCCAACCTTTGGTAAAAAATCTAAAATTATGGAAAATTAGCAAAAATTCAAAAAACCGAATTTTTTAAAATTCAAACATTTTTCCTTCTTTTTTATGGCATTTAGATTCATTATTTTTGTGCTCTTCAAAAACACTTTACTTATTTAATAGTCTCCACCCTTTGGTTAAAAATCAAAAATTATTAAAAATTATGACAATTCAAAAAACCGAATTTCTTAAAATTCAACATTTTTCCTTCTTTTTTATGGCATTTAGCTTCATTATTTTTGTGCTCTTCAAAAATACTTTACTTATTTAATAGTCTCCACCCTTTGGTAAAAAATCTGAAATTATGGAAAATTAGAAAAAATTCAAAAAACTGAATTTCTTATAATCAGAAGTTGTTATTCGAATCAAATTTTTTTCTCAACGCAAATCTTTACAATTTTTCCTTACAAATATTGGTTCTCTCACCAATAATTAATAAATTTTTTCCTCTCGATGAATTATTGCAGACACGATTTATTTTTTATTTTTTAATATTATGTCATAACGAAAAACATTATTCATTTTTATACAAGTCATTATATGAAAGGACCGCATATGAGTTTTAACAGACTTTTTATTATAGAGAAATAATATTGTAAAGTCATTTCAAATTCTTTTTTTTTAAATATCAAAACACTGGCCACTGTAGACTCTCGAGGAAATATGAATTCAAGGTTTTTTAGAAGTCTACAACAACAAAGTAAATTAAATTGATTTTTCTTAAAAAAAAAACATTTTAAAAATCAGTAAATGTTCTTCAATTTTTCATAGTAATTTTAATTTATAATTTAATTTTACTGTCTCATTTTTCATTGAAAATAGAAAAAATATTTCTAAAATGAGAATAAATAGTGATTTTTACATTATAATGTAACTTAAAAAATTTTTTTTCTGAATAATAAGAAACAAATAAGAAAAAAATAAAAGATAGAAAAAAAATTTGTTACAGAGGTTTAAAAAAAATTTGTTGAAAGGCATTTTTTTTGCTCAAGTGCATTAGATTTTCGGTGTATAGAAATTAGTCTCATAAATAACGTGTTAAATTATTCAACATTTCCAAACTTCTTTTTTTCTTTCTTTTTTTTTTGAAAGAGAGAGAAACTATTTTTAGATATAATAGCGCAATACACGGGCGCAGTTCACATAATCTATTATCTTTGAATATCTCTTACTCAATTTCTCTCCTATTTCTTTCCATTCTAGTGTGCGTCTGTCACAGGTTGATCTATAAGGACGCACGAACTTCATGACGTGACCACGTTTTATACACTATAAAAGCCAAATCTTTTTCAGAGACAGACATCATTTGCAAGTAGCAAACGTACTAATCAACACTTTACAAAATGGCATTCAAAGTGAGTCGACTAGTTGAGAGAAAATTAAAAACAATTAAAAGAAAATTAAAATAAGCAAACTAACTAAAATAATTAAAAAATTATTAACTATAAAATATAGTAATTAACAAAAAAGTATAAATTTTAGTAACAACAATAAGACACTAAAAAAAATATTCTAAATTCATTTTTACTTAAGAAAAGAATTAAAAATTAAAATAATTTACTTTAAATAAAATAATTTAGTTTAAATAAAAAATTACTAATATATTTTTAATCAATTTTAGCTTTTCGTCTTCGCCGCCTTCTTGGCCATGGCATCAGCTGGAATCATTTCCTCTCCAGTGCACTACACATCACCTCTGAGTTATTCAGCGCCTTTGACTTATTCGGCTCCAGTTGTGAAGACAGTTGCGGCCGCTCCAGTTCTCGCTCACTCCAGCTCATCAATTGTCAAAACTGTGAATACCGTTCCCCAGGTGTACAGTTCTCCAGTTTACACATCAGCTTACGCTGCACCAGCTTACGCTCAAACTTATGCTGCTCCAGCTTACGCCGCTCCAGCTTACACAGCACCAATTGTCAAAACAATTGCCTCGCCAGTCGCCTACTCAGTTCCTTCTTACGCCAAAGTTGCCGCTCCTCTGACTTACGCTTCAGCTGGATGGGCTTAAACACAGCATCTACAATCATTGATCTCAATTTATAATAATATATTTATATTAAATTGTTAATATAAATTTCAATTTATAATTTAAATGGAATTTTTACTGTGGAATGAAATTTTTACTCTAAAATAGAATGTTTTACTTAAAAGTAACATTTTTTTACTAGAAAGTAAAATTTTTACTCTGAAATGGAATTTTCACTCTAGAGTAGAATTTTTTAATGGAAAGTAAAATTTTTACTTTGAAATGGAATTTTCAATCTGATGTAGAATTTTTTTACTGGAAAGTAAAATTTTTACTCTGAAATGAAATTTTCATTCTGAAGTAAAATTTTTCCTCTAAAGTAAAATTTGTATCTTTCTAATTATACAGTTTGTTACCATCTTGAATTAATAAATTATTCTAAACAGAATTATTGTCTAATGGTATTGAATTTCAATCGAGATTTACTTTGGGGATTTTGGAAGACTAAAAACTTTGAAATAAATATCTACACCGAGAAAATCTTCTCTATATTAAATAAATTTTGAAAAGAATTGAATTTCTGCAAAGAATTTTACTATTCATAAAAATAATTGGATTATTGCGAAGAATTTTACTATTTATAAAAATAACTGAAATATTTCGAAGAATTTATTAAAATTTTAAGAAATTAATATAAACAAGTATAATTAATTAGTAAATTAGTTAATAATTGAATTTTTTAAAAGTTTAAATTTGAAATTATTCAAAAAATTCATATTTGAAAATAGAAAATTTTGTAATTTGCATAATAATAACAAAATGGAATATCTTGCGATTATTTTTAAATTAAATTATTATTTGCAATTCTTTTCATTTGTTATTATTTTGAATTGAATAATTTTTGCGTTTACAATTATTTTGAATTGAAATTAATTTGATTTGCAATTATTCTAAATTGAAATTAATTTTTGTTGGAAATTTTTTTGAATTGAAATTATTGAGATATTAACAATTATAAGACAAAAAAAATTAATTGAATCAAAAATTTTGTTATCAAGTAAAAAATTTTTTTTTTGTCAAAATTGTGTCGTTTTAAATTATTTCCATTTGAAATTGTATAGAAATTATTTATTCCACTGAAATAAATAAATATTTGTTACAAATAAATATTCACTTGATAACAGTCAAATAATTATTTTTTGAATTCATAAATTTTTTCCAGTGCACAGTTTCTAAAGTTATTATAAATTTCTTAAAATTATATAGATTTTGTCACTTTCTTTGCAAATTTCTTGAAAATACAAAAGAAAATTTGTAATTTATTTAATAAAAATTTTTCTTAAATTAAAAATACAACCTTGGATATTTTTGTTCATTGTTTTTCATCTTTTGCAAAATATATTCTTATTATAAGAGAATTTAAAAAATAAATTTAATAAAATTAAGAATCTATTTTATAAATTATTATTTATATGAATATTTATTATGAATATTTATTTTACAAATAAAAATGTAAGTAAGAAATAATGAAAAAAAACAAAAAAAAACATAAATATTTAATAAACAAATAAATAAAGAAAAATTAATTAAAAAAATAGTGTTAAAAATAAAAAATGATAAAGAACAAAAAAAAAATACCTGTAAATAATGAAGAAATAATATTAAAAACAAAAAATCGTAAAGAACACAAAAAATAAATTAAAATTAAAAATAAATTATTTCATATTAAAAAATAGACGCACTAATGGAAAATATAAAAAAAAAATACTTTCATCGGAGCTAAAATTAAAACAATAGAAAAATCCACTAATGAGAAATTCTTATTCTATTTTAACATTTTAAGTAATCTTTGTTCATACTGGGACATTGAAATTTTGTCGAAGTCAATAAATAATAATAATTGAATTCGAGGTGACTACTTAAAAGAGAATTTTATTTGAATAATTTGTCAGAGATGTTTGTCATTGTGCAATATAAACACAACATATATCATTGTATAAGATCGTATAACTTTTACTTTCCTTCATAAAAAAAAGGTAATAATTTACTGTTATATACAGAAGAAAATGAAGTGTAAAGGAGCATTTAAAATAAAATCAATTAAATACCTAACATTGTTTGCAAGTTTACAAACTCACCAATAAATTACACCTGAAGAAGAAGAAAAAAAAATTATACTGATAAATCTCTTTTAAAAATTTCGTAAATTAAAAAATCTGCAATTACTTTAATACGAAATCTTTTTTTCTTCTTTTTCTTTAGCCTTTTTTCCCTTCAAATTATTTTTAAGGAAAAATTATTAGCCCTTTTTCCCATACAAATAATTTTTAAGAAAAAATATTTTTATTAATTGTTTCATTGTCTGATTGCTACATAATTAATTGTCTGATTGCTGTCGCTCTTCAGTTGCTTAAAGTACTATTTAACTACACAACACAATATTTTTTTGTAAATTTTTCCTAAAGTCTAGAGCTTTTTTATTATATTTATAAATAACTGTTTTAAATTTAATTAAGCAATTAAAAATTAATCAAAGGTTTGAAAATTAATTAAAAATTAGTTAAAAGATTGAGGACTGGTTCCACAATCTCGATTAAAAGTTAATCAATAATGCATTAGTTTAGGGATCAGAAGATGGTCCATTAGATCGAGCTTCAAAAAATGGTCCAAGATATTATGGACCAGAAAATGGTCCACTAATTTAAGATCCAAAAATTGGTCCACTAATTGAAGGACAAGAAGGTGTTTCGCTAGTTCTGTGTTCAGAAAGTGATCCAAAGTATTTTGAACCAGAAAATACTTCATTACCTTTGGGACCAGCAAATGGTCCTCTAGGTCAATGGAAAAACAATGGTTCACGATACTTTGGATCAGAAGATGGACCATTACTTTTGGGACCAGAAGATGGTCCACTAGATCAAGCTTCAAAAAGTGGTCCAGTATATTCTGCACCAGAAAATGGTCCACTACTTTTGGAACCGAAAGATGGTTCACTAGTTCTGTGCCCAGAAAGTTTACTTTTAATTAAGTGGAATTGTCCCTTAAAATTGATGGAAAGATTAATAACTTAAATTAATTCAAAAAAGGTGAAAAAAAAGTCTAAAGATGCTGTAAGATGTTGAAATCAATTGTTTATTGACAAAGAATAATTGCTATACATTTTGTTTCAATTTGTTATAATTTTTACCAGGCACTGGCGACTGGAGCGGCAACATGAGCGTACACGGGAGCGGAGTGTGCGAATCCAGTTGAGTACTGAGAAATTGTAGCTTCAGCAGGAACGAAAGTTTCGACTACTGGTGCAGCGTGGACAACAGTTTTCAATACTGGTGCAGCATGGACAACTGGTACCAAAGTTTCAGTTTGCACAACTGGATGGGAATGATCTTTCCTGATCACAGTGGTCGAGGAGTGAGCAACTGGAGCTGAGGAAACAACTGTTTTGAGTACTGGTTCAGCTTGGACAACAGTTTTCAATACTGGTGCAGCATGGACAACTGGTACCAAAGTTTCAGTTTGCACAACTGGATGAGAGTGGTCTTTTCTGATGACGGTGGTTGAGGAGTGAGCAACTGGAGCTGAAGAGACGACGGTTTTGAGGACGGGTTCAGCTTGGACAATAGTTTTGAGAACGGGAGCAGCTTGGACGACTGGTACCACAGCTTCGGTATGTACCACTTGATGGGAGTGATCCTTTCTGATCAGAGAGCTTGAGGAATGAGCCACGGGAACTGATGAGACGACGGTTTTTAGTACTGGTACCGCTTCTAATGGTGCGTGGATTACTCCAGCGTTGGCCATAGCCACGAAGGCGGCGAGAACGAACAACTGAAAATTCAACCAGCTTGGTAATCTTTTGGACAACATTGCCAAATAATTAAAAGTTCATAAAGCTTGCTACTCGTTTAGAAAAAAATTGCCGAAAAAGAATATAAAGAAAAAAAAGATAAAAGAAAAAGAATAAAAAGATGAAGGAAAATTGAGTTAAAGACTAAACTACAAAAAGGAAAAGAAGAAGAATTAAAAAGAAGAGTTGAGAAATATTGAGAAAAGTTGTTTAAAGAAGAAATTGATGATCAGCACTGATACTCACTTTGAATGCCATTGTAGAGTTGATTGGTCCAAAAGCAACAAGCTAATGATGCTGTCTAGAGAAAAAGACTCCATTTTTATACCACTGTCCAGGAAAAATAATCAGTGGAAGGGAATCGAAATAAAAAAGCAAATAATCATTTTGAAAATTAAACAATCTCGCAAGTCGAAAGACGATGAAAATTGAGAAACTTTCTATTACCATAAAATGTTTATTGTGCAACTGAATACACCTATCACTCCACTCATATGTAATCTATTAAAGTACTATTATTCACATGCACGCCATATAAAACGACATTGAGATAATTTATTCCATTATATTTCAATCTTTCAATCCAAACCCAAATTGACAGTATTCTTATGAAAAAGAAAAAAATATATAACATAAACAAAAAGAGTCAAAAAAAAGATTAAAATAAATTTAATATCAAGAAAACAAACCAAAGAAACGTTTCAATTTTACCATTACCAAAGCTTAAAAAATCTTTAAAATCTTAAAAAGTTTCGTATCTGAATCCAAAAGGAAATTTACATCATTCGTTAAAATAGTATTCTTAGAAATTGGAAAAAAAATTGTAAAAGAAGAAAGCAAATTTAATATCAAAGACAAAGAAACATCGCCTCAAGAAGAGCATTTTAAATTACTTAACTTGAAATAAAATAAACAAAGATTAAGAATGGAAAACTTTTTCCTAAACTTTTTGCCTCATAAATATTATCATATATTCTCTGGACAAATAAATCGAATAAGTTATTCATATTTAGACGGATTTTTCTGATTACATTATATCGTAAATAATTCATAAGATCTTATTGTATAATCGGAAGTGATAGGTCCCACAATTCATATCGCATTTTCATTAAACTATCTCGTATAAAAATTCTGATCCAGTTTCTTGCCACATTTTCATAATTTAAAATTTGGACAATTAATATCAATAAATGTTTACATGGAAAATTTCATAATGCATTTCTAACAGATTTCTTCTACTATAAAAGCACAAATTTGTTCTCCGAACGACATCAGTAGCAATCAGCAATTGAACAAATCAACATGGCATTCAAGGTATTGTAGAAATAGTTCCAAAAAAGTAGACGAAAACTTGGAAATTGTTCTTTGAGTAGTAAAATCAATACAAGTGATTAAAAATTTAATTTAAAAATTTAAAATTAGAAAAAGAAACAGTGAATTATTAGTGAAAATCAAAAACTGTACTCTGGTCAATGTTAAAGTAATGGTCAAAAATATTTTGGATCAGAAATTTGTACGATAACTTTGGGACCAAAAAATGGTGCATTAGTTTAGGGACCAGAAGATGGTCCACTAGACCCAGCTTTAAAAAATGGTCTAATATATTATGGACCAGGAAATGGTCCACTAATTTAAGGACAAGAAGGTGCTTCGCTAGTTTTGTGTTCAGAAATCGATCCAAAGTATTTTGAACCAAAAAATACTTCATTACCTTTGGGACCAGCAAACGCAACGGTCCTCTAGGTCAATGGGAAAACAATGGTCCAAGATATTTTGGATCAGAAGATGGACCATTACTTTTGGGACCAGAAGCTGGTCCACTAGATCAAGCTTCAAAAAGTGGTCCAATATATTCTGGACCAGAAAATATTCCACTACTTTTTGAATCAAAAGATGATTCACTAATTCTGTGTCCGGAAAGTGATCAAAGTATTTTGGACCAGAAAATACTTCATTATCTTTGGGACCAGCAAATGGTCCTCTAGGTCAATGGAAAAACAATGGTCCACGATACTTTGGATCAGAAGATGGTCCATTACTTTTGGGACCAGAAGATGGTCCACTAGATCAAGCTTCAAAGAGTGATCCAAAGTATTTTGAACCAGAAAATACTTCATTACCTTTGGGACCAGCAAATGGTCCTTCAGGTCAATGGAATAACAAGGGTCAAAAAAAATTTGACATAGAAAATGGTCCCTTACTTTTGCTCCCGACAACATTAGGCAATACAGTCCCAAAGTCTCAGTACCAAATTTCCAACACTAAACATTTTTCAGTTCATCGCACTCGCCGCCTTCTTGGCATCAGCCCAAGCCGGCTTCATTGGAGGACACCACTCCCCATTGGCTGTTCCATTAGCCTACGCGAGCGCACCAGTTGCTCAGGCAGTGATCACCAAGACAGTGGACGCTGAATACGATCCTCATCCTCAGTACAGCTACGCTTACGATGTTCAGGATTCTCTGACAGGCGACTCCAAATCCCAACACGAAACTCGCGACGGAGATGTTGTGAAGGGAAGCTACTCTCTCTTGGAGGCCGATGGCACCAAGAGAGTCGTAGACTACGTGGCTGACCCCATCAACGGATTCAACGCCGTTGTCAGGAAGGAGCCAACTCTCGCCGTCAAAACTGTCCACGCCGTCCCAGTCGTCCACTCTGCTCCAGTCGTCCAAGCTCAAACCTACGTGAAACCAGTTGTGCAAGCCGCCGTCGTCAAGACCGTCCTCCCCGCTGAAACCACCATCTCCAAGTACTCCACTGGCTTCACCCATCATGCTCCAGTTGCTCACACTGTCGCTGAATATGCACCAGTAGCTCACACTTACGCCGCATACTCTGCACCAGTAGCTCAAACTTATGCCGCATACTCTGCTCCAGTTCAAGCTCATTACGGAGCTCCAGTTGCTGCCGCATGGTGAAGAATGTAGAACACAATGTAACAATCTTGTCTTGTCTTACAATTTATTATCGTATAATAAATTACTTATTTTGTGAAATTTTTCTGTTCTTCTGTTTAAATGTTTTTGTTCTGATCCATTCCCTACAATTCTGTTTAAAAGAAATCGATTTTGCTTTTGCTGGATTAATTTTTGTGTCCCAAAAATTGGTACTAGTTTGATTGGTGTGTGGCATTGTTTAGAATCTGTAGTGCTAGAAAGATGCTGTTTTTTACCTTTAATTTATATTTTCTCTAAATGATCCATTACAATTTAGAAACAGTGTTGTTGTACCATTAACGTACAGTTTATTATTGGACAAATTCTGCCAGATGTTTGACTACAAATACAGGCTTCTTAAAATAAGCTTTAATCATTTTTGAAAATATCCGAAATCAACGATAAGTTTCAACTCGAGTATAGAAAGTTTCTAATGAAAACAAAAGTTTTGCTGCTGCAGTAAGATATTTGCTGCTCCAAGTGAAGCTTGTTGAGTCAAATGAAACAAAAAGTGTAAATAGATATTTTTAATTGATTTTACTGCATAATATCCTTACTATTTTGATCGAACCTACAGAAAAGATTTTAAAACTTGACTTACAGTCAAGGATACAAACAAAGAATAATCTGTTACTGTGTAGGATAATAATGATACTGATTGTATATGCAGTATTTAACACTAATGAAGTATCTTTAAAGACTAATGATGCTTCTTTAAAAACTAAAGATGCTTCTGTAAAAACTTAAGATGATTCTTCAAAAACTGAAGATGTTTCTTTAAAAACTACAGCTGCATCTTTACAAACTAAATAAGCATTTTTGAAAACTAAAGAAGCATTTTTGAAAAGTAAAGATGATTCTTCAAAAACTGAAGATGCATCATTAAAAACTGAAGATGCTTCTTTTAAAACTACAGCTGTATCATTAAAAACTAAAGATTCTTCTTTAGAAACTGAAGATGCATCATTAAAAACTTAAAATGCTTCTTCAAAAACTGAAGACGCATCATTAAAAAGTAAAGATGCTTCCTTTAAAACTAAAGATGCATCTTTAAGACCTAATGATGCATCTTTACAAACTAATAAAGCATTTTTGAAAACTAAAGAACCATTTTTGGAAACTAAAGATGCTTCTTTAAAAACTAAAGATGCTCCTTTTAAAACTAATGATGCATCTTTTTGACCTAGTGATGCATCTTTACAAACTAAAAAAGCATTTTTGAAAACTAAACATGCATCTTTAGTGTTACAAATAAAAACAACAATGTAGAGTGTATCTGTTGACATTCAGACTGTACGAAGTAACATCTAAACTGTACAGTGAAGCACAACGAAAATTTCATCTAGTAATGCAATTAAAATAAAAGTTAAAGAAAAGTGAAGATCTTCTTGCAGATATCACACAAATAATGCTTTTCATAAACAGATGTAACACAAAGACTAAGTGCACTACAAAAAAATAAAAGAAGATTTTTTTCCGATGAGTTTGTAATTTGGTGCTTGAGCGAAGCGAGAGCAGCAATTTACAAACTCATCGGAAAATATCTTCTTTCTGGCTCTTGATACACAATGCACTATTACTTGATAATAATAAAATTAATAAATATATGGTGTTGAAATACCAATATCAACTAATAATAATATTATTAATGAGACAGCTAATAAAACTGTTACATTAGAAGCTAATACTACATCAGAAGCTTCATAAACTACCAAAGAAATACTCAGAAAAACAACATAAAATTTTCATTAAATCAGTACTTTATTAGGAAAAAGTTTGCAACATTGTGTTCTACATTCTTCACCATGCGGCAGCAACTGGAGCTCCGTAATGAGCTTGAACTGGAGCAGAGTATGCGGCATAAGTTTGAGCTACTGGTGCAGAGTATGCGGCGTAAGTGTGAGCTACTGGTGCATATTCAGCGACAGTGTGAGCAACTGGAGCATGATGGGTGAAGCCAGTGGAGTACTTGGAGATGGTGGTTTCAGCGGGGAGGACGGTCTTGACGACGGCGGCTTGCACAACTGGTTTCACGTAGGTTTGAGCTTGGACGACTGGAGCAGAGTGGACGACTGGGACGGCGTGGACAGTTTTGACGGCGAGAGTTGGCTCCTTCCTGACAACGGCGTTGAATCCGTTGATGGGGTCAGCCACGTAGTCTACGACTCTCTTGGTGCCATCGGCCTCCAAGAGAGAGTAGCTTCCCTTCACAACATCTCCGTCGCGAGTTTCGTGTTGGGATTTGGAGTCGCCTGTCAGAGAATCCTGAACATCGTAAGCGTAGCTGTACTGAGGATGAGGATCGTATTCAGCGTCCACTGTCTTGGTGATCACTGCCTGAGCAACTGGTGCGCTCGCGTAGGCTAATGGAACAGCCAATGGGGAGTGGTGTCCTCCAATGAAGCCGGCTTGGGCTGATGCCAAGAAGGCGGCGAGTGCGATGAACTGAAAAATGTTTAGTGTTGGAAATTTGGTACTGAGACTTTGGGACTGTATTGCCTAATGTTGTCGGGAGCAAAAGTAAGGGACGATTTTTTGGGTAGAATATAGTGGACTAGTTTTTGAATATGGTTCTGGTGAACCAACTTCTGTTTTTAAAAGAAACGGACTATTAGATGGTATAAAATTTATTGAGCGATATTTTGAAGCTTGATCTAGTGGACCATCTTCTAGTCCCAAAAGTAATGGTCCATCTTCTGATCCAAAATATCGTGGACCATTGTTATTCCATTGACCTGGAGGACCATTTGCTGGTTCTAAAGGTAATGAAGTATTTTCTGGTCCAAAATACTTTGATCACTTTCCGGACACAGAATTAGTGAATCATCTTTTGGTTCAAAAAGTAGTGGAACATTTTCTGGTCCAGAATATATTGGACCACTTTTTGAAGCTTGATCTAGTGGACCAGCTTCTGGTCCCAAAAGTAATGGTCCATCTTCTGATCCAAAATATAGTGGACCATTATTTTTTCATTGACCTAGAGGACCATTTGCTAGTCCCAAAGGTAATGGAGTATTTTTTAGTCCAAGATACTTTGTTTCACTTTATGAACAGAGGAAATATTTATTTTTAATTCAGACTAATTATAAAAATAAAAATTGTTTACTAAGTATAGAATCTTTTAAAGTCCTACCTTGAATGCCATGGTACTGATTAGAAGATTTGCTGGATGCAATTGATACTATTTTAGATTTTGAATTCGGTATTTATACTTAGTGGTCAGGTTTTAAAAATAGGTGGGAAAAAATGTAGTCGACAGTTTTCGAGAAGTGAAATATGGAAAATTGGGCAAGAAACTAGATCATTTCCTTAGGCTATACTTTAAGTAATCAACGTTATTAAATCATTAGACATATTTATAGCCGCAAGGTCGTGTCCTTGCTTTATTTAACCATATAGGGAAATACGACAATGATAATCGAGTATACAAATTGATTTACAAATTTATTTTATTTGAGATATAGAATTTTAACAGACAGTTATGTGCCTATTAGTAATATAAATATTTCCGAAGAGATCATGTTGGGAAACTCAGTGGTTCTTTCAGTTTTACGAGTTCATTGAGAAATTTACAACTTTAGCAAGCGTTAGAAAAATGATAGATATGTTTTCAAATTAGCATACACGTGAATATTTCACATATGATACTTGGGTACGTGAAATTCTCCAGATGTCAATTTAATGTTTCATAATAATTAGTTATCTTTTCTTAGACTAACAAGTGTTAAAGAAAATAGTGATTATAGTTATTGCGATCGAGAGTAAAATTTCACGGTCAGTATGTAGGTTGTTCTATTTCCTTGTATAATTTCCTATGAAAAAGGGTTCTATAAAAGGGGACTTTTATCACTAACTGGTATCATTTGCAAGCAGCAACTGAAGTAATCAACATTATCATGGCATTCAAGGTAGGTCTTCAGATTATTAGATTTATAATAAGCAGTTAATAGTTAAAGTTAAAGTCAAAGCAGAATAGTTAAAATAAAGTAAAAAATGTAATGAATTTGTAGGAATTAGCAGCATTTGCTAATGAGTTTTTGCAAAGAGTAATTAAATCTGTAAATTAGGTTCTTTGAAAAGTATTTAAAAGTAATTAAAAAAAGTAATTTAACTTCTGCTAAGGGGCCGTCCATAAACTACGTTACCAATTTAGGGGGGTTTCCAAAAAGCTATAAAAATGCATTTAAAGAACGGCGGCTTATTAATTAATGAAGAGTAATTAAAAATTGTTCAAAATTTCAGTTCATCGTCTTCGCTGCCTTAGCAGCTATTGCCAATGCAGGACACCTCAGTGCTCCACTGGAATATGCACCTCTAGCTACAACTTTGGTGAAAGCGGTTGCAGCTCCAGTTGCACACTCATCATCATCAGTTGTGAAGACAGTTCATCAACAACCACTTGTGTATGCGGCCAAATACGCAACACCCATCGCTTATGCCACTCCAATTGCCAAATATGCTCCAGTTGCTCTCTCCAGTGCCTCAGTTAAGGCTGTTCACCATCCAGTGTCTGCCGTTAAGTACGTGCCTGCAGCATCATACGCAGTAGCAGCTCCCGTTGCTGCCACATCATCATCATCCTTCTACCAAGCACCTGCAGTCTACGCTGGAAAATACGCATCGCACCCAGTTGTCTACTCTGCTCCTCTAAACTACGCTCAAGCTTACTCTGCACCTGTAGCTTCTCTGAACTACGCTCAAGCTTACTCAGCACCTGTAGCTTCTTTGAACTACGCCCAAGCTTACTCTGCACCTGTTGCCGCTCTAAAATACGCTCCATCTTACTCTGCACCAGTTGCCTCCCTTAACTACGCTCAATCTTACTACGCATCTCCTTTGTCTTACCCAGCAGCTCGTTATCTCTGGTAATTAGTAGAATGAATCAATCAATAGCAGTTTTTTAACCTTTGCGTTAACTGATAATTTATTTTCTATTATTGTTCTTGTAAATCTTGAAAAAACAATAAAACATGAGATGAAATATACTATTTGATTTTATTAACCCTTGTTAAAAACTTTTATTTTATATTTACCATATTTATCCTTCTTCCTTTTCTTCTTCATAAAATTTTTATGTTTTTAATTGGAATAATTACTTAACAACTAATGTACTTTGGACCAAAACACTGGTTCAATATGTTTAACAACAGAAGATGGCCGATAAGGTCAAGATTTAAACGGTGGGTCAATAAATTTTGGACTTAAAAATGGACCATTTTTCTATGGTGAACCAGATAATTCACTAGAGCTGGCTTCAAAAAGTGGTACAATGCACTTTTGAACGACAAAAGGTCCACTTCTTTTGGGACCAGAAGATGGTCCACTAGATCAAGGTTCAAAAAATGGTTCAATACATTTTGGACCAAAAAATTGTTCATTATTTTTAGGACCACAAAATTAATTTGGAGCCATAATTGACTATTACTTTTAGGACTAGAAAGTGGTTCACTAGTTCTGTCTCAAGAAAGTGGTCCAATGTAGTTTAAACCAGAAAATGGTGTATTAACTTTGGGACCAGAAGATGGTCCACTGTATCAACGTTCAAAAAGTGGTCCAATATATTTTTGACCGAATAATTGTCCATTTTCTTTGGGACCAGAGAATGGTTCATTATGTCAAGGTTTAAAAAGTGATCGATAATATTTTTGACCAGAAGATGGTCTATTATTTTTGGGACCAGAAGATTATCCACTGTATCAAGGTTTAAAATGTGGTCTAATATATTTTTGACCAAAAATGGTCAATTTCTGTTGGGACCAAAATATGATTGACTAGGGCTGGATTCAAAAAGTGGTCCAGTGTATTTTGGACCAAAAAATGGTTCATTTTCTTTGGGGCCAGAAGATGGACCATTATATAAATGTTAAAAATGTGGTCCAATATATTTTTGGCCAAAAAAATTATGCATTTTCTTTGGGAACAGAGAATTATTCATTATGTCAAGGTTTAAAAAGTGGTCCAATTTATTTTTGACAAAAAAATTGGCCATTTTCTTTGTGACCAAGGAATGATTTATTATGTCAATGTTTAAAAAGTAGTCCAATATATCTTTAATCAAAAAATTGGCCATTTTCTTTGGGACCAGAAGATGGTCCACAATGTTAAGGTTTAAAATAATAAAAATAAAATAAATATTTAAAATTTACAAAAATGTTCATATATACCTCTAATAAAAATTTAAGAAAATAACTTGATTAGATGGGCTTTTTGTAAATAAATAAATAAATAAATAAATAAATAAAACATATAAAATACTAGCTGTCGTACCCGTCTTCGACGGGTTTTAGTTTCTACCAATCAGGAAAATCAGGAAATAGCCGGGAATTTAATTTGACCAGAAAAAAATAATAATTAGTTACCATTAGATATTTCAGTAGGAAAATATTACTATTTGAATCAGTGATTGACTTTTTATTATCAACATCCACTGAATATTCGTAAAAGTTTTTTATTCTTGGAATTGAAGGTTAAACTTTAATCATTAACTAATAAAAAATTTTAACTTGTCTTACAATTTTCTTGAATTGAGCTTCAAATGAAATGCATTTTATAAGAGGTAAATATAATTTTAAATAATGCTAATGGCTTTTTTTCGTGATAATTGTACACTTACTAGAGGTATAACCATGTATAGGTGCATAATTATGGAAAAAAGTTCGTTTCTTTATTTGTTGAATATAGACCTATATATTTAATAGGTGTAAAGGGCAAGATCATATTGCGCAATTTCTGTGTGCGATAATTGATTTACAATTTAAAATTGTATTCCGGATCATGCATTGTATATGTATAAATTTTATTCAATTTTCATTGCTAAGAAGAACAAGTTCTTCTAGAAAATTTTTATAATTTTTTTTTAATGAAAAATTAGAGAATGTAATTATTATTTATCAAGTTCATTTATCAGTAGTGTGAGAGAGATTGATAGATCACTGCAGTATATTTTTCTTTCTCATCAAACTTTTTAAATTTTATTTTTTTTAAAAATGACCATAACAATGATGGTAACAGTGTTTTATATCCTAGTGAGTGTAGTTTTAACTTTAAGCCTCTTGTATTTTTCGATTTTTTACTTTTTCGGAAATCGAAAGTTGTACAATGCAACATCTCTCATTCCTGGACCGAATACTTTTCCATTAATCGGATGTGCTTTTTCTCTTCTTGGTAATTCTCAAGGTAAATTTCTTTTCTTTATTTTTGTTTTTATTGTGAATTAATAAATAAATATTATATATCTGATTATTTTAGATTTAATGAAAAAAATGGTTAAAATTTTCGATTCATATCCCTCACCAATGCGCTTTGTTCTCGGCTATCGAGTTTGGATCGTCGCCAAAGATCCTGAACACATAAAAGTAATAAAAAAAATTTTTTCACTCTCTAAATTTGGATTATTAAAAATGTTTACTAATTTGAATTAGTTTTTGAATTTGAATTTAATTTTTTAATTTAATTTTTAATTTTTCCTTTTGAATTAATAAATTTAGAGAGTAAAATATTGTAAGTAATTGTGGATAAAAGAATTTATAATTTTTCTTAAGTAATAAATATAAATTATTTTCCTTCTCTATTTATTTATAGAAATAGATATTTATTAAATAAATAAGAAATATATTTGTATATTTTTTTAAGATTATTCTTCATAGTTCGAAAATACTAGAGAAAGACGATGTCTATAAATTTGCTAAGCCATGGGTAGGTAATGGATTAATGACTGCAAATCGTGAGTTTGAATTTATTATTTTTTTATATGAAATTTTATTTTTATTGACTAACAAAGGATTGATTTTCAATTGAAAATTTTAACTTTTCATTCAATAATTTAGAAATTAATTAAAATTTTTCAATCTTTTGGTTCAAGATAAACTTTGGCGTGAACATCGAAAATTGATTCAACCAACATTTCATAATAAAATTCTGAAAACATTCATACCAATTTTCCATGAGAAATCGCTTTTATTAATAAAAACTATATCAGATCGAGTAGATGATCCGGAATTTGAATTGCATCCCTATTTTTCATTAGAAATTTTCTTCAGTCTTTATGGTAAGATTTTATTGATTTGCACGTTATTTAAAAAAAAATAAAGTTTATTTTTGCAAAAAAAAAAAATTTACAAAAAAATAAATTAAAAAAAAAAAATACAAATTTACAAACTTTTTTTACTTTAATCTCTAATAGTTTTTCTTGGGTTTCAGTTTTTCTTTGTTTTAATTTTTAAAAGGAAAATTTATAGCCATCGTTTAAATTTTTTTCGTTTGATTTATTTTTTTTAGAATCTTTTTTTCTTTAGGTTTAGTTTTTACAATTTTTTTGTCCTACCTGCACGGAAAGTATGTCATTTCGGGCACTTAGAGCGGGCGCAAAGTGACTCATTACCACCCAGGGGTAGGGGAAGCGGGCGCAAAATATTTTGCGCCCGCTCACCAACCTCCGAGCGGGCGCAAAATATTTTGCGCCCGCTTCATCTACCTCCGAGCGGGCGCAAAATATTTTGCGCCCGCTTCCCCTACCTTCGAGCAGGAGGAAGAGTATTTTGCGCCCGCATGTTAATTATTCGATTTTCTTCATTAAAATGTGATATTTTCGAGTTTCTTCTTATGTTGACTATAAAAATGCAAACATTTTCAACTTGTTTTATTTTGTCTAGAAAAATGTGCAATTTTTTTTCGATTTTTTCTAAAAAAAAATTATGACACATTTGGTTTTGTTCACATTTCGGTTATAAAAATTGTCAATTACTATATTTTCAGAATACATTGTTTTCTTATTTCTATATTAAAACTTGTATCATTATAGACTTCAAAGAGTTAACATTTATATAGAGTTTAATTTTTAACTAATATGAGCGTTTAATCGTTCGTGCCCTCAATGACATACTTTCCATGCAGTTAGGACAAAAAATTATGTTAGCATCATGGGCGCAAAGGTGATTACGACTCTGGCGAAATTTCGGAACCTCGGGGACACTTTCGCTCCCTCGGCTTCGCCTCGGGCGCGAAATTGTGTCCCCTCGGTCCCTTCATTTCGCCATCGTCGCAATCACCTATTTTGCGCCCTTGATACGAAAATAACTATTTCATTATTTTCTAACAGTTTTTTCCAATGGTTTAGTTTTTTTAACAGATTTTTTCTTTTTGATTCAATTTTTAACAGAAAATACTGTTGGATTGTCTATCGAAACGAAAAGAAAAGAGATTGTAAAATATTTAGAAACAAACAAAAGGTGCGTAAATTAAATTTAAAAAAAGGTAATTTCGCAGTTATCTGCAATTAATTTTTCTTATTATTATTCATTAATTTTTTTTACAGAATAATTCAAACATTCGTTGAACGATTCAAATGTGCCTGGTTACATTCGAATAAATTATTTAACTTGACACAACTTGCAAAAGATTTCTATAAAAATATCAAGGAGATTCAAGATTTTACTGATAATGTGAGACAAAAATGAATTCATTCTATTTTTAAGTTATCTTTAATTAAAAATTAATAACTTTCTATCAGGAACTATTACAAAAAAAAATTTCATAAATAATATTTCAGGTCATACAAGAAAGAAAAAGAGTGTTAAAAGTTAAAAATGAAGGTAAAATATGCGAATAAATTAAATTTTCAAGAAAAATATTTCTTAAAAGTCGAAAAAAATTAATATTTTTAGAGAGTAGTCCAGAGAGACCAAAAAGTTTTTTGGATCTAATGTTAGAATTGGCAAACAGTGAAAATAAATTCACTGATCATGATATTAGAGAGCAAGTTGACACGATTGTAATTGCGGTAATTATAATTTCGCCAAATTATTTCCAAAAAGAAAAAAATGTACTACTTTTAAATTTTAATTAAATTTAAATATGATAAAAATCCAATTTAAAATTATTAAAAATTAAAAAAATTTTGTTATTATTTAATAGGGCCATGACACATCGGCTCGTACCCTAAATTTTATTTTTCTCATGTTGGCATCTCATCCCACTATTCAGGTAAAAATTCCTCCACTTATTCATATTTTTAATTTAATTATTTAATTTTTATAAAACTAATCTAATAATTTCTCCACTTATTGATATTTTTCTTTAGAAATAAATTATTTGATTATTAACAGGACAAGGCCTACGAGGAAATTTTTTCTATTTACGGCAGTTCGGATCCAGAAAAAGATCCAATTAAATATGAGGATCTAAATCGGCTGGAATATTTAGAGAGAATAATTAAAGAAACAATGAGACTATTTCCTGCTGGACCAGTAATTGCACGAAAGGCTTTAGAAAACTTTACCTTAGGTAATATTTTAAAAATAAAAATATCTTTAACGAATTTTCATTTTTTCAATTATAATTTATAATTTATATTTTATCGAATTTTTAATTCCTTTTAGATGATTACAAGATACCAAAAGATTGCGGTGTGATTATACCAATTTTTAATATACATCGGGACGAAAAAATTTGGCCCGAATCGTTAAAGTTTGATCCAGACAGATTTCTACCTGAAGAAATGATTAAACGACATGCGTGTTCATTTATTCCATTTAGTGCTGGCATGCGAGACTGTATAGGTAAGAAAATATAATAAATCATTGATTTATTTTTTCTTTTTCGATTTTTTCTACAGAAATTAACGAAATTTATGAAATTTACGAAATAACAAAAAGTTTATGAAAATATTGTCGTAACAAAAAATTTTCTTTCTATTTCAGGACGCACGTACGCTCTGATGTCCCTAAAGGTGTTTACTGCTAATTTCCTTCGAAAATATATTGTGATAAAGGATAAAATTTCAAAAATTGAAGATATAAATCTAACTGTTGACCCACTACTTACAACGACTGAGCCTATTACTCTAAGAATCGAAAAGAGAGTAAAATAGTTTAAAATTTAAATTGAAAAACGGAACTTTGTTTCAATTTGTGTTCTTAAAATACTTAAAAATACCAATATGGAAATAATTATTTTTTTGAAAAAAATTATAATAACTCCTTTTTCTTATAATTAGTACTGAGAGCAAATTTTTATTACTGAGAACTTGATATTAGTAAATTATTTTTTTGATTTTTGGAATACGTAAAAAAGGTGAAAGAAACACTATCTTTCACTTTTTTATAAAATTAGATTTTTTTTATCTGTTTATATTTTATATTTAATATATTTATATTCAAAGCATTACTTTTGATTTACATTTAAAAAATTGACCTGACCATCATTACCTTTGGGACCAGCCGATGGTCCACTATATCAAGGTTTAAATGTGGTCCAATATATTATTGACCAGAACATGGTCCATTACTTTTGGGACCAGAAGAAAATTCTATAATTAACGGTTCAAAAAATGGTACCATTTAGTTTGGGACAGAAAATAGTCCATTGCCTTTGGGACTAGCCATTGGTCCTCTAGGTCCATGTAAAACAAATAGTCCTTTCTTTTTTATCAAATAATTGTCCATTTTCTTTGGGACCAGAGAATGGTCCACTATATTGAGGTTTAAAATGTTTTTAAAAATATTTTTGACCAGAATATGGTCCATTACCTTTGGGACCAGAAGATGGTCCATTGCATCAAGGCTTAAAATGTGGTCCAATGTATTTTGGATCAGAAAATGGTCCATTGCTTTTAGGACCAGAAGGTGGTCCATTACATCACTGTTCAAAAAATAGTTAAAGATATTTTGGAACAGATAATTGACTAGAAAGTGGTTCAAGGTATTTTGGACCAGAAGATGGTCCACTACATCATCGTTAAAAAAATAGTTCAATGAACTTTGGACCAAAAAATGGTGTTTTATTTTTGGGACCAGAAGATGGTCTACTGTATCAAGGTTTAAAAAGTGGTCCAATATATTTTTGATCAAAGAATTGTCCATTTTCTTTGGTACCAGAGAATGGTTCATTATGTCAAGGTCTAAAAAGTGGTAGAATATATTATTGACCAAAAAATTGTCCATTTTCTTTAGCACCAGAAGATGGTCCTCTAAATCAAGGTTTGAAATGTGTTCCAATATATTTTTGACTAGAATAAAGGTCCACTGTTTCAAGGCTTAAAAAGTGGTCCAGTATATTTTGGACCAAAAAATTGTCCATTTTCTTTGGGACCAGAACATGGACCACTATATCAAGGTTTAAAAAGTGGTCCAATATATTTTTGATAAAAAATTTGTCCATTTTCTTTGGGACCAGAAGATGGTCCACTATATCAAGGTTTAAAATGTGGACCAATATATTTTTGACTAGAATATGGTCTATTAGCTATGAGACCAGAAGATGGCCCACTAGATTATTGTTAAAAAAAATGACCCCGTGTATTTTGGTCCAAAAAATGGTTTATTACCTTCAGGACCAGAAGATGGTCAAATGTATCAAGGTTCAAAAAGTGGTCCAATATATGTTTGACAAAAAATTTGTCCATTTTCTTTGGGACCAGAAGATGGTCCACTATATCAAGGTTTAAAATGTGAACCAATATATTTTTGACTAGAATATGGTCTATTAGCAATGAGACCAGAAGATGGTCCACTAGATTATTGTTAAAAAAAATGACCCCGTGTATTTTGGTCCAAAAAATGGTTTATTACCTTCAGGACCAGAAGATGGTCAAATGTATCAAGGTTCAAAAAGTGGTCCAATATATGTTTGACAAAAAAAAATTGTCCATTACCTTTGGTACCAGAAGATGGTCCATTATTTTTAGGACCAGTATGTGATCCACTAGATCGAGTTTAAAAAAAATGGTTCAATATATTTTATAAAAAATAATGGTCCATTATCTTAGGAATAAAAAAATTAATCATATTGAAGCAAATACGGCTTGATTAGATGATTACATAAGATATTGAAATAAGGATTCTTAGAGACTTTTAATTATAGCTTAAGAATCTACTGAATATTACAATATTATCAGTAATTAGAAATATTGCGCAACTTCTGCGTCTGATAATTAATTTATGATTTATAATTATATTCTGGATCACACTCTGGATCATATAATTAATTAATTTTTCATTGCTAACAAGAACTAGTTCTTCTAGAAGTTATATACTTTTTTTTATGAAAAAAATTTGAGAATATAATTATTATATATTTATCCAGTTCACTTGTCAGTAGTACAAGAGAAATTGAAGGATAATTTGGATATTTATTTATTTTACTAATAAATTTAGTAACTTCAAAGTAATTATATTAACTTCAAAGTAATTCTATTAATTTCTAAGTAATTCTACTGATTTCTTAGTAATTCTACTAATTCCTAAGTAATTCTACCAATTTCTAAGTAATTCTACTAATTTCTAAGTAATTCTACTAATTTTTCTAAGTTATTTTATTTCTAAGTAATTTCTACTATAATTTATCAGTTTAAAACTGATTAAAAAGCAAAAAGTCAGTTACTAATTAAAATTAGTAAACATTTTTATAAATTTAAATTTAGAGAGTGGTAATTATAATAGTAATAATAAAAATCTATAATAAAAGTAAAAAGAAAGTAAAATAAAATAAAAATCTTGATTTTACTGTGTTTTTAATAAAACCAGAAAGTTTGGAGGTAAAGAAACGATTCAACTGGATAATATATAGATTAGGAAAAATTTATTTATAAAAAATACAAGAACTAGTGGTAGTATGCTGGGGCTGCGTAGCTGGCAACTTTGGCGATGTGGGCAACTGGAGCAGCGGCGTATTGAGCAACTGGGGCAGTAGCGTAGTGGGCAACTGGGGCAGCGGCTGCGTATTGGGCAACAGGTGCGGCGTAGTGGGCAACTGGAGCGGCGGCATATTGAGCAACAGGTGCGGCGTAGTGGGCAACTGGAGCGGCGGCATATTGAGCAACTGGGGCAGTGTAGTGGGCAACTGGTGCGGCGTGATATTGAGCAACTGGAGCGGCGTAGTGGGCAACTGGAGCAGCGGCGGCATATTGGGCAACAGGTGCGGCGTAGTGGGCAACTGGAGCGGCGGCGGCGTATTGAGCAACTGGGGCTGCGGCGTAGGCGGCAGTGTAGGCGGGAGCGACAGTCTTAACAACTGGGGCGACGGTCTTGATGACTGGAGCGGCGACGGCAACTGGGGCTACGGCTGTTTTCAAGGCGATTTCAGCGGGTTCCTTGTGGACAACGGCGTTGAATCCGTTGACGGAGTCGGCGGTGTAGTCGACGGTGCGGCGAGTTCCGTCAGATTCGAGGAGGGAGTAGCTTCCTTGTACGATGTCTCCGTTGCGGGTTTCGTGTTGGCTTTTGGAGTCGCCGGTCAAAGCGTCTTGCACGTCGTAGGCGTAACTGTATTGAGGGTTGGGGTCGTAGTCGGCGTCGACGGTTTTCACCACACTGGCCACTGGAGCCACTGCCAATTTGGCGACGGGGGCGGCAGCGTAGCCGAGAGGTGCGCCGATGAATCCGGCTTGGGAGACGGCCACGAGGGCGGCGAGGACTACGAACTAAAAAATATTTTTACTTTAATGGCGAATTCATAATTATTTTTTGAGACTTGAAGAATTAAATTTTGCAATTTTATTGCAAAGCGATTACTTGTTGAAGAATTTGAGAAACAAAAGTGGTAACACTTTTGTTTCTCAAATTCTTCAACAAGTAATCGCTTTGCAATAAAATTCGTGTTATAGAAAAGTAAAAATAATAAAAATAACAATAAATAAAAAAATAGTAATAAACTATAAATTAATAAGAAAATAAAAAAATAGATAAAGTACTAAATAAATAAAATAAAAGGTAAGAGAAGTATTAAATAAATAAAAAAGCAAATAAATAAAAAAGCGAATAAATAAAATACCAAATAAATAAATAACCGAATAAATAAAATAGCAAATAAATAAAAAAACCGACTAAATAAAAAATCAAACAAATAAAAAACCAAATACGAAAAATACCAAATAAATAATAAATCTATGTAGAAAACCAAATAAAAAACCAAATACCAAATAAATAAAAAATCTAATGAATGAAGAACCAAATAAATAAAAAATCTAATGAATGAAGAACCAAAAAAAAAACCAAATACAAAAAATATCAAATAAATAAAAAACCAAATACAAAAAATACCAAATAAATAAAAAATCGAATACAAAAAATACCAAATAAACAAAATAGCCAAATAATTAAAAAAAAACGAATTCAATTAAAAAAGACCAATTAAAGTTTCCAATTCACGAGACTAGTTCAAAAATTAATAAAAAAAAACACTAAAAATTTTGTTTAGAGAAAAATTTAGAGAATGAAACTATTTTCACTTGCGACAACACTTTTTTTTCAAAACACTTGAAAAGCACAAATTTATGTTTAACACGTTTTACTCGTTTTGTACCTTGAATGCCATTGTGTGTTGAGAGTTACAGTTGCTGGTTGCAAATGATGTCGTTCACTGCGAAATTTTCGGCTTTTATAGGTCTCGGACAGAGTATGTTGCGTGTATGATGTAAGCTACCTAAGACTCTTGCGGGGGGACCGATTCTCTCGCAAGGTGAGAAATTAGGCAAGAAACTGGATCAACACACGCACACATTCTCGATATTTGGGACAGATATCAATTTTTGTCTCCGGTTCGAATTTTTTTTTTTCATATAAGTATTTTTTTTTCGACTCGTATTCGCCGTTCGTCAAAAAAATTTTTTTTTTCATTCATCGCAAATGGGTTTTGATTCAATAATTCTAGTTTGAACAAAATTTACTGTTCTCATGGATATTAGACGAAAAAATTAGAAATTAAGATGTGGAAAATAATAAAAAATACAAAATGAAAAATATTGGAGAAGAAAACAAAAAAATACAAAAAAAAAAAAAAAAAATAAAAAAGAAGAAAACAAAAAAAAATAAAGGGAAGTACGAAATAAAATTTATTCGAATAGAAAAAAAATCGAGTAAAGTACAAAATAAAAATTATTAGAAAAGAAACGAAAATATACAAAAGATAAAATATTGGAAAAGAAAAAAAAAACAATAAAATAAAAAATAGATGAAATAGAGTTTAGAAAAATTTGCAAAAGTCGATCGTCATCTGCATGGTGTAAATTCTCGGTTGAAGATGATTTTTGTATAATAAAACACAAAATTTTTTTTTGTCAAATATTGCGAAGAAATACGCCTACGAGCTCTGTTATTAACATCGAGTCAGGTTTTCTTGGACGACGTCAAGAGCTCGGTTACTTCTTTATGGCATTCAGTAACATAGCAAACACCTCTTGGTTTAAGAACGATAATAAACAACACAGATCTCGAAGCATCCCTTAAAATATCCTTTTGAAAAATATGAGGTACTAAAACATAATTTCAGTAACCTGACAATACCATAAAGATGATCACTAAAGATTCAAAGCACAAGTACATTTCTATATCAAATTTCACGCAACACTGATAAAATTAACGCTGGACCAAAATTCAAAATTGTCTCGAGAAAATCTTTCACTAAACGTGATTAATTAATCAATATTTAATAAAAGGGTGAATTAATTAATAGTGGACGAAAAATGGTCCACTTCTTTTGGAACCAGAAAATGGTTCATTTCTTTTGGGACCAGAAGGTGGTCCATTTCTTTTGGGACCAGAAAATGGTCCATTTCTTTTGAAACCAGAAGGTGGTCCATTCCTTTTGGGACCAGAAAATGGTCCATTTATTTTGGGACCAGAAGGTGGTCCATTCCTTTTGGGACCAGAAAATGGTCCATTTATTTTGGGACCAAAAGGTGATCCATTTATTTTGGGACCAGAAAATGGTCCATTTATTTTGGGACCAGAAGGTGGTCTACTTCATTTGGGACCAGAAAATGTTCTACTTCATTTTGGACCAGAAGATAGTTTATTTCGTTTGAAACCAGAAGATGATCCAAAATATATTAGACCCAAAAAATGGTTCATTTCTTTTGGGACCAGAAGATGGTCCAAAATATATTAGACCAGAAAATGGTCCAAAGGATATTTGACCAGAAAATGGTGCATTTCTTTTGGGACCAGAAGATGGTTTAAAATATATTAGACCAGAAAATAGTTCATTTATTTTGAGACCAGAAGATGGTCCAAAACATATTAGACCAGAAGATGGTCCAAAGGATATTAGACCCAAAAAAGGGTTTATTTCTTTTGGGACCAGAAAATGGTCCAAAATATATTAGACCAGAAAATGGTCCAAAGGATATTAGACTAGAAAGTGGTGCATTTCTTTGGGGACCAGAAGATGGTCCAAAATATATTAGACTAGAAAATGGTTCATTTATTTTGGGACCAAAAGATGGTCAGAACAAATGTTCTGTCATAAAAAATTATCCTATTCCTATTGGTATACAAAAAATGACCCTATAAATCTTGGACCGTTAGGTGGTTAATTATTTTGAGACCAAAAAGTGGTCCAATTGACATTGGTATAAAAAAATTATCTGATAAAACTTGGAACAACGAATGGTCCATAAGTTTTGTGACCAAAAAGTGGTCCAGTTGGTATTGGTACCAAAAATGGTCCAGAAAATATTGAACCAAAAAATGGTTAATTAGTATTAAGACCAAACAGTGGTCCAGTAAATATTGAACCAGACAATGGTTCATTAGGTCTGGGAACAAAAAATGGTCCAGTAGTATTAGGACCAAAATGTGGTCCAGTAAATATTTAACAAAAAAATGGTTCTAGAGTTTTGGTACCAGAAAGTGGTCCAATAATTATTGAACCAAAAAATAGTTCTTTAGTTCTGGTACCAAAAAGTGGTCCAATTGACAATAGAGCAAAAAAAAATTCGATAGATTTAGGACCAAAAAATGGAATATTATTTTCAGGACTAAAAAGTAGTCAAAAAATGATTTTCTAAATTTTTTACCATAGTCCAGTCCTAGAAACTAAAAAATGGTCCAACTGGTATTGGACCAGAAAATGGTCAAATTTTATAAAAACAAAAAAGTGATTCAATAAATATTAAACAAAAAAAAAAGTTCTTGTAAAAAAAAATTTTTCTATCACATCTTTTAGCAAAGAAAGGTGCAAATACAACAAAACAATTAAATTCACAAAATAAAAAAAAAGAATTTCATTGCGCAATTGATTATACACCTTGCAATAAATTCCCAATAAAATGACGAAATGAATCGAAAATGAAATTTGAAAAGTTATGTTTAAAACATTTTTCAATTTATTTTTTTATTTGATGATAATTCACCTTCGTGAAATGTCTGTCTGCGTGGTTAAGAGGGAATACATAAAAGCTAGAAAGAAATCAAGGTGACCATTTCTCTTGATAAATATTCAGATATCCCAGTAGATCGGATGTGTTACGATAGCCGCATGATATTTCCGCTATTTGCGAAGAAATTTAAAATCTGAATGAAAATTTCATGGAAATGTTTCTAAAAAAAAAATAATAATAATAAGAAACTCGCACTTAAAGGGTTGAAGATTACCAAGAAATTCAGCGTTAAAAGCAAAAATTCTCACACGTCTCGTCGTCCTCACTCGCCGTCTGATTTTATGCGACTCTTACTACTGAACGACAGCGTGACTAGAATAATCATTCTAAATATTCTGAATAAACGCCTCTAAAAATATTCAACTATATATTCTATTCATATTTTTCAATCTTTTTTTTTTACAATCTTTGTATCGTAAATTTCACATTTAATATTTTCCCTTCTTTCCCCCATGGAATTATTAAAATTTATTCAATTTTTTTAACACAAAAAATTTTTAAAAAAAATACTTTGTATAGAAAAAGTTATTTTTTAATACAAAGTTACTGTGTGTTTATTACAGTATAACTTTGTATATGGAACGAAAATTCAAAATATTGTCGTAAAAGACAAAAACATGGAAAGAATTTTTTTTTAAATAAGAAAAATACGAGAACAAGAAGTTTTATGAATATTATTTGAATATTTTAAATTCTCGTGTAAAAGAAATAAAATGAAATAAAATTAAATAAATTTGAGTGTAATTGAAAAATGCACTTATCGCCGGGCCGGGTCAATTCAAGTGACTTTCCGTGTGAGATAATTTTTTTTTATAAATCCTTTCATTTTCGTTAATCGAAGTTGTGGAATTTGTCCTTCGCGAGTATAATAATTTTTCGTTAGCAACCTTAGATGGTAAATTCTCTTCTGAGAGTTGTGACTTAAAAAGTTCACGGTCTCGCTGGACATTTAATTAATTAAATGAACTTTATTTTGCTAATATTTTGACTTATGATCGTCTATCAATTTAATAATTAAAAAAAAATTTTTCTAATCAAATGAAAAAATTTTTGTTACATATTTTTCTATTTTTATTTTACTATTTCTATTTTTATTTTTTTACTTTTATTTTCTTACTCTCATTCTATTTTTCTACTTCTACTTTCTACTTTATTCTTCTCTTTCTTTTAAATTCCTACTTTTTTTAGGTTTATTTTACTCTTTCTTTTTTCTACTTTTCTATTCTTCTATTGTAATTCGATTTTTCTACTTCTATTTCCTATTTTATTCTCAATTTCTGTTAAATTGGAGATTTTTCTATTTTATTTTTCTCTTTCTTTTAAATTACTACTTTTTATGTTTATTTTGCTCTTTCTTTTTTCTACTTTTCTATATTAATTCTATTTTTCTACTTCTATTTTCTTTTTCTATTTTATTTTCAATTTCTTTTAAATTTCTACTTTTCTATTTTTATTTTACTATTTCTTTTTTCTATTTTTATTTTTCTATTTTCCTTTCTTCAACTATTTTTTTCTATTGCTTCCTCATAAAGGAAGCTTTGTATTAGCAAAATTTTGGATTGCCATTTTTTGACATATTTATAAATTTTTTTTTATTATGCCTAATACTTTAGTACTTTATATATGCACAGGAACTCCCCGTATAAATGTTCTAAATAAATAAAAAAAAATTTCGACGTATTTCTATTTTTTTTCTATTTCCTATTTTATTTTCAATATCTTTTAAATTTCTACTTTTCTATTTTATTTTTCTCTTTCTTTTAAATTTCTACTTTTTTAGGTTTATTTTACTTTTTTTCTACTTTTCTATTTTTCTATTTCTATTTTCTATTTTATTTTCTATTTTTTTTAAATTTCTACTTTTCTATTTTTATTTTTCTACTTTTCTATTTTATTTTCAATTTCTTACAAATTTCTATTTCTCTATTTTCTTTTCTTCAGTTATTTTTTTCTATTTCTATTTTTAGTTTTTATTTTGCTTTTTCTATTTTTCTATTTCTCATTCAAAATTTTTTATTTCTTTTTTCTTCATTCTATAAATTCTATTTTCTATTTTAATTTTCAATTTCTTTTAAATTTCTACTTTTTTAGGTTTATTTTACTTTTTTTTCTACTTTTCTATTTTTCTATTTCTATTTTCTATTTTATTTTCTATTTTTTTTAAATTTCTACTTTTCTATTTTATTTTCAATTTCTTACAAATTTCTATTTCTCTATTTTCTTTTCTTCAGTTATTTTTTTCTATTTCTATTTTTAGTTTTTATTTTGCTTTTTCTATTTTTCTATTTC